GGTTCACTGCTATTGACCCACGAGAAAAGCGCATCTACTGAGCCTCCCCACCTTGAATGGCCTTGTTGAAAAGGAGAGCCATAAATTGGCGGATGAGCAGAGAGGGGAGACTCTGCCTCCCCCTCCTCCCGCCTCAGCCCCCGCTTCTCTCTCTCTTGCTCTCTCACATGCTATCTCTTTCTTTCCTTTACCAAGTAGTGGTTTCCATCTCACCAAACCCCTTTCCCCCTGAATGTTTAAAAAGATGAAAGGATAAGGAAAAGAATGGAGACAAAAGAGGGGAGGGTTGTGTTACAACCCTGCCCCTGAGAGACTGTTCATGAAAGAGTTTGGGGATGGGAGAGATAGGGACCGGAGAGGAGACACAGAAAGAGAAGGGGGATCATGAAAAGAGGGTTTTCAAACTCCAAGCCGCTAAAACGGGTCACTTCTGTATAGAGGGGCTGACTAAAGTGCAGTCTTCACCCAGGGACGGAGACATTTAACACTGTCAATACCCTCAGATGGAAGGGAGCGATGATTTACTCGCCCCCGTTGACTGATTGTGCAAACACACACACACAGACAGACACACATACACACACGCTGTCTTTCCCATTTCTTTCTGTTTCTCTTAACCGTACCCTCATAACAGTAGCAGCACTAATCTTCTGCCAGGTTTACCATTAACTTGCCCAAGACAAACACAGACACACACACACTCCCTGGTGTCTCCCTCGCGGCATTCCTCCCTCTTGGCATTTAGTGTCAGTCGCTTGAAATCCTCTCAACCCTCCCACCATTCTCTCTATCTCCCTCTTTGTCTGAACTTGCCCTGCATGCACTTAGATATTTCCGCCCCTGGGTGCATCAGTGAGAGTTCAAGTGAGAGAGAGAGACAGCGAAAGAGAGCAGGAGAAAGTTGTTAGCTAAGTGCGGACAGGAGTGACGGTCAAATAAAGATGACGATTGAAAGGGCAGGGACGCGCAAATGTCGTTGTTTTAGGCTATTGCCCTCTTGCTCCCTCTCTCACACACCCACACACATGCATACATTCAGACATGCACAAGTAGCTGCAACAATTTCCATTCACAGAACAAGTTTTCCTTCATAGTATCACAGTAACATGTCAAATTAAAAGATTTTCTTAATCTCCACATCACCTAAAGCCTTCAAAGGTAAGTCACAAGTCACAAGTCAAACGGCAGGCAGCTAACACAAATATGCCACAGTAGTTTCTTGGTTTTCCTTTTGGGGATTTGTCTTTTGAACAAACAACATTTTCAGTGCCCAAACAGATTTTCAGGTCTATTATTAAAGCCCCATAAAAACAAAAACAGATCTGTTTTTATTGTACAGTCCTGCCTTGTACACGAGGAACTTGCAAACCTTTGGCATCATCACACACACTGTGTCATAACTGTGAAATCGTTTTCACTAGAATAATTTCACTCCGTTCCATGATCCTATTTTTTGGATCCTGACATCTGCAATTGATGCTCATATTTCAATCCCAAAAAAAACAAAAAACACACTGAGACGTTTTCAAGTTTCCAGATGTCACTTTTACAACCTCTGACTGCTCTGATTGAATCTTTCCCACACGCGGCGCCATCAGACATCAGCTTGGACATCCTCCTTCATTTGAAACGCGGATCTGAGCGTAATTGGAAGGTGGCTATTACGGCAATTATTGCAAATAGCTGAGCCGAGCCGTCATGGCGAGGCTAACAGTCCGTCTGTTCACAACTGAGCCACCGAGTCGGACCTCCCCAAGGTACCCGGCAAACAGTCCTTCATCATCTCCTCTTCCATCCTCACACACTTTGAATCTCTCCATCTTGCTTCTTCTACTCTCTCCACTTGATTAGTTTTACTTTTTCATCATTGACCTCACCTACTGAACTCCACTGCCTCCTCCTCCCCCTCTCTCTCTCAAGCCTCTCTCCAGTGAGAACCGCACTACCATAGCCACCATTACCACACACACATACACACTGAGGTGTAGCTGCATGTGTTTCCAATTTCAGGAGTAATGCGCTTTTCTCCGCAATCTGACCCAATTAGCCGGAGCCTCCTGGAAATGCCCCAGTCGCCAGCCATGGTGGCAAAGAGGTAAAAGGTCAAAGGTGAGGTCATTCACCGGGGGATGGGGGTCAGACTCTCTCATGAATGCGTCACCTCCTGTCTGTCGGGCCCTCAGTCTGTCTTACACATCCCTGGCTGCAGTGCTTCAGCTCCTGTCCAACTTCCCTACGGACATATTTGGCACAGGTGTAGGACTGTGCAGAAAAAGCAACCCAAGCCTGAAATTAAATTTCACAGCTTACTAAAGGTCAGAGAGGATGAGTGACAGAGTCTGGAGCCAGACCACACGTAAACACACAAACAACACACATGCACACTGAGGAAAGTATGCACACACACACACACACACACACATGCCTGTACCGACACACCGCCGCTCTGACAAACAAACAACACATGCGCCTACAAGTCTTTCCTGCGTGAAACTGAAATTAGTGTATGGAATGTTCACCTTCAGGAAAACGGTTTTGGAGGGAGGGGGAATATGAGAGCATCAGAGCTGCAAAGCCCTCATTAGGGGGAATGGAGGACTTAGTTTGGTAATTCTGTTTAATGCTTAATGAGAAACAGGTTCAAGTGGGTGCAGAATGCAGACTGGCGCTGCGCTGCGTTGCGTTACCTGGCAGTCTGCCCCCCGCTTCCAAGTCTGTCTGTTTGGATTTTGTCTTATGTTCGATGTTCGTGCAGGAGCCGGGTGATTGTCAGTTTATGAAACGGCTTCAGACACCACCACACAGCCGTCAGCGCGCACGCACGCTTTGCTCGTCTTGTTTACATCGTTTGCATCGCCGATCCCTCTCCTCTTACAGCACCTCGCTGTCTCTCTGCCCAGATCGCCTCTCAATCACTCCTCCTCGTCCCCTTATCTGTCCCCTCCTCAGTGTCTTGTTACAGGACTCAATCCACCTACAGCGGCTACACTTTCATTCCCTTGTCACAGATTCGTTGCAGTCTGGATGCGCCCGGATTAGACATGCAGCCTAAATAGTGAAAGATCTATTTACAGTTACGTCTTCCTTCTGGCCGACTAAATCCACACCTTCCTGTGTTTCTCTACATTTTTGCACTCGTCCACCCCTGTGTCCGCTCTCTCCGCTCCTGCACGTCCTCTCACCTCTTCTTCCATTTGGTTTGTCCCCTTTCTTGCCAGGGGAAAGATGTTAAACATTGTAAAGTTTACTCACTGTACAACACCCCACAGGGTTGGATTTCAGAGGCAGACTTTGTGTTTGAACTGCTCTGGCAATTAGTAGAGGATAGACTTACAGCGCACCTACTGCACAATGGAGGCACCGGCCCAGTTGTACAAACCCCTGTTCCCATCCTGCCCCTCTCCATCTGTCACTCCTGTGGGACTCTGTGTGTGTGTGTGTGTGTGTGTGTGTGTGTGTGTGTGTGTGTGTGTGTGGCTCCGCATGTGCATGGCGGTGTATCTTTGAATCTTTGCTTGCATGTGTGCATGTATGTTTTCTTACTGTTGTGTCTCCTCTCCGGTCCCTATCTCTACCATTTATCATTTTAAGCAGTAATAGTTTACACTATACACTATAATGTATGTGTTAATTTTTTACTCCCCAATGTGCACCCATAGGTGGCAACTGGTCTATAAACAGATGATGAACAAAGCAAAACACAACTGTAATAATCTAAAATATTTCTTCATAGGAGAAGTTATCATTTTTGTCAATATATAAAATACTTATATCTCTTATAAACACAATAGTGTTAGTGTTGGTTTGTGTTTCATTTATCAATCATTCATAAATCCTAATAGTAAAAATGATCAAATTACTGACATGAATGTCTTACTGACCTAAATATTTTGTAAATGCAATGTCTGTATCCTGGGTAACTAAAATTAGAATAGACTTGGCAACCAGTGACAACTAACCAGAAGTTCAATCAACCAATCAGAAGGAGAAGAAGGTCAGAGGTGTAGTTCCTCTTCATCTATCCCCACTAGAAAGTTAATATTATGCACTTCTGTATAAAAAAAAAAACAACCTTTTTTAGGGTTATTGTTACCAATATGACCGTTTATGGTGATTTTATGTTTGATTAAGTCATTTCATTCAGTCCAAGTTCACATGCATCTCACTGCAGTGTCAATAAGGAAGGTCTTATACCATACCAAGGAATGTTTGCATATTAATGTCTGCAAAGTCATGCTCTTATACAACATCATATTTGATAGTTGAGAAGCCGTGCTCATAAATCAAGTTTGGCCTCCTCACGGAGCTCCGTCACAGGCCCACAGGTCATCCTTCATATTACAGAGTAGCGTCTCGGCTATGACGAACCTGAAACTCCTCAGCTTCTTCATTGGTTTATTTCCACAGTAATTCTGTGTATTGATAAAGTGTCATGGTTCATGGAAAAAGCCATACCCTTGTATGCGCAGTATGTAGCAGCTCCACCCCACGGGCCTCCATGCACTTTGAGGCCTCGCTGACTGACATTGATATGTGTCAGAGGATCCCTCAGAGGGAAGCTACTGTACAGATTTATTCACTCAGTGCAGGGTCATAGCGCCCTCCGGTGGAAGGGAGGGTAATCATTACACCCCCACACCCCCACCCCCAACCATCTCTACTCATTTCATTTCCAGAACTCCCTCCCTGATGAGAGGATACTGCTCAGTTTCTTTAATATCTGAAATAATTCAAGAATAATTGTCTTATCTTTTTCACAGTGGTTTTCATTAATTAAGAGGTTATTTGAATGATCGGCAATACAAAAAAGACCTGTGATGGAAGTTAGTGCATGAGGGACGGGACGGGGTGGGGGGGTGGGGTGGGGGTGAGGTTGGGTGGTGGGGCTCAGAGCACCAAGCTGTTGTATTAATCTGCAAATTTTCTCAGATGACGCAAAGACTGTGACTTTGCCTCCCGTCCCCTCTTCATCTCCACATCCCTCCTCTCTCCGTGTCTCTCCCCGATGCCTCGCTCTTGTCGGATGGGAGATAGCATCACACAGCAGGTAAGCCTGGTCGCCTCCTTGTTGCAGTTTTTTTTTTTTTTTACCCTCCCATTCATTCACTGCTGACACCATTTCTCACCTTTGACTGAGTGATTTTGATTTGTTTGGTGTCTCAGAATGGCTCAGTTTGATTGTCTGGGGCTCAGTCGTTTATGATTATTGGCTTATTGTGCGATGTTTTGCCCATGTTTTATTTTTGTTTGCAGTAATTCGGAATCAGCAGCTAGTTTGTGATACCTGGTTTCCAAAGTTCGCTGCAGAGGGGATTTCCGCTTTTTAAATCTGCTGTTTGAACATGTGGCATCTGTAATATCTTACCAGTTATCAGCATTGTCTTAGCATGCTGTCTGCTGTCAGAGAGAAGAGGAATCAGAGAGATTTAAGGAGTTTCCAAGGCGTCTGTTGGCCAAATGAGAGGATGGATTTACTGTACAGAGGGAAATAGCTGTGCAAAATTCAGTCCTGCTGGTGTGAGGAGCGATAGAGAAGCTGCGACGACAGATCAAAAAGGAAAAAGAGGAAAAAAGAAGGGAAGCAAGAGGAGAAAGAGAGAGTTTATAAATAGCAGAGCTTTACAAGGGTGAAGAGAGCAGATGTGATAGACAGTCTGTGCTTAAGGAGTTCAAACAACAGATTAATACACTCAGATTATCGTCCGAGAGAGGTGGGGGGGGGGGGGGGGTGCTGGACACGTGGGCACACAACACACACTCACACACACACAGATGCAGACTAAATCACACAGACACATGTGAAACATACTCATCACACACAAGCTCAAGCATTTTCTCTCACTCACACTTTATTACTCAATTTCACATACTGACAATGACTCTCAGACACACACACACACACACACACACACACTAATCCTTCCCGTGAAAGTTTCTGGCTGTATCTTCCTCTCTTTTCAAACATCCATTTTACTCTGAAACATTTTGTTGATTAGTTAATGGACATAAATATTCTGATAATTGATTAATGATTCCAGTCATTTATCCACAATGCCAATTTCATGGTTCCAGCTTTTTAAATGTGAAGATTTTCTGCTTTTCTGTTTTGTGTCATTGCAAATTTGAATTTTGGAAACCTTTTTTTTTCAGGCAAAACAAAACACATGTCACATTGAGCTCCGGGAAGTCTGGATGGATATTTTTTATGCTTTTTGACATTTTACAATATTTACATGATTGTATGTATACAGTAATCTCACTCACACTGTGTCCACTCAGATTAACAATTTCTCAAATATAGAATAAAATGAATGATCAATCTTAATCAATGTAGTTTTCCAAAAGTTTTAAATATTCACAACTCAAAGCTTCATCTGGACACACTTTCCCATAAATGTAACCACTAAAATTGCAAAAAACAAGCAGGAAACCACTGATGCTAAAAGTCAGTAAAATGATCTTTTTTTCCTGATGTTAGTTGAAAGTCAAATAAACATGTCAAGTGAGGACGTACGGACCCATGTGGTCACATCCAACCACTGAGAGTCCAATTTGATTCTGACCTAAAGGGTTAATACACATCGTGTAACCCCCCCCCGCTGTGAATACCATGAAGCAGACACGTGTTTGATGGCAGTTGTGCATATGTTGAGGGAATTAGGTACCACTCTGCTTTGAAGTGTATGGCTACTCAGAAATATGTGTGTGAGAGACGCTGTGCTACATGCAGTGTTTCTGTGAAATCATGCATCTAGATTATGTGCATCTGCAGAGGTTTAGATGCACCCAGTTGGGCTGACAAGCTGAATTACCAAAATGTCTATTATGAAATTATATATTTTTTCAATTAAAAAGAGAGGTGATGCAAAAATGAATCAATATTGAGAGTAATTGTTTGTTGTAGCCCTAAACCCAGGGCTTATTGAACCTTGCTTTGTTTGAATCACTTAGTCGACAGAAAATATAATCAATTTTGATAATCGATTGATTATTTTTCAAGCAGAAATACTAAAGATCCTCTATTTCCAGCTCCTGAAAGGTGAATTTACTGCTTGTCCTAATCTTATGTGATAGTAAACTGGGTATCTGTAGGTTTTGGACTCTGTAGTATAGTTGGTGGCAGTCAGTGCATGCTTTTCTTATTGAAAGTGGTCCGAGTGACTCTGTGGTGAACAAAAAATAAACACTATTCATCAATCAGCACTAGGTGAGGTTTGCCCTCATGCACAGGTCAAGGAAGGAAAGGGGGGGGGGGCAGTGGGAGCAAGAGATGGTAAATGTGGCACATGCTAATTGAGAGTGCCAATTTAAGGATTACCGGGAAAGGAGTTTTGAATGAGATTGATTGGGACTGCAGGCGAGAGACTGGTGGAGACACCAACGGCAACATTAGGTCAAGTGCATGCAGGAACTACTAGTAGCAGCGTGATGTTGGCATATACTCCACTGCATAATTGCGTTGTGAACAAGAGAGAGGAGAGGAACAGCCAAGAGAAGATCAGAAGAAGAAAAGAAGTACAGGGATCAGTCAAGGACGAGGAATCATGTTAACATCAGTGAAGCTTTCAATTGGTGAAGACTGCACTGTCAGACTGGGAAGGAAATTTGGCTGTGGACTCAGCCGCTGGGACTGGGCCACACCCAGATAGGGCTGGGGAAAACTTTGTGGATGTTTAGACGATCCACCGGCCCATCAGGTTTTGTCCAGGAAGTCTTGATAGTCAGTCCAACTATGGTGGAGAGACCTCTGAGACTTGAAAGACATGAAAACAGATGCAGAGATTGCTTTGTTTCTGCTTGACAGGTGGGTAACATTAGTTTTGCTCTGTTCACAAACACAATAGGTCAGTATTGTTTTGTCCTGTTTACTAATGTTTGTGATAGCTAATCACAACTTGTAAGTTAGCAAGCAGGTACCAGTATCACACTGTGTGTCCAGTAATGTAAAATTATCTCCCCAGGGAGATTACTTTCTAGTAGGGCGAAACAATAAAAAGTAGAGAATATGATTTGTAGGCCGAGGAATCTCTGAAGCACCGCAACGCTTATGGTGCTAACAATGCACCTCAATGTTGTGTCACATTTTACCCATTTTTTAAAAATTGCAGCTCCTGCTATTTTTTCCAACTCCTGCGATTTGGAAATTACACTTAGGCATATTGCGATTTCAATTACATTTCAATGAATTGTGCAGCCCTACTGTGTAGTTTGCCATGATATGCTGTTGGTGTGGTGCTAGCAGGAGAGTATTGCTGTCTGCAGCTGCTGTGCTGGCTATGGGAAACTGCCTCGTCCTCTCTGCATGTTAGCTTTGCAGCAGCAACTGTAGCCACAGTTCGCTGTCTTGTTGTTTTTTCTATATCATGTATTTGTCTGTACAACATGTGAAGGGATTTATAGCCATGAAAACCGAAAAACAGCAGAGCAACGGTAACGTTGCCTATCTTGTTAGTTTAGCAGCAAACTTACAGTCCTCTCCTTTGTCACTGTAGTTTTGTAAAAACAATCTAAACAACTAACGCTCACGAGTTTTTCTTCCGTTGTGTTTTGGGTGTTGTTAGTTTGATGATGTTTTATATTATAAGGATTGGTTTGCTTCAGCTTTGAGAAAGAGTATCAACTTCCACGCCATATAAGATGATCTGGATTCCGTCGTTGCCTTAGCAATGCGGGTCCATGAATTTGGGGGGCAGAGCATCTGAAGAAGCACTGAAGAGAGCAAATATCAATATGTCTTTTTTTCCGGAATTGCTTACTCTTCTTTTAGTGCAAAGTAGTGAACTGCATGAATTTCATGATACTAAATGCTGATATGACGTGGTCAGGAAAGCCACACAATTAAATTTTCATGTTTATTCATTTCTAGCCAGATGTGTGTTTGACACCAGTACATCATGTAGTGTGTTGTAGTGCAGTGTTGTATTGCTGCAGTGACCATCCTCATCTCCCTCTGTTGTACAAGGGGAGGATGGAGGGGAGGGGTGAGGATTATATCTCGAGCCCTTTGCAAAGCTCACACCAAACAATCAACCATTGGAAATAATCCTCTGAAACACACAGACACCAGCACACAGTTACAAACACACACACACACACATGGATGTCTGCTTAATAATATATTACAATACATATTTCTAAATTCCACACACATAGATTCAAAGAAAATCTACACATCGCGGAAATTTGTTTCATCTCCTCAGTGAGCAGTTAAGCGTCTATAAATATGAACAACCTCTAGCCTCAAGATAAAATTGATAAAGTCAAGGTTTTTTTTATTGTTTCGATGATGTCCACTCAAAGCATATGTACAGTATATAGTAAAAGAGAGAATTTAGTAGGGGTTGGGTTGGAAATAGAGGTTCCAGTGATCGGATATTCTCTTCAAGTAGCTAAAATGTCTAAAATTACAAAAATCATCGCATTTAGGGCTAAGTAACAACTAGAAGTTGTTTTCACAGATAATTAACTACCAATTATTTCTTGACTGATAGATTTAGATAGATTTAGATTTATTGCTATCACTTAATTTCTTCTACTGAAGCTAGAATGCTAACTGGCTAGCTTCGTCTTGTCTAGTCTTGTCACTTTCTGATACTGAGTCACTGCAGCGCCGAGTCTGCCCTGAAGAAGTAGCACTTATCAAAGAGCATATTATAACATTTTGTATTGTAAATGCAATGATGTCTGAAGCTATCAGCAAGACTGGTAAGTAAACAGCTGTTAACGCTAATGCTGGCTATGTAGCAATAGCAAAACTAACAAATAGCTCCTTTAAGGTTCAATGTCAGCTAGAGTCTCATTTCCACACACATGCTTGACATATATACAGGAAACTAATGTTCTTCATGGAGCTCAATGCAACATTGAACCAAGATTAAAGACATTAAATTTACTATAAATATATATTTAAAGTGTTATAGTGTAGTATATACATGTAAATAGAGTAAAACTAAAAACTGTAAACTAAAAAAATAAACATAAACAAACAGCACAGAGTCTTAAGGGAAAGGGTGAACAATCCTACATTAACAGCATGTAGTCTCTATTTCTATTGGCTATAAAGGCTAAGTAGATACATACAGAACAGATAGAGTCAGTGAAACCACATCCAGATTCTCATGTTTTATCACAGATAATAACAAACTTAGTGTGAGGTCAGTTAAGATCAGAGGCAGGCAGATTGGGAGGGAGGACTTATAGCTGTATAGCCAACATGCATCTGTCTGATCTCTTGAATTAACATCCGCGATTGGTTAGAGACCTGGTTGGATCATTAATGTGGACGACCATAAGTGGATACAAGAAGAGGGATTGACAATCCTGTGACAGCCAGGCTGAAATCAGTTCTGAGGCAGTTTTGTCGTGTCCTGCTCTGGTGGTATGTGCACCTTTATCTACAGCAGCTCGTGCACATTTACAGTAATCAAAGCCTGCTCTTCTGGGAGATTAACGCATTCTGTCATCGCGGCCCATCCTCCTGGAAACCATGACGATTAAGAAGATGTGTCGTAAGTACATGACTGGATGTGGAGATTGATTGTGATGGTTATCACGCACTGCATAGGTCATCATCACACATCTGATGGACTAGCAGAGTATTTACATTGACGACCCCCATGTTTATCCAGTTGCCATTATTTTTGAAAGTCGCTGTGGGAGACTTTCTGTTTTACGGCTTCATTTGGCCCATAAGAGCATGTCACTACCCTACCAGCTGGGGTTAGTTCCTTGTTTCTTTGCTCCAAACTTGGCTCACTTTGAAGTCAGTCCACCTTCATTCTTGTGCTTTTTTTCTTTTGCTTCCATCACTAACATGTGTTTCCAAAGCTCTCACAAAGACTAGGCTTCCCTTCAAAGGGGAATGCCTCCTGGTCTGCAGCCTACCTGGCAGAGTAGTAATACCTGTGTCGCGTTGCTGTGAAATCTAGGATTTACTGTAAGCTTCCTGACTAAACAAGCTGAACCCGCTGTCTTGAATTGCTGTGTTTTATTAGGGACTCTTAGCTGTCATATGACGTAACAGACCTGTCTATGACCAGTCGTTCCTCTCCTGGCTGTTGCTCTGATACTCTAAACAGCATCTGTTTCTTGTACTTTGCTGAGTACTTTTCAGGGAAGACATTAGAAACTTAGAAGTCAGATTCAACCCTATAAGGCTGTAAATATATTCCGCTTTCCTCAGCTGAAAGAGAGCCACTGGGACTGTTCAGTAAGAGCTGGTTCCTAGAGGCCAGCTAGGTTTCGTCTTGAGCCAGGTCTGACATTTCCTGGAGCAGGAAAATAATCTGTGTGTTGGGGAAAGAAGACAGATTTGCAGAAAGCTCTAGGTCCTTCAGTATGTCCTTGCAGCTTATATTCGTCAGTGCCGCCCTCCTCGCAGAACACATGCTGTTGCTTCATTATTTCTGACCTGCTCAGGGAACAAAGGTTTAATATCCAGCGCTCACTCCTAGAGAGGATGACGGGCAGCCTTATTCTCACTGTATTATTCTGTACACATGTAACAGGAGTTTAAATGGATTTATGTGTTTTTGGAAATGTGTGACCTTTCCTAGATCAGAATGGAATAACCTGCATCTGTAAAATGTCAGTTTGTCACAAACCAAGAAAAACAGCCTTGATCCTAGCTTAGACCATGTATCAATTTTGAATGTACCCACCAGGTTTTGAGAGGATTTTATCTGCCCACAGTGGTCGTTGAACCCTATCAGCAAATAGAGGAAAGGGTCAAATCTTTCAAAACTTTCAACCACCTTGTCCATGAGTGAATTTCAAGAAAAACGACTGTGAGAATGTCTTTCTCACTCCCATTCCCCTCAGAAGACTCGTATAAATGAAGTGCATGTGACCAACTGATGTTACCAAACAATGTTCATGCTAAGAATGACATAAGGATTGAAAAGAGGATTTGTGAAGACTATAACAGTGGAACCCCCTCCCCCTCCTCTCTTCAGTACTCCCTTCACCGAGGATTATACCTCTGCAATTGAAACTTGGCAGGGCATTCTCCGCCCCAAAATACAACATTTCAGATCACACAGGCAATCTGCCTTTGTGCCTGGACTGGCGACTGTTGCAGAGACTATAGCAAGGGGCAGAGATATGGCCAAAGGGAGCAAGAGATGAGAGAGTGGAGGTGAAAGCGTGGCACCAGACAAACTAGTAGGTAACAATTTTCATGCCCCCTCCTTGTCTACTCTACTTTTGGTAAATGTGTGCGACTGTATCCCTAGCGCTGCAGAAAATGCCATCGGCACAGCTGATGGATTATAATCATATCTGATTGCAATTGTCTCACTGAGTCGGATTGTTTGTAAATGTGAGATTCATACTTCTGACAAGGGTTTGGCATGGCCATGCTGCTTTCCAGATGTGTTTATATACGATTAATGTTTAGAGATGTAGTCGGTGGGGTCTTTGTCGAGTAGAAATGTGTAGTGTTATTGGACAGTGGACACATTCTTACTTGTTGACTCTTCATGTTGATGGTGATGACTTTGCCTCAGAGGGAAATTAGATTGCTTTAGTAACAATCCTGTGTTGACACACAAGGACCAAAATAGACTTGAAGTGATAATTACTAACAGTTGACAGGTGTTTATGGCTCTAGGGTGAGAGTTCAAAATGATCAAGTAGAGTTAAATTGACTGCCTAATGATGGGTTTTCATCAGTTTTTCACTATTTGCATCCTCTCTTATTATTCACACTACTGAGGAGACAGTAGTGAGACACATCATACTTGAATTTCATCAAAACTAAATTATCCTTCAGGGATGGCAATGTCAATCTGTTGGTCCACCACTTTCATCCAGACTGACATATCTCAACAATTATTGGATGGATTGCCATAATGTTTTGTACAGTCATTCATGATCCCCAGGGGATGAACCCTAATGACTTTGGTGATTCCTTGATTTTTTCTGTAGTACTACCAGCAGAGCAAAGTTTTTATACATCTCATGAAATGTATAAATGTTGACTTGATGGATTGGCACAGCATTTTGCAGAGGCATTTATGGTTCCCAGACCATGTATCCTAATAAATTTAACAATTCCCCTGACTCCTCCAGCACCAGCATGTGGCTGACATTTGTGGTTTTGGGTGAAATCTCTCAGTAACTACTGGAAGGAAGAAAAAATGCCCCATGACCACAAAGTTTAGTTCTACAATCATGTGTCATCTTGTTCCATCATCAGGATTCATGACCGAAACTAATGACATTCACATCAACCGTAGCCAACTTTGTGTCTAATTAGCAAACATTAGCTTATTAACACACTAAACTAAGATGGTGAACATGATAAACATTATACCTGCTAATCATCAGCATGTTAGCATTGTCATTGTGATCATGTCAGCATGCTCATAGTATCATTCACTTCAAAGCACCACTATAATGGTGGTGTGGCCACAAGCAGGGGGGGGGCAGGAAATATGGTGGGTAGGGTTGTAAACATAAACTGCAGGGGCTAGCATGGCTAGTGTGCTAACCACAGCAGTCCACAAATTTGGAAATTATAAAGAATTTTAGCAAATGCTTTACTGTCATTAATGTCTGTCATTGTCCTTACTTATTCTTTCACCTGCAACAAATATATATATATATCGTGTTTCCTGAATCAGTCAGTCCCACCCCCTCTCTCAAACTCGCTGGACATTTGCGAGCTTCACAATGTTGTGTTTCGAATGTCAGATGGAATTTTGTGCGAAGCAGAAGCCCAATTTGCGACCACAAGAAAATATCTCTCCCTGTTCCACATCGAAATTAATGGGAAGTGAATTTGGGTCTGACTACAGCTTCAGTCTTGTTCTTTCCTGTACTTTTCCAACATGAATTTAGCCATTAAGTAACTTCCACTCAAGCCTGTGTCAAGTCCTGTCAGACCTGTCAGTCACAGGTGGGCCAACAGCCAGGGGCCACATCTCATGGCTCCTTGCTGACTCATTCTTTACTGCACTCATCAACTATATCTCTTCCTTAATCAGCAGCTCCATATTTTGTGTAGTATTTAGATTCTGGCAGTTTCTGCCTTTTCCATTTAGAGGATGATGCACAGATTACATCTCTTGAATTGTTTCTTCATGTCCTGTTTAGCCATCGCCTGCTGTGTTTGGGTTGCCTGCAGTTATGCTTCTTTACTTGCCTTAGGAACCACAGCCAAATACTCAAAAGGCATTCTTGTTGTGTGAGTGAGTGGTAGGTGTCTCTAATCCCCATTTAAGAGCAGTCAGCCACCCAGAATGGTAACAATGTGAATCCTCACTAGCTACAGGAGAGGAATGTTTTGTTAAGATGGTCTATAAACAATCCAGAGTCTTCATATTTGACAAATCAGTTAAAAGATCCATGGGTGCATCATTAACCAACACTTAATACTGTGCACGCCAGTGCATGCTAAAGGATGTTGAAGCATGTGTCCTCCCAGCAATAAACCCATTCCTCCCACTGTCTCCACAGGCAGGATGACAAACCAGCCAACAGCCAACCAGTCCAACACAAACAAGGAGAAGGAGAAAGAAGAAAACCAGCGAGATGACAACACAGAGGTTGCGTATAAAGATGCTGGCCACTGCAGCCGCAACACTCACAACCTGCTGCTGGGACTCACTGTTATGGGTATGCATGGACTGGGAAACTGCAATTTCTATCAGCTTGTGTACCTCAAAATGGATTGTAATCGGAATAAACGTTAAGGCATCTTATGACTTCAGAAACATTTGACAAAAAAACCCATAATTTCAGCTTTTGGTTAACATAATTAAACATGCCAGATCCCAAAATTCCTGCATTCTTTACTGTTTGAATAGAATTGAATTTGTGGTCAGTATTATAGACATTTGTGCTGCAGCAAATATTAACACGCACGATCCTAAATGTACAGACTCCATGATCATTTTCCCACGGGACATCTGAGGCTTGTTGTTGTCATTAGTCTTCCTCTGTAAACACTTTGGTATGTTTCTGCATAGCTGCGTTCGTTGTCAAAAAAAAAAGCCCTGCGAAGTCAAGAAGTGTGTTATTTTGGTCGGTCATTTATCACACAGATTCAAACCCAGATTTAAACCCGTTTACATTACAGTAGACGCTTCTCATCAGTCAGAGGTCTCTTACATGTCAGATATGAAACAACACAGTTTTGGGGGCCAGAGGAGTAGGTCAGTGTGTCCACCAGTACAGTATAAACTGAGGGTCTGTCATCTCAAGGTTTCTGAAAACTATTTTAGATATTTCTGATATTTGGGGTTGATATATTGCACCAATCTAACTAAGTACACAGAGTAGCATTTATCCATGATTTTCTACTTCTCAAGAATCATGGGACTGTGAAACTCTGCTGAACCCAGACTAATGAGCAGCTCTTTGAGGCCACGGGACTGAACAGACTTTTTAAATGGTTTGAGAAACTAATGTGGACCTAATTTGCAAAATTATTGCGGAACAAAAACAAAACTTAATAATTTAATAATGTAATAACATTGATAATGATAGTTATTTTAGTAAAAATACATAGTTTTATCCCTACTTGAAAAAAAAAACTTTTCCAAAAAATTACTCTGAATAATGAACTCTCTCCTCTCCTCAGGTGTTGTTATGGGGGCGGTGTTTGGGATGCTGCTGCGCTACATGAAGGTGACGGACAGCTCTGTCCTCACTATGATTTCCTTCCCTGGAGAAATCCTCATGAGGATGCTGAAAATGCTCATCCTGCCTCTAATCATCTCCAGTCTTATCACGGGTGTGGCACTACACACATGTGCAAGCACACACACACACACACATCCAATGTACAGTAAGGTACATGTGGTATAAGTATAGCATTCTTTGGAGTGAAGCCGAAGAATAACTGATTTGTTTGTCTACACCACAAGAAATGTTGGTAAATCAGTCTCTCAGATCAACATTTGTATTCACCGTCAAATACCTATACAAATATTGGATGGATTGGGTTGTAACGTGGAACAGATATTTATCCCCAGAAGATGAATCTTTAATAACTCTGGTGATCCTCAGACTTTTCATTTAGCACCACTAACAGATCAAACTGTACTCGGAGAAAAGTGCTGCTAAACATTAGCATGCATACTAAGGAATATAAAATGCTAAATGTTACACCCCAATTAAATGTGGACATGTTAGGTAATGTACATAAGTTAACATTCTTATGTTAGTCTTTAAGATTTTTTTTTTATTGCTGGAACCAGACGTTGCTTAATAAACTATATATTGCATAATATGGAAATGCTAAAGTTTACACTAAATATCAGTATGTTAACTGTACGTAACACTCTTACGTTAGCATGTCAAGAGCAGTTTTGAAACCAAGACAATTCACAGTACATAGTGCTGACTGTAGCTAACTAGTTAATGCATCCAACAAAGACAGATAACAGGGTGGGAACATGTGGGACCAGAATACTGCAATTGTCAAACTTCCAGGAAAAACCACACTCATTGTCTCTGTGGACATTTACAGGGATCCTTTTGATTTTCAGTGAATGTGGACACTAATGGCCATCTGTCTCTTTCAGGGCTGGCTGGTTTAGACGCCCGTTCCAGTGGCAGGATGGGTAGTAGAGCCATGGTGTACTACATGTCCACCACGGTTATCGCTGCCATCCTCGGGGTCATCCTGGTTTTGGGGATCCACCCGGGGAACCCAAAACTGAGAGCGGGCGCATCGGGCACAGCCCCAAAGAGCCAGGAGGTCAGCAGTCTTGACGCCTTCCTCGACCTGATCCGCAACCTCTTCCCTGAGAACCTGGTGCAGGCCTGTTTCCAACAGGTACGTCTGGTTTCATTACTCTGTCCTGTTGCAAGCATCAACAAACATAACAAATATGGAATAAATGTAAATTGATAATTAATAAAAATGTGTTATTTTTCAGTCCATCATTAGTTCTTAGTTTGTCTTATAATGAAACATGCATTATTCAACTTTGAGGTAAAGCTGAACGATCTACGCTGAAAAACAGATTCAGTAGAGTGGTTTTCAACAGTGAGTTTTAGTGTCCAGTAAAGCTATTTGAGAAGTTATACCACTGTAGTCAAAGATAACTGTCATCCAGTCTGTGTTCAAAGTTGACAAAACATCTCACAAGGAGGTACATTTAGTATCTGTTCTGGAGCTTTCGGTCATGTCAAACAACCCTCTGCAATTCCATAACAACTGACTGAACTGATGGTTAAATATTAGAAAGTCCCCTCCGAGTTCCTCTGAAAAGGCTTTTAAGTCATCATCATGTCTGTACAAGGGATCAGTGAGAAGTTTGACAGGATGAAGGAACTGCAGGGAGATGTTAACTACTGGTGATTCTCTGGAGAACCCAGTTGTCCTCCAGACTTCATACACAATGTTTTCTACATGTGTTCTACCACCAGCAGCTAGTTAGCTTAGCTTGACAGAAAGACTGGGAACAGGTCTAGCATCTGTAAAGCTCACAAATTAACATGCTGGATCTGTGAGTGTGTGCAGGACTATTTCTTGCCTGTGTTTACACAAACCAGACATTTTAATTAGTGTCAGTAGCTGTGTGTTTACCATATAGATGTGAGAGTAGTATCACCTCTCAGCATTTAACAAAATTTAAAACTATTCCTCTAAAGATTTGGTTTTTAATTCAAATACATTAAACTTAAACTAGAATTTAAGACAACTGAAGTCATGTTTCACATATTTATTGTACTGCTGAAACAATGATTAGTTGATACAAAATTAAAGTAAATTTATCAAACATTTGGTGTCATCTCTTTATCAATTGTTTGTTTGTTTCATACCATTGTAAATTAAATACTTGTTCTACTTTTTGACTGATAAAACAAGCGACTTGAAGGAATCACTCCAGGCTCAGATAAGCTGATATTTTAATCTGTCATTATTTTGGGCCTTTTAAATGCCAAACAGTTAATTAAGTTAATACATAAGCGGCTGTTTCTTCAAAAATAATTCAGACCAGTAATTGCAACCCTAGTTTAAGTGTTTGAATTGAACGTCCATATCTTCTCTCTGTCATGCGTGTGTCTGAATGATTAGAAGCAGTTGTCTGTGTTTGACTGGCTGAGGATCAGCCCTTCTGCTACTGCTAATCTCTTTACATCTGTAACGCCACATCCTTATTTACCACAGTTATGCATCTGCTGGTGAACAGGGAGCACTGCGGAGAACGAGTTTATAGACTCCTCTCTCTCTTCTCTCCTCCCTGCGGTATCCTCTGTTTTCTCTCTTTGTCTTTGTGCCTTTCTTCACTGCTCTCTCTGTTCTGTCTACATCTCTGTTTTACTGCTTCTTTTGTTTGTACTCATCGGGGATTCTTTGAAGTCATAAAGGGCATAATCGCTTTTGCAGGAAGGATTCGTCCTTCACTTTTCAACCTTTCAGCCATCCTGTCTTCCTTTTCTTTCTCTTTGTTGTCTTTATGTGAGAATCTCATGTTCCCCCTTTGGCTTTTTTCTTTAAACACAGTTTATAGTTCATTGTGCTGCTGCCAAGCTTTTGTTTGCTCTCACACCAAACGAGTTACACAATCGGAGTTTTGCTATGTGAACTGGAATCATGTCAGTTCAGTTTTAGTCTGAACCCCCTGTTTCATCTGAATGTGGTTCTCTCCTCCCTCCAGGTTCAGACGGTGCTGAAGAAGGTGCCGGTTGTAGCACCAAACCAGACTGAGCCCATTTTAGTGAACAGAAAGAAACTGGAATACAAATGGGGCATGAACGTCCTTGGTGAGTTGATGACAGCATATGCTTCGTGCTGTCCTTCATGCTTAGTTTACTTTTTTTTCTTTTCTTTTCTTTTTTTTTTTTTTTTTTTTTTTTGCATTTGCATTGTGTGTGTTTTACTCCGCTGCATGTTGGAGTTTCCGCTGACGTGCCGCTTTGTGTCTTCCTCAAGGCTTGATTGGCTTCTTCATCACCTTTGGTATCTGCATGGGCAGGATGGGCGAGCGGGGGAAGATCATGTGCGACTTCTTCAACATCCTCAATGAAATTATCATGACGATGGTGTCTCTGATAATGTGGTCAGTGTTTTGTTTTCCCCTGTGCGTGTTTGTGTTTGTCTATCTGCGCGTTTGCAAGCATGCACAACACGCGTCTCTGTTTTTGCTCATGTTGGCCAACGGCTGCATTGCTTTGACATTCTGGAGATACCACACAAGGAGGTCGGTGACAGTGATGGATAGGGTGAACACTGTGCATGAGACAAATTGTGGGACCAAGCAACAGGGTTGGACAGGGAAGACTGAAAAGGAGAGAGAGGAAGAGGAAGAGGGAGAAAGTGTGTTAGTGAAGGACACGGACAGATGGAAAGAGAGAGAGGGTTTCCCTGGGTCATGCTGGAGTCTGTGGTATGCTGGGGAGTAGCAGGAGCCAGGGCCCGGAACAATGTTGTGGGTTCCCAGGGGAGGCGTGGTGGAAGATCTCCAAAATGTAATGGATCCACCAACGGCAGAGGAGCCACTTGGCAGCAGAGCAGAAAGCAGATGCGGGCAGGAGGGACAGCGGGACGTGGAAAGATGCGTGTGAGAGCATGCTTCAGAGAGCGGTGCGCGCCTTGAGGCTTCGCAGGACCCCGGCTAGTCGCACAGAGAGCCAGAGTGTAGTGGCACTCAGAGCGGGGATGGGAAGGGAGGGGAAGGGGGTGGGGGGTGGGGGGGGGTGGTTGGAAGAAACACAGCAGGATTCTTGTCTTGCAGCTCTCCTAGGCCATCTACATGTGCAGCTGGACACCAAAGGAATTGCGTCCTTGTTCGTATCACTCTCTCAGTATAAACAGATTACTCATGCGCCTATGGAGCCAGCCAAACACCGAGTCCAGTGTATACAAAAACACGTATCATACGAGGAACACATCCATCAGATCATATACGCGGCATACTCCACCAAACAACTGTCAGCGAATGCCAGCGTCAGGGTTGAGCTTGCAGCTGACCTGAGGGAGCAGGCCGCTGTCATGATGAGACCTGCTTTGACTCGGACCAGGAAGAGCTTAAAGGGGAACACCGCTTTAATTCACATGTCCCACAGCGGTCTGTGCTCATGAACAACTGCACTCCAAAGCTGGAAACTAGAGATCCAAGAATGTGTCATGTCTTCAAGTGGAGAAAAGGCCTCCTTTGACATTGAATTAAGATTGATTAGGTGTTGGGCTGACATTTCACACTAACACGAGGGGGGAAAATTTTTTTTTTTTTCTTTGTCAGAGAAATTGGTCTTCATTTTTAGCTGAAAGCTGATAAACACACTTGTGCAGCAGCTCCAAAAAGAGGATGGTTTACTTTTTATCAACTAAAATGAAAACTATGAGAGTTCTGCAGTAATGAAGAATCAAGGAGTAAAAACATGTTGTGTGTGATGTAAGATAAGAAGAAGAAAGTCAGCAGCAGTAGATCTTCAGTTTTCATTTTCAAGCTTCAAGCACAAATAAACTTCAGAGAAAGAAAGAAAGAAAGAAAGAAAGAAAGAAAGAAAGAAAGAAAGAAAGAAAGAAAGAAAGAAGAAAAGCACTGTTTTCAGACCTGGTGGTTTTTCACCATTTCTAATGTTTTATAGACCAAATGATCATCAATCAATTAAATAAACTGCAGATTAATTGATAATGTAAATAATCATTAACTCATAATCATTGCAGACCTTAAATATATGATGTTGTTTTTGTTGTTTGATTTGCCCAGAAGAATCATCCCAGATATTAAAAGTGCTTTACATACAAGAAATTATTGAAAATTATTTATACTCCAGCCACATACAGTTATTAATAAAGTATAGGAAATATGTGAAAGAATATGCAGAAAGATGATGTGACTAATAGAAAATAAAACCACTGTTTTATCGAAACCATATCCAGTCATTTTCTCCCCATCTCTGTGTTCAGGTACTCTCCTGTTGGCATCGCATCTCTGATCGCGGGGAAGATTGCGGCCATCGGAGACCTGGAGATGGTGGCCAGACAGCTCGGCATGTACATGGTGACCGTCATTGTGGGCCTGGTGATCCACGGCGGCTTGATCCTACCTGCTATATTCTTCGGCATCACCAGAAAAAGCCCCTTTGCTTTCTACTCTGGAATCTTCCAGGCTTGGATCACCGCTTTGGGCACTGCTAGCAGGTATGACAGCCTGCAGGAAGTATGTCTGTGTGTGTGTGTGTGTGTGTGTGTGTGTGTGTGTGTGTGTGTGTGTGTTCTGTTTGGGCATGTGTTAACACATGTGTGTCACATGTTTCTTTTACAACATCTATTCCTCTTGCAGCTGCTGTAGTTACTGTGATTGATCGGCGTAGCCTGCCACTTGTTTTCAGTTATTTTGGTAAAATCTAAAAGGGCAAAGAGGCAAATTCTGTATTTACACAACTGAACTGACAAATCAGGACAGCAGAGCCAAATGTGTGTAAGCGCAGGCTATCACAGACAAGTCCGTGTCTGATAGATCCTGTGTTGTGGATGTCTGAGCCCTTGGATTAGCCGTCACCAGCCAAACTGTCCCTGCTGTATCCTGCCTGGGTCGGCTTGGCTTGGCTTGGCTTGGCTCGGCTCGGCTCGGCTTGGCCAGTCTGGGATTCTGCATTTCTGCTGAAACCAACTGTCATTTTGGCACATTACTGAGGCTTTGGTGAATATGGGTAATCCTATCAACGTTTTCTCTAATTATATTATGACCCGAGCTAAGCAGGGCCAGAATCAAATTCCTTTAATTCACATGTTGGAGGATTGCAACAGTGGCCTACACCAGCTGTTAGGAAGAGGCTGTCAGCCGACTCAAATTTCTACTGCTTTTTTTTTTTTTTTTGTCTCTACCCCAAACATTACCCCTACACATCCCTCCTCACCTCTACACTTCTGTCTTTCACCACCTGTCCGCCTATTTTATGTCCTTCAACAGACACTTTGCTCCTGTTCTTTGTACATCTGCACCTTTTTTTTTTTTCTGACTCATCATCTCGTGGCGCCTTCTGTTCTCAGTGCAGGGACGTTACCCGTCACCTTCCGCTGCCTGGAGGAAAATCTAAAGATTGATAAACGCGTGACTCGCTTCGTGCTGCCCATAGGTGCCACCATCAACATGGACGGCACGGCGCTGTATGAGGCCGTGGCAGCCATCTTTATTGCCCAGATGAATGACATCAGCCTGGATGGCGGACAGATTATTACTGTCAGGTAAGGCACATGGGGGACGGCCTCTCTTAGTGGATTAGTTTCCAGTTTTGATAGTCTTGAGAACAGTGATATTAAGGTGTCAGTATACTCCATCAGATGGTTGAGTGGCCTCTTATCTTAATTTAGCTGAATAATAACAATTTGACTTAAAAGCCTATTATAGGCTATTTGTGCAGCAATTACACTGATCTTCTTGTGTTTTTTTTGTCCTGTAGCTATGTATGTGTTCGTCTTGCTGTTGCAACTACGCAGTCAATGTGACAGTGAGAGTTTGAAAGTTTTTACAGAGGAGGTAAAAGAGATAAAAGGCCTAACGTGTGTTACATTGTCCAGTAATCTGAACTTTACTTCAGATGTGATATGCACCAAAGCTCCACCCCTCTTTTGGTAATTTCACAACATATAAAGTCTTGCAGTGCATAAAAGTTTGGGAACCCCCAGATGAAATTATTTCTTTTATACCATATCAACATTTTTATTGGATTTTGCACGGCTCTAGCTGTGAATAGTTAAAAGTAGTTCTAAGTGTCTGTTTTAACTGTTGAGATTTTCAAGTTAAAAATGTTTGCAAGGGGCCACACGCTGCGTAACTCCAACTTGTCATTAAAACATTTCTCATTGTAAATATACTATTGTAAGCATGCAGTCAAAGTGACTAATGTAAACAAAATCCAGGAGACAATGTTACGTGACTTACATCAATTTTAGGTATTATACTGTATTGTCTAGAGATCAATGGCAGTCTCTGTGTGAATGCGAAATCGTTTCTGAGGTTTCACCAAAACATTTAAGTCTGATTGGAACCAGTCTACTTGGACCAGACGGTGATTGTTGTGGAGTTACAAATGATGTTCAGCACTTTGAGGGTTGTTTATTGTAGGTCTTTTATCAATCACTGTTTACCACCAAATTCCCAAATCTAATTTTCCAAAAGTTCAATAAGAATTGTTCTAAAATAAAATCCACATGTGCTGTGTAAATGTCTTGAACGCCCTACTGAATGTCCCAGCTGCTGTGGAGTCATATTTGGTGCTGTGGTTTCTCAAAAACGATTGAGATGTAATACAGATCTCTGAAATCAGACAGAACAGCATCGTGCAGTAAATAAACTGTCCAAACTGGCCTGCAGTCACAGCGGGCACCAACATGAACTAAACTTTCCGCACATATACGGCGTTTATATGATGTGGTAAATTTAACACATACCACACCTCGTATAAATCTGTTGTCCAGCGGAGGGTCTTGTTTTTTAATCCCATAACTCACCTTCTGCAATTATCTGAATGTATCTCTGTGAAGGAGAACGGTGAAATATCTACTGTGACATTAAAATAAATCCATACTAAATGTATGGTAACTGTAACTGTGATAATCCTACAATTATCATGCCAACTCATTCACAGCCTTTCAGTCTAAATCCAAGTGGTATCCAGTACCTTTTAGGGCTCTTCCACACCAAGTTTATTGGCTTTATTGGCGGCCATTCAGCCGAGTAAGCGTGCTGAATCAGCAGCGAAGGCACTCGGTGAGCTCTCTGAATGCCTCTTCAACCCCGTGAATCAGCAATTCCCACTATTAAATGTGGTTTCACCTCTGCCTTTTCTGTTGTTGCCACAGTCTGACATCACCGTGGTCTGTAAGTTACTGACAATGATCCTTTGACTGAAACGTTTCGCTTTCTCTTCGCATTTAATCGCCTTTTGCCCATGGAATAAATGAACTCTTCTTGCATCTGTCAAGAGGGCAAACCCTTTTACAGTTGTTCAAGAGTGACGCAATGAAATGTTCAACTTTATAGCAACTTTTTTTTATCAGGCATGTTCTCAATTCATATAACAAGTACATGAAACTGTTTCTCAGATACAGAACTTGCACGTCGCCCATTAACTGTAGTCCTTGTCCAAGTCCAAGTACACAAGGTAATGTGGGGTGAGGTACACAAAACATTACAAGTACTTTGTTGGCCTCACATCTTGGAGGTTGCATAAAGACCTTAAAACACTTGCCAGAGAGAAAAAGTTTTAACCATTGCATTGATGGAAAAAAACCTTTTTCCAGGTCCTTGCCTCAGCATGAAGATGGTTATGCTTCCTTGTCTCTCCTCCGCAGTATGACCGCTACCCTGGCCAGTGTTGGAGCTGCCAGTATTCCCAGTGCTGGACTGGTGACTATGCTGCTGATCCTGACGGCTGTTGGCTTGCCCACCCAGGACATCAGTCTGCTCATCGCTGTCGACTGGCTGCTGTGAGTCAGGTGTCCGATAGGTGGAGGGCATATGAGTAGAGACATTTGATGAGGGGGATTGTAAAAAATATTGGTGTTATTCAGCTGTTGTTGGGTCTCCTCATTTCACTCGCTGACACTGATACTGTTTGTCCACTCAGTGACAGAATGCGTACCTCCATCAATGTGGTGGGCGACTCATTCGGTGCCGGGATCGTGGACCACTTGTCCAAGGCAGAGCTCACAGAACTCGACGCGGCGGAAATGCAAATACTCCCGCCAGAGGAGGAGCTCGATTTCATCCCTCCGCCGCCGATCCTCACAGAGATGGACCTGATCGACCCTCTCAAACCGCCCGAGCTGCCACCTCGCTCCCCTCGCCCACCCAAACAAAACCACCATGGCCACGGCTTCTCCCAGTCCCACTCCATCACTTACTCCCCGTCCCGTTCTGTCCGATCTCCATCACCTCGCTCCATCCGTTCTCCCTCTCCGCGCTCCGTCTGCTCCCATTCTCCCCGGCCTTTCCGTACTCATTCACCACGCCTCCTCCGCAGGACGGAACCGGGCTACTGTGCTCTGCCCAGCCATGATAACCAGGTATCTACCCGCCACTGCTTCTTCAGTTTGTAGTGTAACGTCTCAGATTACATGCGTAACACAATGCTGACACGCTATTTGATTTCATGTTGATGTGTGGCGACTAATATTTTGTACCTTCTTGCTCCTTGAGGAAGTTTGTGTTTTGCAATGCAAGTTGGTCAAAGATTGATTAGTTTATATGGATGGATGGATGGATGGATGGATGGATGGATGGATAGATAGATAGATAGATAGATAGATACCACCATGCTTCACCATTGAGATAGTATTGGGCAGGTGGTGAGGGGTTTTGTCCAGACATGACACTTAGAATTGAGAACAGATGAAACATAAATATATTAACTCAGCTTTGTATTTGGAGGCTTATATCTTATAGCTTTTTTTTGCCTTAGCATGGTACGATTAGCGTTAGCATGGGGCACCAGAGTCCAAGATCTACCAGGGATCTGTTCTTATATGTTTTCAGGTAAAATGACTATCTCTCCAAACCCTGGTGGATTCCTTGAACGTTTAGCTTGTATTCAGTTTGTCAGTCACTTGGTACCGGCCACGTGGTCTGCCTGATCTCATCTGTGTGTCACTTTGCTTTCTCAGATTCCCACACTGCCTCGCTGCTACAGAGAAAGAGACCGGGAACGGGAGCGACTGAGGCGAGAGAGTGAAACTGAGGAGGAGGAGGAGAGGGAGAGGGTTTTGGGTGAAGTAAGCGACGGCGAGGAGAGTGATGACACTGCTTATGATCGGAGGCACGCCATCCCACCAGGCGACCTACCATGATTTGGATTTTTACCACCACAAAGCTTCCCCATCAATTTGTTTCCATTTTATGACAGCTTTCCCCACTTTAGTGCACCACTCTGCTTTTTAGCAACAGTCCAGCAGAGGTCCACAGTGGATTTCCAGCTGGTTACGTTGCTACTTCTTATATCTGTTATGAGTTCAGTGAACCTGGTCGACAGGACTGATTGATAAGCTCACTTTGAGTGTAATATTCATAGATATTAAAATGTTGTAATGACAACATGCTGTAACATTCCTGAAAACCAGCCCTGACATTTGGTTTTCTGCAACAGAGCTTAAATGGAGCGTTGTTTCCCTTGTTTAATCATCTGATTTCCTTTTTATAACTCTGTTACTGTGTTGATTTGTCATTTTATAACCAAACTTAAAATGTTCCCGTACGCCTGAAATTCTTTAAATATGCCTGATACCACAGAATTGTGATTCTGCTCTTGATGAGAAAAGTATGTTGCTGTTGTTACCAGCCTTTTAATGCACAACCACGGGTTATAAGTTGCTCCTTTGGTCAACTCCTTCTCTTCTACTTTTAATTTCTTGGCAGGAAGTGAAAATTATTAAACTTGAAGGAATCGTTTGACATTTTGGGAAATATGCTTTTTTGCTTGGTTGCAGAGAGTCAAAATCCATCTATCAATACCTCTGAAGTTCACTAAATAGCACCTTATATCTCTTAAAATACTAACTTGTTTTCCGGGTTCTAGGACTCATTCCTGCAGCACTCTGTGTCAACGTGCTGCCTGCATGTTTGTCCCACCTGTTTTGTTGCTGCTGCTTCATGTCTAATTTATTTTATACATCTGTTTCTTTCATGAGCCAGTAACATCAGATAACATTACTGACAGAGATATATTTTTAATAGGTACAAGGTACGTCATATTAAAGGACCTATTTGTTTTGCTGTGGCTACATAGCCTACATTAGTATTGGCAAGAAACCGTTTTTGGTAGCAGAGAAAACTTACATATAGCTCCTTTAATTGTAGTACTACAGGTCAAGTAGCTAAATCAACTTCTGAACAACAGATTTATTTTGGCGGCAGAGGAAATTGCTGTTGTAATCAGGAGCTACAGTGTGTGACTCTGCAGGTGCATGTAGATCGTTGAATAAGTATTTGCATGAAAGCAGTAATAAGTTAATGTGTCCATCTGGGGCGCCTCGGTGGATCACTTGGTAGAGCGGGAACTACATGCTTAGTCCTTACAGCAGCAGCCCGAGTTCAAGTCTGAGCCGTAGCCCTTTGCTGCATGTCAGCCCCTCTCTCTCTCCCTGCCTTTCCTGTCTCTCTCTCTCTCTCTCACTGAGCTATCAGAATAAAGAAAAAATGCCCCAAAAAAAAACAAAAAAAAAAAGTGTCCATCTTATGCTTTAGTATTTTCTTTGACGTCATAGTTCTCGTTTTTTAATGGTAACTTTTTATTTAGTTTTATTCTCATTTTTGTTTCTTTACACTAAACTAAGGTGAGCAGCTGTTGGTTGGAGCTTTATATTAATGTGCAGACACAAGAGTGGTGTCAGTGATATCAATCTAACGCTAGGCTATAAAGCCAACAAGCATATTTCCCAATATATATCAAACTATTCCTTTAAATGCCCTCAAGAATACAAGAAGACATTATTTTTATAATTCTCTATCTTCTTGCATCTCTACATTTTCATCCTCAGTGCTCTTCTTGCACGTCACCTCATTTTCCTTGACAGCAGTCACTATTGATGTTAATATTGTCTATATTATCTATGGTTTGTATTTTCTTGTTGTGGTCTGTTGTCTGAAATGATGAGTAATAGGCATGCTGTTTTAATTTTGTTGTATGTTTAAATTTACTAGTTATTTTACTTTTACTTGCGTTTATCATTTTGAGTTCTTAATTGCTGTAAATTAACTTCATCAGTCTCCTCTGTCCCACTGAATTGCCTTTCATATTAAATTAAAAATGCCTCCCTACATCCTTAGGTCTTAACTCAGATTCACAGGTCCAGATTGTGTGTAAATTGTATGTAATAAAATCTTAGAGATTTATTTGAAATAACTTCTAATGATTCCTCTGTGTTTTCTCTGCTGTCTAAGTAACTTGTACAATCTGTGGGGGGATTTGCACTCTAAACGGGACATGCGTCAGTGTTTGGTGTCTAAAGACAAAGGAAAAATCCTGCAGACCGAGATATTACTGAGTGGAAAAGTTGCAACAGACACACAAACAAACAAAAAAAGAGGCTGCGCTTACACATTGATGAAACAAAGACACACAGAGATACCAACACACTTAATCCTCTCAAAGAATAGTTAGAGATGGGAGAGGCAGGAGAGAGTGAGTGATGGGAGAGGAATCGGAGGGCGGCAGATGGCCAGAAAGACGTCAATCCTTTTCATTCTTCCCAGACAGCATAAGGGCACTGTGGGTAATTGCAAGCAGGACTGACGTTAGCTTTGGGTCACTGCACGTCAGAGAGGAGAGCAGAGTGAGGTGGAGGGAAAAGGTAAAATGCAGCAGATCACTGCTCGGCAGAAATCTGGAAATCTGACACTGTCGTGAAGTTTGTCTGAAACGATGGGAAATTTAGGTTGATTGATTGGACGCTGTAGCCGATGGCAGTCTGTGGAATGAGGCTGTAATCTGTCCTGTAGCATGAGAGAGAGCTGTCCCTGCAACACATGACATGGGGATATCACACCATCTGAGGCGACAGGGGGTCAGGAATTTAATCACTGCAGTCATCGAGAGGACTCGAGGTCCTGTGTGTGTGTGTGTTTGTGTGTGTGCGTGCGTGTGTGTGTAAGGGGTGGGGGGATTGTATGAGGAGCTTAATTTGCTCTAAAACCCTGTCCATTTTCTTTACTTCAGCTCAACTCAAACATATTCTTGAGTCTTTAGTTGTTATTACTGATGAACATGTGGGAACAATGTTATTCATCAATTCAGTTGTTTGATATTATGTTCCCTGAAATGTAACTAAACTCAGTGGAGATTCATTTACTGGACCTCGAAACTAAATGATTCACAGATAAAGACAAATGGTCATGGTAAACTGCTCAAACTGAAACAAATGAAATATCTATGATAACAAGTAAATTTCACGCCTCTCAAAAATCTAATAATATAGTGATGATGTAGAGCTGCAAGTAACAATTTTCTTCATTTAATAGTCTGACAATTATTGTATTGAATAATTGATTAATCTTTTGTTTGAAATATCTGAAAATAGTAAAAAAAATATGTCCATAACCTTAAGATATTGAATTTGAAACGATGACAGAAGCTGAGACCATCAAATATTTGACATTTCCGCTTGGAAAAAAAAGTATATAAATGATTAATTATCAGAATAGATTCCAATTAATTTTCTCTTGATTAACTAATCAATTAGTCGACTAATTGTTTTTGCTCTAAATCATATTATTCAAGTATAAATCAGTAAATCAGTAATAAATTCTAAACCAGTTTAATGACTTAATTATTTCACATGTGATAAAGTTAGGGATCTCAACGTTTTATCTGCTACCAGCTTGGTTTAATTAACCCAGTTAATTCATGTGGTAATGTATAATTAATCCATTCAGAAATCCATCATTAATATCTGAATTTTTCATTCCCGCCTCAGAAACTTGAACATGTCTCTGTTTTGGAGAGCACGGAATGAAAATATCATAATGCAAGTCATCTGGATCATATGGAACAAATGAACATGATCATTTCAAGATGAGGAGATGCAGTATTTGGACACTCTGGAGTCTTTTATGTCATACTCCAGTAAATTAAATCCACTGGCACAAGGAGTGAGACAAATGTCCAGGGTTGTGCAGCAGTGCTGTTTCACAAAACACAGTCTGACATCTAGAGGCAGGATCACTCATCACATTTGGCAGACTGGAATAGATGCACAGCTCATTCCACTATCCGTACTCATTCATATCAGTGAATGACCATAAAACTAAAAGTTGCACCGACGTATAGTATCCAGTGTGCATCACCTCCTAATATTACTGCATACATGCCTTGAGATGCTTTTAAAAAAGATGTTTACATTTACATTCTCCCAGAGCCACTGCACAGTCATGTGGAAGGAATTCAGAAATCCATTGCATGATTGATAAAATATGATCTTTATTAAATAACATGAGACATACACACATATATATATATATATATATATATATATATATATATATATGTATGTATACTGTACATCCTAAGAATATATCCTAAGAATATATCCTAAGAATATATGCAGGTCACACCACATCCACACAGTCAAAACAATTCATAAAATTATCTTATATTCCACTATTACTTTATTAAAGTAAACCTCAAAAACAAAAACTTTTTTGAGAATTAAACATTCACCTCCTTCGGGTTTGCAAAATATTTCATTCATCATGGCTGTAGTGATCTTGAATTCATGTCAAGTACAATAGATTCCAGTTGTGACTGGTATTCACAAAAAAGAAATCCCTTAAAAAAAAAAAAAAAACCCTCATACCACTCCTGCAACATAATCCACTTCTCCTCTTGCTGTGTATAGCATCTTTGATATCTTGAAAAGCACTATAAATAAAATGTATTGTTGTTGTTATTACTAGTAGTACCATTATGTCGATCCCTCCATATCCACTTTAACTGACAAAATATGGTTAAATATATTGCTTCCATCATCATCTTCTGTCCTGCTGGAAACTGCATTTAGCCGTATCATGGGAAAGGGCTGCCTGTGTTGAACAAGTCGGGTGAAGTCTATCAGCCCATACTGTATATCCACAGGTTTTTTTGAGTGTCCAGATGTTCATTCTTTTTGGCGTCAAATGACCAATATACTATCAAATGTTGTTAGGGTTCACATACCTTGTTTTCCAAGCATTCTTCTGCCTTAATCTGTGAAGATGTAAAAAAGGCCTTTTGTCTTTCTTGACTGCAGGTGCAGACAGCATACTGTAAAATATAAACCCATGCATAGTTTATAGATCAATGAGTGGGCGTCCTCCTTTCACAGTCATTTAGCCGTTTCTAAAGCTTTGAGTGTTCCCAGGAGCACAGTGGCCTCAGTAATCATGTCATGGAAGGAATTTGAAACCACCAGGACTCTTGCGAGAGTTGGTCGTCCAGCCAAACTGAGTAACAGGGCAAAAAGGGCCTTGGTCAAGGAGGTGACCAAAGCTTTAGAAGTCCTCAACAACGATGGGAGAAGCTGCTGTAAGGACGATCATCTCAGCAGCACTCCATCAATCGGGCCTTTAAAGCGGCTAAGACTCAGCAACAGGGAAACATGGTCAGAGTTGAGGGAAAGGTGAATTCAGCCAAATGAAGAGAGGTCCTTGAAGAAAACCTGCTCCAGAGTGCACGCAAGACTGAGACTAGGTTTGACGGTTTGCCTTTCAGCACGACAATGACCAGGAACAAGCAGCCACGACGACGATGGAGTAGCTTTGGGACAAAAAGCCCATACAATATCTATGCAGAGACCTAAAGATGGCAGTTCACAGATGCCTCCCATCCAGCTTGAGAGGATCGTCCAGGAAGAACAGGACAAACTTCCCATATCCAGGTGTGCAAAGCTTGTAGAGGCTTGCCCACAAACACTCAAAGCTGTAATTGCTGCCAAAAGGGCTAGTGCTGAATTAAGGGTAAATAATTAAGGGTAAGGGTAAGTAAAATATCAGGTCTTTAATGAATTTGCAAAAATTTCTGAAAAACTGTAACCCTATAACCCGTTTGAGTGTAGACTGATGGGTAAATTGGCAATTTTATCTATTTACAAAATAAAGCGTGCAACAAGGGAAGTGGTCTGCATACTTTCTGAAGCCACCGTATGGGAACCGATTTAGTTAAAACCTATATGTAAAATGTATCTGAAAGAGACTGCATATATACTGTCAACTGTGTGAACCCTGTAAAACTAAAGGAAAAGGAAGTTATTCTCTCCCACAGAAAACGCTGCTCCTGAAGTGCCTGAAACGTCTTGTTTGTATCCCAGCCCTTATCCACGACACTATGTTGTAGCCAGTTTGAAACGTATTCAAACTAAGCTAGTTAGAGCGAAAGCTGGGAAGAGTTTGGATAGTTTTAGCCTGTCGCCATGTAGAGAAGACACTTTCATATATAAATAACCGATGGTGCTGGTTGACTATACAGAAGGTTGGTGACAACAGAATAATATCTTACTAGCGACAGCAGACGTTTTCCACTTCAAGCTTCATTTTAGTGCATTTCCTACATGTACAACAGGGGCATATATAGAAAAATGTTTATATACATATTGTGATTAAAAGACTAGAGCCACCATTATGTCACACAATAAGCCGGGAATTGCCTAATATTTTCCAAACAGAGTCGTCCTGCTGTAATCTTTGTTGCTGCGGATGTTCGTGCTGTCCACTCTCGTATTCTGGATCTTTTAAGGAGGCCTCTCTGGGAGGCCAGAGATAATATTGCCTGTTTCAGTACCGGGCTCAGCTGAAGGGCTGCATTATGGGAAGTTTTAAAGATTCCAAGGCGTTCCCAGGCCAGATGAGATATATAGTCTCTCCAGTGTGTTCTGGGTCTACACTGGGGGATCCTACTAGTTGGGCGTGCCTAGAAAACCTCTGATGGCACCCAGGAGATCAGGTTCAGATGCCTGAACCACCTTAACTGGCTCTTTCCAGTGCATAAAACAACGACTCTTCTCCATGCTTCCTACATATGTCTGACCTCCTTACTCTGCCTCTAGGTGGGAGGCCAGCCACTGCACAAAGGAAACTCATTTCAGCTGTTTGTACTTGTGATCTTATCCTTTCTGTCTCTACCCAAAACTCATGAGTATAGGTTAGGGTCGGAATGAAATTACACTACAGCACATTGTGTAGCGTAACAAAGACAGTTAATGGAGGACAAAGCTGTGGTGCTTGCTCACACCACAGCTACTGTCAGTAGCTTTAGTTTACAGTGGTGATTAGTTGAACCCCAGACCATCAGAAGACAGTTTCGGCTTCACCAACGCGACAGAAATGTCACTTGGAGGCCCTACAGCTATACTGACCTGAGATCAGCTTTCTCCGTACATGTCCCCAAGTTGTATCCATTACACTGTTTAACTGTGTAGCATAAAAATTGGCTCTGGATCAACTGCATGAACTCTGTCTGCACCACCACCAGCCGATGAGTGATCTCTTTGGTGTCGTCGTCAGCGCAAGGTTACAGCACCGCATTTCTGACATAACTCTGACAAGTACAGGGCATCAACACCTGTAATACTAACTGTTTGGCAGCTGTGAGAGCAAAGGAACAGATAATGGCACTACAGTTCACATCTTTGGATAACACAACCAGATAAATATGCAGGGGTGAAGGGATTCCCAGCATGCAGCACTTCACAGTCTTCATTGTCACGTTACGGAAACAGAGACATAAGCAAACACTCTCTACCTGGATTATAAAAATGGTCTATCTATATCTGTATTGGGGTAGGATTAACAATTCTGTTCGTAGTATAGTATATTGAGTTTTGGTGTCCGCGTGGCTCCAAATTGTGCCTATCATGCAATCATCAGTTTCACATGCGAGACTTTTGCAGATTAGCTTTTGTCATAGATACAGTTTCTCTGACATCCCCTGGTTCCACAAATATTCCTGTGTCCAGCTGGAATGAAACATATTCCATCTGTTTCACAGTAAATCAGATTTTTGACCCGCTCCTTTATTTAGCCAAAGGTAGTGGCGTAAGTTGACACCTTCATATGACACATTACAAACTTTGAAACTTGGTAAGCTGTAAGAAATGACAGCCATACAATAAAATATGGCTCTGTCATTTCTTTCTTAATACTTTACTAGGAGGTTTGCTTATACAGGACTGTAAAGTTTGGTGCTAATTATAGGCAAATGGAAACCGTGGTAAAATTGGCATTCTTCAGCCAAAGGAATTCTGATCAGACAGTGTTTTCAGTCAGTGCACAGCAGCTCAACTGAACATTAAAAAAATAATAATGAAGTAATTTCTGGGAAACTTCCTCTGAGATTATTGGCAGGTTCATTAATCTATATTAATCTTGTTTTTCTTGCATTGCCTGAAATGAGCAAGTAGGTACCGTACGTCACTTGTGTCATCCATGTTTAAGAAGAAGATTTGCTACTTGAGAGGGTATTTAAATCTACTTTTCTCTGCAGCTAATGGAATATATGTTATTGCAGCTCTATGGAAGGTCCTTTCAGGAATCTGTCTTTACAACAACAGTATGTTTTGTCAAACAATGTGCAGGGTTTTTCAAAGAGTTACTTTTATTTATTTATTGAGAAAAACAGATGCTTGCTGTATACCTGTGTGTCAAATATAATCATGCAGAAGTCTCAAATGTAAAAAGCATGATCACATGAGAGACATAATCAGGGGCTTGTTTCAGTCCAAGTCTTTGTGTAGATGTTTCCTCCCATGTCATTCTGACATCTATTTCAACAGTACTTATCCAGCTTGGCTCTCTCCTTCTCTTGACAAGATACTGTTTGAATTTTACTTTGGCAAGTCTCCGTCCATCTGCTCTCTGTCAGACCTGAGTGACCAGAGGTTCTTTGAGGTAGAACTTTATTCCTCTCTGATCACCAGTCTCCTGTCCAGCACAAAGTCCTGCCAGAAGAGTCCCATTGAGTGGAGGACAGATACCCCTGCTGCTCTGGGCATACAGGGGCGAGTAATCTCCCGTGCAGTCAGGCCCCTCATCCAATCCATCCTCATCGTCCTCCTCATCATCGTCCTCTCTGTCCTTTTCCCAGAGTGATGTGGCGACATGGTGGTACTCTGTGTGTTCCTCACACTCCATCTCTCTGTGATAGAAGTAGCTGAAGTTGGACACAATGACGGGCACCGGCAAAGAGATGGTGAGCACGCCGGCAATGGCGCACATGGAGCCCACCAGCTTTCCCCCAACCGTCTCCGGGTACATGTCACCGTAGCCAACTGTCGTCATGGACACCACCGCCCACCAGAAAGCCTCAGGGATGCTGGTGAATGCCGTGTCAGGTCTGTCCACCTCAGCAAAGTAGACGGCACTAGAAAAGAGTATGACGCCGATGAAGAGGAAGAAGATGAGCAGGGCAAGCTCACGGAGGCTGGCCTTCAGTGTCTGGCCCAGGATCTGGAGGCCCTTTGAGTGACGAGAGAGCTTGAAGATCCTGAAGACCCTCACCAGCCTGATAACCCTGATGAGGGCCAGAGACACGGAGGGCTGCGTGCCTTTGTCCTTAGCCAGCTCTGTGCCAATTGTGACAAAATAGGGAATGATGGCGAAGAAGTCGATGGTGTTCATGACATCTTTGAAGAAGTGCGTCTTGCTGGGAGCGCAGGTGAAGCGTACGATGAGTTCAAACGAGAACCAGCAGATGCAAATTGTCTCTACAATGAAGAAGGGGTCCTGGAAAGGAGTGAAGCCAGGTGGGACCAAGATGGTTTCGTTTGCTATGGTGGGGTGAGGTATGGTGGTGAATTGCTGTAACACATGAAGGAGGAAAAAAGGATGAAGGAAAAGTGGTTACAGTTGCAAAAATCAAAGCATATGAGCTATTCTGCCCAACAGACACTGTTGTACCATCTGTTGTTTGTAAAACACGAGCTGGACAGAGAAATATGAGAATAAAGTGGAAAGGTACAGCAATAGTAAATAGCTCCATGGAGACGAACGTAAACAAAGGGAAAACAAGGATGAAGCAACCTGGAGGCAGACAGAGGATAAGTGAGAAGAAGCAATTATTGTGAAAGTTTGTCCTCTGCACATTTGGGGTATTACATCTGTCATCAGGATTTGATCGAGCCAGTGAGATCTGTGATACTGTGCTAACTTTTCTCTCCTCTCCATTTTCACCCCCCCATCCCCGGCTTTATTTTTCCTTACAGACTTTTAGATAAATCAGTTTCTCTATATTTAAACACACAAAAAACATTACGCTCATGTGACTCTGGGTTGTGTTACACCCAGACACCGGCATGACCGAGGCATTTGACACTTCGTTTTACCCGCCTGCTTGTTTTTTTCTGGGAAGTGGGTGCAGGTTTGAAATTACTCGGCATTAGTGTCTTTTAACAAGTTAGATAGAGTTACTTTAAGCGTTTTACAGCCTTGCAGCACATATTGTCCCCAACTCTGTGTATTTATATGTTTTTATGTTTCTCTCTGTCCAATTGCCTCACGTCCTCATGTCTGTTTCTTTGTATGCAACACAAACTCCCTGCAAATCTTACGAAATACGTTTTAAGACAGACACAGCTCAGTTAAGGGTGTCCTCACAGCATCCAGGGTCGGTTCGTCCCAAATCACAAGAAATTCTGCTTTGCATTGTTGCCGTGCAGACAATTTTATTTTTCTTTGCTGACGTTTTGAGGTAGCTCTGCGGTGCCCTGTTGAAGTAGCCTGTAGTCTATATTAAAACAACTCTGACATGCCAACACTTTGTACATGGCAACAGTCTTTGGACATTGTAATTGTCTCAACTGTTTGTACTGGCTGAAATACTTTCCTACAGGGTATCTTTCAAAGTAATAGTCATATTAGTGTTTTTGTTTCCCCAACAGTGTTTCCTTGCTGAGGTGCGATGGAGGGATACATCCTCTGCTAAAGCTTAAAATGCTTCTTCTTTTTTTTTCACAGAAAGCTTACTCTGGGTTTTGTCCCCCATCACTTGCCTTTGAATTACCTTAGGAGGGGATCTCCTCTTGGCCATAAGGGATAGGAGGAATAACAAGAGTGACAAAGAAAAGTTGTTTTATATCATATACATATTTACATGTGAGTGTTGTTTTAAGACAGACTTTAAAAATATGCATCTGTCCTTTAAGGTGCTGTCCATTAATTGCAACATCCCTGGTTCGACACTGTCAAGAGCTTTTGTTTCATGTCACTTTCCATCTCTCTCGGCTCATCTCCCTACTGTCCAAACCTCTGATACTGACATAAAATGCCTAAGAATTAGTTCCAGTGGAAACTATCGATATCCAGAGTAATCTGTGTCTATGTTTTCGGTTTTGTAATGTTTTATATTAATTTGGGTGCCACAAACATCATTCCAATAACCTTCACAATATATTGGGATGACAGCAGAAATCACAGAGGTCAATATATCAAAACGGTAAAAAGGTAAATAGAGGCAAACCAGAGGCAAGTGAGGAAAAAGCATTTTTGAGATTTGGGTGAACTTGCTCCTTCAGTCTTCTAAACGACACAGCTGAGAGTTGTATAAATACTTTTTTTTTTTTGTAACACTTTATGTCCCCCTATTTAGCATTTAAAACCACTACATAAATATTTCATAAATAGTTTGTAACACAGATATCAGGACATTTGGAAGTGTTTATTCATGTACAGTATTGTCAACAATTACAGCTCATAATGAAACATAATTACAGCTGTGTTTTACTATATTGCTATTCACTATCTGTTTATATAGTAGCCTCCACTTATTGGTGCCCGCAGGAGGAGTTATAGTTGTTTATAAATATCTGCTTACAACCACATTTATTACATGTTTATATTGTGATTGTAAGTGCTAAATAGGGGACTTAAAGTAAAGTGTTAGCATTTTTTTTCATATGGAAGCAAGTACGTGCATGCTTCAGGACCTAAGAAAACACATTTTGTTCGTTAGATTTCCACCACCACGTGTTAAGTGAGTGATTGCGTGGGGACGGCTGTGCGCGTAGGTCTGAATTTGTTTGTGTAGTGTCCAAAAGCGTCAAATGCTCTAATCATGTGAGCGTCTCTGTCTATGTATAGGAGTAACGGAGCAGTGTTGGTGGTGATGGGGAACGTAAATCCAAGTGACCGCTGCTGCGTTGCCACCTGCGCTTCACCAGCCCGAACCCCCAGAATCCACCTCGTCTCCAGGCTACCGGAGAGTGTGCGAGGCTAATTTCATTTTTGCGGCGGTCATCAGAAAAGTTGATCTTCAAGCCTCTTTTCCAAGCCGTTTTCAGTGTGTAGCCTATGACTCACACTGTTTATTAATACAGACGTTCGTTTATGTGTTGATGTGCTCTTAGGGTTGTCCTTCCTCTATATATAGACCTTTAGATCTCCAAGGGGTAACGTGAGACAAGCTCATCTCCTTTCCTTGCCTTCACACTTGCCTCTCTACCTTTAACTCCCTCCACTCTGTCTCGCTCTTCTCAGCACTATTGGAGTATCCACTCCATGTTAATGCACTTGTTGGCTCTGGCAGTCGTCCCCCAGTGGCTGACGAGGCATGATGTCTCCACGACCTATCCCTCCGCTAACATTACACATCCATGCAACCTGCTCTGTCTGCCTCTCTTCTTTCCTTACTCTTTCGTCTCGACCATCGGTTTAACTGCTCCCCTCATCTCCCTCATTCCTTCCCCATCAATCTGCGTGGATCAGATTTAACGACATGTCCAAAATAATCTCGCCCTCGCATTCTCCTCTCTATCTGCTGCCTTTGCTCTCTCTGCTCCTTGATCTTGATTCTGAACTTTGAAGTTTTCTTCTCCTCAGCCCTCACTTTTAGTCGCCGTTTCACCCTCAGCGTCGATGGGGGAGATAAAGACGTTTTCACCCCATGCTGCAAGAGGTGGTTTATGTTTGGCAAGGTGACGCCTGTCAGCACCTGTTCTCCTTCTATGTTCACCTCATCACTTCCTCGCAGTGTTAACCTCTGTTGTCTTTGCACCCTGTCAGCTCCCTCCCTATTTCTTCACTCATCTGGTTGTCTGACTCCATCACATGAATTCCCTCTGACATAACCTCCATCTGCAGCCTTGTGAATCCTCTGTGTTTCCTACTACCACTCACAAGTGGCTCTTGTACGTGTCAGCACCATGTAAGAACTCCTCACCTCCCTCTGTTCCTTCTCATTCCTGAACTCAGGCAGAGTCTCCAGGCAGAAGATGAGAATGGAGATCACAATGACCATGACACTGATGATGGCGATGATCCGAGCTCCACTGGAGGACTCCGGATACTCAAACAGCATCCAGAGGCGCCGCTGCAGCTCGTTGGTGGGTAAGGGCCTCTCCTCCTCCTTGGGGAAGCCTTCGTCCTCCTTGAAGCGGTCGATGATCTCCTCTCCGAGCTCGTAGAAGCGTATCTCCTCCAGGAACATGTCCAGGGGGACGTTGGCGGGCCTCCGCAGCCTCCCGCCCGACTGGTAGAAGTACAGGATGGCGTCGAAGCAGACGCGGCTCCTGTCCAGGAAGAGTTCGTTCCTCAGCGGGTCAAAGTAGCGAAGTCGACGTTGGGGGTCGCCCAGCAGTGAGTCGGGAAACTGGGCGAGGGTGCTGAGCTGGGTCTCGTAACGCATTCCTGACACATTGATGGCCAGGCGTTCAGTCAGAGCCCAGCCGCTCCTCCACTGGCAGCGACGGTTCTCCTTCCGGGCCTCTCTGCTCGGCTCCTTCTCGTTGCTCTCCTTCTCCAGCTTGTTGTGTTTGTCTTTGGTCTGCTTGTCTTCATCACCAACCTCCCCAACTATCAGTTTTTCCGTCTTCTCTCCTTCCCTCCCTCCTCCCTTGTCTTGATTATCCATCTTTCTTCTTGTCTTTGGTTTTTCTTCCTTGAGTGTCTTGTCTCCCTTTTCTTGCCACTTTGCTCTGAAGAAAATAAATCAGGTTTAACCTGTCATTCTGAAAAAACACAACAAGGGAAACATGACCGGACTAGATATGATAAATGCCCAAGGTACACCTCGAGAGAACTAATGCAGTATAATAGGAAGGTTATGAAGGTTAGGTTGTTTATTTTTAGTTGAAACGGTTTTAGAGAGCTGTCGATTCAACTGTATGGTGTTTCTATTATTTTGTCCCTTTCTATTAATGAAAATAGGCAAAATAGCAGAAAACCCTCACAATGATCATACAGTTGAAGCAACACCTCTCTAAAACAGTTTCAACTCACTGAACTTTATAACCTTCGTGGAGTATTTATTTCACGGCTGTTGGATTAGACTGTGGTAGCTTGAGCGAGGTTCACATTATAAACTGTACGTCAAAATCAAAAACTCACCTCTTCTCTTTTCTCTGAGTTCAGCGCAGTGCGTTTCTGCACAATAGAAAGACATTTTCTTAACTTGTTACATGCATTATATATGAATGAACATAGTAGAAGTGTGCTAGAATAAAAATAATGAAAATACTGACAAAGGAATTAAAAAAAAGGAGAATTAGTGTGAAAATTTCTCAAATTTTGGCATATTTTTGTAGATTTTTCATAAAACTCTGCAAACTTATGCAATTTTAAGCTTTTTTCCAACATATTTTGCAGCATTTTACTGTAAATGTACAATGTTCAGACCTTCCATGCAATGCAGTCAGCGTCATGTTCATCACCTGTTTATCACCACGTCCAGTGCTCCCGGTGGAAACCAAACTCAGACTGGTCTCCGCCTCTCACCCGTCTTCCTGCTGATTCCATTTAATCACACCATTGAGTGACCATGGCTCTCCTACTGCACCTCCACCTTGGGGTGCCTTTAGGGCTGACCCTTCCCTCTTTCTGAGACAGTTTGTGTATTAATCCCCTCATCATGATGTTCAGACAACCCCTCCTCCCGCTCTTCGTCCTCCTCAATGTTGTCCCACCTTCATGTGTCACGTTTGGGAAGGGAGGGGAGGAGGCAGGGGGAGCAGTGTGGCTCCTTCAGGAGCTGCTACAGTGTTAATCTACAGCCAGGGGTGAAGTTAAGATGGTTAAGCTTGTTTGTAGGTCACTCACTGTCTTCACTTGCTCCCTTGTGCTCTTTCTCACGCTCCCGGGAATGCTGTCGGGCCGAAATTCAATCTTCAACCCTTTCCTCCTCCAAGAGCACCACTGCCTCTTCTGCCCCCAGCAACCCTTCCTGCCCGAAAATGTCAGCCTCTTCACCCCTCACTCTTCCTTAAACATACTGTACATGTTTGCACGCATGTGTGCACATGAACTTGCATACTCACATAGCAGAGGCAAAAAAAAAAAGAAGGAAAAACAGTGATCATGATTTACACCCTATGGTGAGACCACAAACATGTGATGAGTACTTTATCCTGGTTTCTGTCTCCGTGTCACCGCTACCTGCTTTCAGAGCTTTGCTGTCATCATCTGTTTTAATGTTAGAATATAGATTTGACTGTGGTTTGTGCAGAATTGAACACAGATTTAGAACAGAGCAAATAAATCTGTCCAGAAACTTGACCTGCCAGACCAGACTTCATTTTATATTGAATATAAATCTGGATGTGTCTGGTTATTTTAGACACATCATGAAGTCTACACTGTGTGTGTGGCACTGTGTCAGTGTGCACTAAAACCACAACTCCCATAACACAGTGTTCTGACACTTGAAGTGTTGCCTTCAAATACTCAAGTAAATTTGTATTTCTGACTTTTTAGACTCACGAATGAAACGCATTTATATAGTCAGCTGCGTTTATTGACAATAAAGAATTTGACATGAATTAGAATAATTTTTGGAAGCAATTGTTTGATTCCACAGAACAGAAAAGTTTAGTCTGGCCACATCAGTGTCTAGTTGTAGAAACACATTTTAGTTTCAAGCTTTTTATTTTAGTTACATGTTTTATGCCAGCATTTTGTTACATTTTTTTTACATTTGTAAAATTGCAGGTGCCGTGGTTTTACTGCCTGTATGTCAGATGTACATCAGCCATGTAACTGATACGTACAGTTACATTGCTGCCTTTCCATTTCCTGCTACTTTATACTTCTACTCAATTAAATTTAACTGGCACCTTCATTTGCTGGCTACTTTACAGGTGAGGATTTTACATAAAAGCATGATAAACTTAAAAAAAAATATACAGTACTAGTTAAAGATTTAAGTGTTTATATAATCTGTCAGATCTGCTCCCTGCCCCAACACCTTTCCAACATCAAATTGAGGGAGGAGTTGGGTACGACCATTTCTTTAACTTTCTGTCCACTCCGGAGTGCAAAACATATCTTCCAGTATGAAAATCTACTCCGCCTTTCTATTTGGCCGTCCAAAACAACTATAAACCATTTGATTTCTAATATGGTCATACAAACTACCTCTGATGGAGCATACATCGACTTTAAACCAGTGTCTCCAGTTGTTTTGGTGTGTGTCCCCTCACTAAAAACAATGTATGTGAGACCCCTTGTCACATTTCAGATGTTTGAGTTGTAAACAGAGATATTTCCCTGCTGGACACTGTTTGAGACACAAAGAGATGAAATCATCTAGTATTTCACAAAAGCAGCAAAGGTTAGAGAAAAGATTTTCTTAGATATGATATGACGTATTAAAGAACTAGCACCTTGACCTTTATCACCTACAGCAAAATGCTGCTTGTGCACGAATGCATCAGTATTAACAATCTAATAATGTCATATATAATAACAGCTGTTTTTTCTGCAGAATGAAACACTTTTACCTTTGATACTTAACCTATTTTGCTTTTAATGCGCACAAGTGGGATTTTGCATTCAAGACTTTTGCTAGTAGTGTTTTGTTTGTTTAAAATTATTATTTTCATATATTTTAAGCATTTCCACTTTGCTCTCATACGAAGCATTTTTTAAGTATCAAGTGATTTGATTTCCAATATTCCTGACAGCACCTGAAGGCAGCAGAGCAGACCCCATGATTTTGTGAAACTTTGAACCTCACACAAACTTTGGTGATAAACGGCCGTGATTGTCAAAAGTGGGTGAACAAGAAGAAACGCGGAACTCCGGTGTTGACAGTGTGACGCTGCTGGACAGGGGCGCAGCTTTACGGCGTTTTACGATCAGACTTCATCAACATCACCGCGGCCCGAAATGTCCCCGCGCTACCTCAACAAAGTCGTTATAGTCACCGGAGGATCCAGAGGGATTGGCAGAGGGGTCGTCAAAGTGTTCGGTATGGTGGTTATGGTTATCTATGCTGTGGATTTGTTTGTGTTCAGAGTAGGAAGTGGCGCACTAAACATTCTGCATCTTTTGTTTTCAGTGGAGAATGGTGCAAAAGTGGTGTTTTGTGCACTAGGCGGTGAGTAATAATGTTTTTATTCAATTTTTATGCCACATTAAATCTCATATTAATTGATAAAAATGTATCAGAACGTTGCTTTATCATCTATTGGGAAGGTGTATTGACGCCTGTGATATGATTGATGACTACACCATATGCATCTGTTATGACTGAATATTTAAAAGGATTTCGTCCTAAAATGAGACTGTAATCTGTCTATAATTCACCACAATCGTACATATGGCATGTTTTATAGGTTCAGCTGGTGAGGCTCTAGAGGCGGAGCTAAACAAAGCAGGGCCAGGCTCCTGCACATTTGTCACATGTGACATCTCCAAAGAAGATGAGATCAAGGTAAAGTCCAACAGTGTTATTGTGCAGTTATATACTGCATGTGGTTTTAATGAACAGGGTCTAGTCCTGATCACAGGACCTGTCCTGAACATCACCTGACATCACATTAAAAGCACATTATAAGTCTAAATATGTCCAGTCACAACATTTAATGATTTAATTGGCAACTGAGTTGTTTTGAATGTTTAAATCTTTAACTGAATTTACATTTGAAGGGTTTTTTTTATCACCACAATGTCGAAGTTTGTATATAAGCCAGCATTTGATTTATTTTTTTTTATTTTTTTTACACTAAGTGCAGTTCAAAATGCTTCACAAATTTAAAAAGGGAGAAAATAGAATAATATAATGATGTATTTCAAAAGAGGAAATAATTAAAATTGTGAACAATTGAAATTGGACATACTTAAAATATAAAATGAAAGTAACACAGTAATAATGAATAAAAATGTTTATAACAGCAACAGCAGCAATCATCATTACCCTGTCAACCATCTTGGTTGGTGTAATCCTCTAAAATAGAAGCAGCGCCTCTACATGTTGCAGCAACGTCTGTGTGTTTTCATTCATTCAGTCTGAACTGGTTTCTGTTGCAGCTCTTTTGTTGGTAACTGGTTTTTCTCGTGTGACTGTCTCTGCAGAGACTGATTGCGGTCACAGTGGAGCGCTATGGACACATCGACTGCCTGGTCAACAATGCTGGGTGGCGTGAGTCACTTGTTTTTTTTTTTTGTTTCCCTAAAACAGAAAAAGATGATGAGGACACGAGGCCTTTCTCTTGCTTCAATTCTCTTTTTGGTTTTTTTATTTTCTTCTTCAGACCCACCTCATAAACCTACTGATGACACCACAGCAGAGGAGTTTAGAGATCTGCTCAATCTGAACCTCATCAGCTACTTCTTGGCTTCTAAAGTAATGTTTCCAACTTGTGTGTGCTCATTTAAAACTTAAAATACAAATAATTCAATATCATTTTACCGCATAAATGCGGACTTCTATGGAGTACGGTGGCCCTGAGAGCTCAGTGCACTGCAGCTTAAGGGAACACATGAAAATAGACAAAACACAGGTTAATTCATAAAACATTTTTATTTGACAACACAAGTGCTGCAGATACACACGATACAACCACAGAAGCTGCAAGTAGCACAGAAGCTAACAGAAGTGTCTCCAGGGGACACAAAAAAGTGATGAACCTGTAGCTGTCTTCATAACTTTAAAAGTCACAAAGCATTGAACAACAAGTGTGACCCGCGCGTCACTTCTTTGTGTCCTCTAGAAACAACAACGTCGTCTGTGCTACTTGCGGCGCCCTTCTGTATTTGGTTGTGTTTCGAGCATTTGTAGCATGTTTGTCTCTTTGCTTGTGTTGTGTGTATCTGCTGCACTTGTGTTATCAAACTGATGAACATTTTTTTCTGAATTTGCATGTGTTTTCTTATGTTGCAGTGCACTGAGCTCTCAGGGCCGCAGTAATGGAGACACAGCTTGCTTTTTAAGGATTTGAGTTTTATAAGCACCTGAAAATCAGCACTTAATCCTTTATTATTATTATTATTATTATTATTTGGAATGAATGTTAAGGGGGACAGGACAAAAGGGAGATAGGAATGATGTCCCCAGTCAGGACCCAAACTGGGGATGTTGCAGTTCATGGTTGGCGTCATAAAGGCCGGGTACACTAGAAAAGAAGTGGTTTGCATGAGGAGGAACTCCAGGCATAATGGAGCACTTCCTCAGACAGTCTCTCCTGGAAGACATTCATAGTGCTGCACTCAGTTGTTCACGTGAAAACCGACAAAGTTATGTAACTAAAGAGAGAAGTACAATCCCAGAGTGCTTTCTCAGCTCCACACAGCTGACCAATCACAGTGTGAAGTGGGTGTGAATGTTGGATCAACGGTTTTGGAAAGTTACAGAAGTGGTGGGACACAAGCCCCACAAGGTGTCGGGGGGAGGGGGTTTCTGGAGCTATCTGACCATCCAACAAGCAGGTCGGACTGACTGACTGCATACTGACCCTTTAACCCCAAAACCACGGGACACCACTACTGAACACTTGATGTTGAAATTTAAACATTGCTGAATTTTAAGTAAATTTAAATATTTTGGTTTGAAAAACATCTGAATGTGTGTGATCAGAAGTCCTCTTTTTTTTAAAATTAGGAAATGTATGTGTTTGTGCTGCTTATACAGGTCCTTGTTGTGTTTAATGGTTTATTAATGATATTATTAAGAATTATTGTTTTATACTTCTGGGATGGAGTGAAAGAAATGTGATATAATTTGAATAATTTCATGCACTTGTAAATAATTCTAGGCCACATCATCATCCCTGGTTTTTTATTGATATATTTCATCCTCTGTTTAGTATGACCATGAAACTGGTATTAAATAGTATTGTAATCTATGAGGTATTCAACAGTCTTAAATTTGGTGAACCTGCAGAAAGTCTGTTCATTGTCTAAAGTTTTTGAAATTGCGAACATCCAAATGACCGGACAGTTCTGAAGAAGGGAATTCAAACCTCATCATGATATTTTCAGTAAAATATTTCAATGCTTTAAATTCAGCAGTATTCAAATTCCAACATCCAATATTCAGTTTTGATTCAGTTCCACAATTAAGTTATCAGTTACTCATTAAGTTATAATTATCACAGCTTCATTTTGCTTTCACATACCCATAGACATACTGTATGAACAATACATAGGATCTTTGAATTGAACAGAGGTCTCACTCTCTTTGCAGTATGCGTTGCCGTACCTGCGACAGCGACAGGGTAACATCATAAATGTTTCCAGTCTGGTGGGCACCATCGGGCAGAAAGATGCTGCACCGTATGTCGCCACCAAGGTGAGTCAATCATCCGCGAAACAGTGGTTCAACCTGCATCATTCCTGTAATCTCAGCCAAAGAGAAGAGAGTCGTGTAATGTGATCTCTTCTCCACAAGGGGGCAATAATCTCCATGACAAAGGCAATGGCTGTGGACGAGAGTCGCTACAATGTGAGAGTCAACTGGTGAGTCAAACTGGTTTCTGGGTTCAGTTCCTCAGCTTCCTCTCTGCTCAGAAGATAAGAATTACTCCATGATTTCACTCTCGTCACATGTTTATTTAAATTTACTCTGTTAGCCTCTAATTAAAAGGGCTGTCATAGTGATGTAACTAGTATTATTCTTATAATTAATCAATCTTTATCTCTCTTTAATTTTTTTTTATTTTTTATTTTTTTTACTTATTAACAATGGTGGAAGAAGTTGTGAAGTAAAACAAAGTAAAGTAAGGTAAAAATACTCAATTACGAGCCTCAAACTCTGATTAAAGTAAAAATACAAAAGCAATAACAATAAAATGTACTTAAAGTATGAAACTTAAAAGTATTGGCTCTGTGGTGAAATATCCCGTGACTGATGTATTATTATATGTGACATTATTAGAGTCTTTATACTGATGAATCACTGCGTACGCAGCATTTTACTGCAGGAGCTGCTCGAGGTGAAGTTCAACTACTTTATAGGCACTTAGTTCAGTTTTTTGTGGTTCAAGAAAAATTTGTTTATACGGCATCATTCAGACACAAGGCAGTTCAAAGTGCGTTACAGAGGCATGGAAAATAAGACATTAAATTATATTGAAATTGCATTTAAAAGACAATGAAAACAACAATTCAGGGGTTGGGTCCCTTCAAATGGTCACAAGATAAATCTGAGATGATTTACGGGAGAGGAAAGGAAAAAAAATCTGCTACACATACTAGCAGGCGCTTTTTTTAATTAATAATCTCTGCTTTTTGTGAAATAAAAATAATTGTACATATTATTACCATAAAATATCAGAACTGTCAATAAGTACTTTTCTGTAAACTGACTTAACTGATTCATGAACCAGGAAATAATATGAGAGGATCTACTGCTATTTACAAAAGACAGACGCATTGTTCCAGTTTCAAGTAAAACCAACACAAACTCTATAAAATGATATAATTGATGTAAAGTTTATATTATGTACAAGTATTTAACTGTCTACAGATCTAATAGTACCCTTTGTTCACTGTCTGCCGTGTGTTGCAGCATCTCTCCAGGTAACGTGCTGACGCCTCTGTGGGAAGAATTAGCAGGACAGACTCCGGACGCGGCAGCCTCCATTAAAACGGGAGAAAATGCTCAGGTAGGTTCCCACAGAGGGAGACAGGCTCATACACAGGGACAGAAACAAGAGGAAAATATGTAAAGTAGAAGTGGTAGTTTCCGTGTCACAGAGAGTTTTCACCAATAGTGAGATGTCCTTGTGATGTTAGTGATGTCTTGAATTCTGAAAATTATAGAAATTGTCATTAGAGGATTTTATTACAAGACATGAATCCTACCATAGTTGTGAGTTAGGACAAACCTTGGTGCAGCACAACACACACATGACAATGATGCTTGTTGCTGCTACTCTGTGTTTTCCATCCACACCCACCGAAACTATTTGTCCCTGCACAACAGGAGCCAGTAAAAACTCCACGTCTCATTATAAATCAATGTGAGACAGGCAACAGTTCCTACATTATTGTTGTGTTAATGATCCACGCATTGCAGTGCGCCCTTTGGGTTGTAAATGCTAACAGCCTCTTTCTGCAAACTGGAGCTTTCTTTTCATCCCAGTCTGAGAAGGCCCCTGAAGCAGCAGGACTGTGGTGCTGAAGAGTCTCAGCTTGCACTTCATTATTCATAGTGGAGAGACCTCAAATATTTGACAGGACGGTGTAATAAAATAATAATTATGTGAGATTTTTACATCGTTACCAGATTTTATCCCATATAGGATGATCGCTTCACATTTAAATGTCTCGGTTCTTTACTTTGGTCTTTCCAGTTACTGAAGTTATGATAATGGAGGATGAGAGAATGAATATTATGTTTGGCATTAGGAAGTTTTCCTGGTTGTGAGTTGAGTAAATAAAGATCAGTGAATCTGCATTTTTTTTTGCGTGGAGTCTTGTGTAAAAAAAATAAAAAAAAATAAAAAAAAAAAACCTTCATGAATGTACTTGTCAGTTCCTGGAGGCCTCTGCAAGCAATATTGAAATGCTTCTTTTACTTTGGTTAAAAAAAAAGAAGAAGAAAAAAGAGCCAAGCTACCTTTGTTTTACAGTGTAATACACAGCAGCAACTGTGGGAACAGCTGCAGGAGTGAACACACATTAACACAAGGCAGTTACCCCATGAAACCACAAACGTGAACAGTTGGAAACAGAGCAAGAATTTCCATTAGGGGATAAATAAAGTATCTATCTATCTATCTATCTAGAATGAGAAATGACATGTTTCCTTCTCAAACAGCTGATAGGTCGCATGGGGACTGAGGCTGAGTGTGGACTGGCTGCCCTGTATCTCGCTGCTGATGCAACCTTCTGCACTGGGATAGACCTGCTGCTCAGTGGAGGAGCTGAACTCAACTATGGCTTCAAGAGTCAGATCCCGTCGTGACCCTCTGTTCTCTACAGTCTCTTTATGGCTGTGGAACAGCTGGTTAAGCAGATGGATTTAATGCAGATTATACACATGTATGTTTGAGTGTGCTGGTTACATTACTATGATGACTACTAAATTGTTTTAATAAAAGGGAGGGGGTTCATTCAATCAAATAAAGTCTCATTTCATTCATGGAGCTCTGAAAATTTCCTGGTGGAGGTTAGTCAGCTTTAAATTTTGGCATCCTGACCAAATGTGTAACACGACCTAGTCCACTCCCCACTGATCGACCAATCAGCGCCATCCTCTTCGACCTCTAATAACCTCCCCTTCTGGGTTTATTGGTGTGCACCAATCGTATGTTACGCTTTTTGTCACGCCTCCGGTGACTTTCCTAATCAGGGTGCACTGGTTAATAAAACCGGTCACTATAACTACATTTTACTAATGTAATTTTAGTGAAGTAATTTTCCTCACTAACATTCTTGTGTCTTTATATAGAACAGTTCAGGCGATGTTAAATTATTAATCCAGAAAAATAAAAATTACAAAATTGTGACAGGTTTTTTAAAACATAAAGTAGCTGCTGTAGGTCAAGTGTTTATTTAAAGGACTAATAACCACGAAAGGCATTTTATGTCTGAGAGGTTTCTCGCTTCACCTCAGCTGAGCGGCGTCTCGTATTTCAAAGCGGAACCCAAGTTGACTTTGGGCTGAGTGTTTTGTTTCTGCACGAACAAATAATCTGGTTTATCTTGGTTACGTAGCGGAGATGGCGGCCCTCCGGACGGTGAGTTCATTGACCGACGTGTGTGCTGTTTGTTGTCTTTTTTCCTGCCTGGGTAGATGATTCACTCAAAAGCTTGATAAATAGGCCGTAATTGACCAGGAGAGATAATACGTCTTCAAAGTCGGCACGGACTGCTCCGTCCGTCCCGCCAGCACCGAGGGTGGCAAAACAGTGCTGCACGGAAAGAACATAAAACCAAACCTCATTCAGAAATATGGAAACTAAATTTGTCTTACTTAACGGCGAAAATAAACATCTCGTAAAACACGACTGAAGGCCTTCTGCAAATGTTCATGCTCTGACACCAGGTTCGGCAGACCTCCAATCCAGCAAGTTCAACCTTGATCTATGAAATGTACGTTTATTTAAGTGACTCAACTTTACAAATCTTATCACCCTCCACGGTTTTAGTGGATGGAAGTAGAAAATCATGTAGATTGTTAGTTTTGATACGTGTTTTTCGTATATTAGTATTATGCCGAATTGGAAAATATATCCTACTACATCCAGAATAGTCATTACTTAATTACTGTGTCGTTGCGTAAGTTACATAATAAGCCATTGTTCGTCAAATTGTCGGATTTGAGAATGCAGTCTGGCGCGAGGCTTGAATGTGGCTTTACCAAGCATATCTGCAGAATATGCCAAGTATATGTTATTACCGTGTTGTGACTTTGCTACAGATTTGGTACATGTAGTTATTATAGGTAGCCAATTCATTTACGATGCTGCTAGCCCAGATGTAAGGCACAAATGCTAACGGGTGTTAATGCTAGTATTTGCTAATTCAGTTTTAATTTAATTTCAGACCGTGGGTCCAAATGAATAAAAACAAGAATTAAGTTTAATGCATAAGATTTACATGTGCATGTCGCAGAGGATACAGCAAAAACAAATAAACCTTTTCATACTCGTGGTCGCAATAAAGGCAAAACTTGCATCATCCATTCAACAAAATGCACACTTGTGTGCAACCTGTAGGAATTACCAAGGCATGATGCTCTGCTGCTCTCTATGGCGGTGTCAGACGTGGCTGCTTTTATTTTGATGAAAATATGACTGGCACCCAAAAAAAAAAAATCTTTGCACACACAGTAACAGAACCATATCGGGGATGTAAACTCAGGATTTGTAAGAAAGCAGATTAAAAGATGAGAATTATGAGTTTACTAAAAGCACCACATGTTTAATTGTTAAACTGCCTGCATAATTAATCTATATACAGGTTAAACAGTCGTGGAGATAATATCACACCTTGCCTAACCCCTTACTGACATGAAAAGAACAGAGTTCCACATCTTATGTTGCACTTTTCCAACAGCAAGCCGATGTTGTTGGAGGCTTATCAGGTGTGTCCCACTCTGCCTTATCTTGCCTTGCAGTTATTTTGTGGCCTTTTGTTTCCCACTAGCATACTTTTAAACTTCCTCACCTTGCATTGCTGCTTTGCAGAGTAGCCTGCATATGTGCCTGATTCTATTTACAGTAGAGCACTATGCACCAGCTGTGTTAGTAGCTACATACTTTGAGCTGTAGAGTGATTGGTGCTGTGTCACACACACCCACAAATATACAATGTCAGACATGGTGTCCCTGTGTATTCTCAAGGCTTGAGTTGAGACTGCTTTAATTTTAGCTAATGTGTACCTAATAAACTGCCATCTGAGTGTATGTAGATTTCCACAGTGACTGTGCTGTTTTGCAAAGAGCTTTGTCATGTTTCATCTACAGGCACTCCACGGACGACTTGTTCAGGCCCTCCCTTTTCCCATTGGCTCCCTGCGGTTTGCCAGCTCCTTTAAGGTAATGAGGGAAAATATTAACATTTTCTTTCTCACCAGGTAAGGCTGCATCATCTCCAACGAACCTGATTTGCAGCCTGGCCTAAGTGCACATGCCTGGTTTGTAGATCATTATGGAAAGAAGGGAGTGACAAACTAAAAAAAAAGAGATGGATTGTCTCTTAACTTTTACTTGGAAAAGTTATTAGAATTTAAGATTGTGTTTCATCTTTTTCTTTCCCTCACTGTCTGCCTGTCGTAATTATTTAATTCAGTTTAATTGAACTTGATTCTGTCTAATTGACCAGATAAGTCAGCACTTTGACTGACTCTGTATAGTGCTGTGCTAATTGTCCTTTTAAAGCATGCTCTGTCAATGACATCAATTTAAAAATCAATTGCTGTCTTCGTCGCCTGCTCTCCTCTTGTCCCGTCTACTTCTTTGCCTCCGCCCTCCGTCCGGCTTGCTCGTCCGCCTCCACCTCAGGCAGCAGATATCAACATCGAACGCAACACAGCATGCAAGCCCAGGCCCGACCCCTCCACCTTGGTGTTCGGCAAACAGTTCTCCGACCACATGTTGACCATCAACTGGTCGGAGAAGGACGGCTGGGAGGTTCCACAGATCAAACCTTTCAAGAACCTGTCGCTGCACCCTGCCAGCTCTGCCCTGCACTACTCTATAGAGGTGAGAGAGGAGAGCTCTGCCAACATGCAGCACACAAATCAGACCTGTTGTAGCATTTTGTGTCTAAGACTGAAAAATGAAGAATAACCTCCATAAAATCATATCGTTTCTCTCCAGCTGTTTGAAGGCATGAAGGCTTTTCGTGGTGTCGACAACCACATCCGTCTGTTCAGACCCATGCTGAACATGGAGAGGATGCACAGGAGCACCGACAGAAGCTGCCTTCCTGTGAGTCTGTGCCCCAACTCATCCTTAGAAACCCCCCACACCCCCTGTCAGTGAGGGTTCTTAGTAGGGTTAGGCCCTACTCGGAACATACTTGGTATCTTTACACTTGACCAGCTCCTAGGCCCATTATTTCATCCTGAAAAAGCCTCTAAAACAGCATCATGAGACACTAAAGCCTTGTTCAGACAGATTCTAGCCCTGCATGAATAAACTCACACCCTGGTTTATTTTGAATGGGACCACTTCATCGACACAGCAGGCTCGGACAATCAAAAAAAACGCAGGCTTGAACGTGTTCCAACTTCTGCTGCACCGCAGCACAATATCATGTGTCTGTCATATACGTGCAAGCACACATTTCTTGTAGGATCCTTTGAAATGTGTGTTGTCTTAACATCACAATCATAGTGATGAAGGACACCTGGTCGAACACCCGGTGGTATTTACCGTAGACCGTAATGTTAATTTACTGCTGCTTCTCAGAGTTGTACTGAAGTCCTTGGTTTCATCTTCTGTACCTGTGCCAACACGTCCACAGCCCTCACATCGTTGTGCCACAGTGCTGCTGCTGGTCTGACTGTGTCTCAGATTCCTCTGATTCTCTGAGCTGGCAGGACCGGGCAGGTTTCATTACAGACTAACGCTGTGAAGCTGTGAGCCGTTATGTAACCGCTTGGCACCATTCCCATTTTTGGCTTACTAAATCACACGACGAAACCACAGCCACATGGTCAGAGTCTGTTCTTTACTGTGTGCTCCGTGGAACAAAAGCATTTTTAAGATCTAGAAAAAACATGAAATATTTCACAGTGTTTCATGAATTAAGATTTGTAGTGGATGGTTGATTCTCATGCAAAACTACTAAAGTCTGCACCTTTTCAGAGACAACAGCCTCCCACCATTGTGGTTTATGTAAAGTAGGACCACAATAATTACTCAACTAGTCAGTTGGCAGAGAATTAATCAGCAACTGTTCCAATAATCATGTAAGTAATATTGCAAGAGCGAGTGTCAAACACTGAGTTCCAGCCTCTGAAATGTGAGAATTTGTTGATTTGATTTGTTTTTCATTGCAGTAAATTTGATATTTGGGGGTTTTGGGACTAATGGCGTCGTCCTGGGGAGTTGTTTTTTTAATGTTTGAGAATTTGTATAGACAAACAATTTATGAATTAATTGTAAAAATAATTGGCAATGAAAATAATAATTTATTGGTTGCCATCCTAATTCTAATTTAAGTGAAATTTGTTTACATAATGCTTTACTTACGTGACCTGTCATTAATGCTCTTTTAAGTATTTCATCCTCATTTAGTTACTTTACAGTTATATTTACTGTTTTAGATCAAAGTCTTTATTGCAGATAGACAACAGGTACTTTTTTACACACCAAAATTTAGGGTTAGGGTTAATGATTGATATATTTCAGTCGTTATGATTATTTGATTCATTTCAAGGAGAATTTTAAAAACTTATAATATGAATATTAATTCTCACATAGCACAGGAATGAGGCATCTGCCTCATCTGAAAAAACGGTCGCATTCGTTCACATTTCTAAACCCTGTGAGTGAGTCATTGAGTCAGTGAGTGAGCGAGTGGTAACGAGCGGTGAAGAGCCACTAATGTCCTCGTCTGTTTTCTTTGCAGCTGTTTGATAAAGGTGAACTGCTGGAGTGCATCAGGAAGCTGGTGGAGGTCGACCAGGAGTGGGTCCCCTACTCCCAGGACGCCAGCCTCTACATCAGACCCACCTTCATAGGAATTGAGGTGATCTTTAACATCAGTGTGCAAAGCACAGAGAAGTGCACAGGAACCTGGTGTTTTCAGTCATGTGCAAAAAAATGACATGTGCAGGTTCCCGCCTCAGCTGAAGTAACTGCTGGGTGTCTGCAGGTCTGGAAAAGGGTTGAATTAATTTCCCTCTCCCTCATCTAGGTCCATGTCACATTGATTGATTAATGACATTGCTAGGAATTATTGCTGTGATATAAAATCAATAGATTAATGGACCTATTAGATAATTGAAGACCTTATTGTCCCTAATGATTTTCTATGACTGAAAAAAGGTTTTCAAATTAATACATTTTCTAATTACCCGTCTTCTCCTCTTCTTCCCCCTGCCTCCCCCCTCCTCCTCCAGCCATCCCTTGGCGTGTCTCGGCCAGGAAAAGCCATGATCTTTGTCATCGTCGGCCCCGTGGGGCCCTACTTTGCCACAGGGTCCTTTAACCCCGTGTCTCTGCTGGCGGACCCTTCGTTTGTCAGAGCCTGGAAAGGAGGCGTCGGGGCATATAAAATGGGAGGGTGAGTTTGGTGTCTTTCCTCTTTCAAGTCCAGTGTCCTGCAGGTGTAGTCTGCCTTGTTTAGTAAACTGACTCTTAAGATTAAAAGCTCTCCTCCTGTAAACCTGGCTATTCATGACGCAAATTCAAATTCAGTGGCGTCCTCATCCTGAACTTCTCCTTGTTTTTTTCGTGATATTTGCTTGTACCAGTGTTCCAAGTTAGATTCACCCATCCCTCTTTGTTTCAGCCTGATGAGTTCTGGTTACATGAATATGTCCCACTCTGTTTGTGGACAAGTTTCATGCATCAGCAAACGAAAGCATGACAATTTATCAGTGTTAGTGGCTGTATTAGAGGACCTGAAACAACTTTTAATACAGCTGCCGACAACATGTCATCAAGGCAGAGCCAGACTGCGACAGACATAAAAAGTGAAAGGTTTGGCAAAAAAAGTCTGATGCCATAAAACGTCTTGCAAAAGCAAAGTAGCCCATAATTTATAAGATGGGAGGGTGGATGAGACACTCATGCAAATACCAGTTAAGAAAATATTCGCTTATTACAGTAGGTGATGTTACAATGGCCTGAACTGTGGCCCGTAAGTTCTAAAATTACATGTAAAAGTTCTCAAAGTAAATCAGCGAGCAGTGATGACGATGATATGGTGAACAGAGTGTTAATTTTGCCTCAAATCTTATTCATTTACGCGTGTATTTTTAAAATGCATTGAGACCATATAATCCTCCAGTCAGACCCACTGAGGCGACAGGCAGACTCGTACACCAGGACGACTCCTCAGTGTGGTATGTTCCAAAGTGGAAACTTGTTGCCAGTGAATTTCCACTCTGCTTATGAAGCTGGAGAGACCTGCCACAGAGCCAGCGCCAAACAAAGAGAGCGAGCGGTAGTAAGAGAGCTTTTTCAGAACAGACATTTTGTCTCGTCACGGCAGGAAAAGATCAGATTATTAATGTTATCAGGCACCTAAAGAGATGATATGTCATTTCCTGGGAGGTGGAGAGGGTTATGTGTACTTGTGATGCAGATACATGATTGATAAGCAGCCTATTTTAAACCACAGTGGCTGAAGCTCCAGGATCACAGATATGACTGGTTTGACCTGTCAAACAGGTGAAGAGTCAAAGTGTTGCTGTGTTTCACACTGTGATCAAGATAAAAAAAAAAAAATCAAAGGAACGAGGTCAGACCAGGACAAAAAAAAACCTAAAAACTTCCACAGAGCCTCTAGTAACAGGCCTGCTTCAACATGGCTCTGGTATCCCAATGTAGCACCTGCTCAGCTCCAGTTTGATTACATAACACCGCTGCTGAATGCCCACTCCACTCACTGAGCCAACAAAACCTGCTCTGCTCTCGTCAGCCGGCGAGGATACACTTCAACTCTCAGGCCTGGTTTAGTAGCAGTCATCACGGGACTGCAGGGTAGCTGGAGGTCGATACTGATGCAGGTATTTGAGACCCTATACCTGCAGTTGGTAATTTAAAAAAAAAAAAAGTAAATAAACAGTCTCTTTTCTTGTTGCTTTATTTCTGAATTTTAACATTAAAACAGAGAAACTCAAAAAAATGATGTTCACCAGTCCTGAACATCTCAACAACAACAACAACAGCAGATCTGACCACTCTTCACCCCATGAGACTAAATCCATAATAACATGAATAAATAAGTAAATAAATGCAAAATACGTTAAAAAAAAACTTGTATGCTGATACCAGTACCAGTTTCTGTGATATGATAACAGCTGATAGTCAGCCAAACTCAAACCAGACTCTTCTCAAGAGCTGGAGGAGACCAAATCAGAGCTAAAAGGAGAGTGAGTATTGGACTTGTGGTGCACAGAAAAACAACCCACGCTGTGCGTCTGCTGGATGTATCATTAGAGGCTTGTTTGCTAAAATATTATCAGTAACAACTTTATGAGGTGAACGCAGGTCAGGGGTGTGTGTTTCTCTGCGAGCCGGGAATTGACGTGCGTTACGAGGAAGACGCTGACAGATTTCCACAGTGTGACTCAACTGTGAGTTGTATTGTTGATTGAAATCTCTGCAGTCTGCAGTTTGTATTGTTGCCCATAAATCATTTCTCAGAATGTCCTTCAACTTCTTGGCAAGAGTGAAACATTTTGTTTCAAAGAAACCACTGTGTACTTTATAGGATCGCGGAAGTGTAGCGCGGTGGTTTTTTTTTGTTTGTTTTTTTTATGTGATGAGAAAACAGTAACCAATTGAAATCATTCCAGAGTCGTCTGTTGTTCACGCTGATGTTTATCAGCAGGATCCTTCCTTCTCAGCACAAACACCCCTATAAGGAACAAGAAATACGCATCCACTTCCTTTAATTAATGAATTTACCACTAATGCACTACTTCTCAGTAGCTCAGCACATGGCTAAATTTTTGCGTAAGATATTTAAAGCGATGAAATAAAGAAACTCAAGATATTCAGCAAGCACATGTAGAACACAGGAGAATAGTGTATTAAAAACATGCCTGATAATTAAATTACCTCTGGAACCTGACGTCCATTTTTGACCCATGTTTATGTCTGTTTATATTCACTGTGTCTCTCTTATTTGAACTGCGTCTCGTCCCTCTCTGCAGTAACTACGGCCCCACGATAATGGTGCAGAACGAGGCGGTGAAGCGCGGCTGTCAGCAGGTCCTGTGGCTGTACGGAGAGCAGGAGGAGATCACCGAGGTCGGCACTATGAACCTCTTCATCTACTGGACCAACGAGAAAGGAGGTCAGACTCTTTGATGTCTTGAGCTTTCTCACAGGTCTTTGTGGACAGCTGAAATATGTTCCTGGACTTTTCTGTCCATGTTTTATTATCAGCTGAGCTCATCTAATGAAAGCGTGTGTTTGTGTCTGCAGAGAGAGAGTTGGTGACTCCTCCCCTCGATGGCATCATTCTCCCAGGAGTCACCAGACAGTCTCTGCTGGACCTCGCCAGAGCCTGGGTAAGACGACCGGAGAGGGGACCCAGCGCAAACTGTCGTGCAGACCTCAACAGCTTTTTTTTTTTAACAGTATCATTATAGTTAATCATATCAACTATAAGTGGGATTTTTAAACTGATTTTCTCCCACATTTTTCTTACTGTGCGTCTCAAAGTTTCAGTTACGCTGCTCATGCAAAAGTTCCACCAGAGATCCACTGTGGGGCGGTTTGATCTGATTTAAAAAGAAATAGGCATCATGTTCAGTTTCTCCCAATGTGAAAGTGATTTTAGAATCACAAACCAAAAGGCAGTGTTGTGGTGAGCTGCCAAGGCGGTAGGACAATGTGTTTTACAGTAAAATGTCCCATCAGCCCCCTCTGCTTACTGTATTTATATCTATGTTCAACAAGGTGGTTTTAAGTACAGTAGATAAATCCGAGTAAATCAACTCAATAGGAAATTACAAAAAATCACAAACATTCATCTTTGATAATTTTGCATCTTCACACGTCTGTAAATTCTTCAAATAAACGTCTGGTGGAACTGCTCACAACGCACTGATGTATGCTATCAGTCGTGAGGGAGTCACAAACAGACATTTCTTTATTTTGAGTCAAAAACGTTCAAAAACATTGCATTAAACTTTGAACCTATGTTGATGTTCATTGGTTTCTGTGCCGCAGGGGGAGTTTAAGGTGACAGAGCGTACAATGAACATGAAGGAGCTGCTCAAGGCTCTGGATGGTGGCAGGATCCTGGAGGTGTTCGGGGCAGGGACGGCCTGTGTGGTCTGTCCTGTGGGCAGCCTCCTCTACAGAGGGAAGGTAGGAGCTCACCTTTTCGAGCATGTTTCTCTCTGTCAGTTTGATGATACTGTTCTGCACTTGTCTGTCAGAAATCCCTTGTGGCCCTTGTTCTTTGCTTATAATTAGCTCATTCTACCGTTGAACTCATTGAGTGTGTTTACGTGCATTTAAGTAACCAGATGGCTCAGAGAAATCAAGTTATGTGGGAAATTGGATGGGGTGGTTACTGTTCATACACTTTAATACAGCAGGAAAGTGTCTTATGACTAGTAATGATTCCTCCTTTTATCCACCCTGTCTGCAGTCTTCATCGTGTACATGCGTCTCTGTAAAAATCAAGAGAAAACTGTGCTCCCCAGGAGAGCTCTACCTGGGTAACCAGGTTTCTCTTTTACATGATGTCTCGGAAACCATTTCACTGCAGATAGCCGACTGTAATCCGGTTGTTTAAGCGCATGTACACACACTGATTGTAAATCATTCTGGAGAAAGGGCTAAAATGTAAATGTTGGTGTTTGCTCTTGTCTTTTTCTCTCAGACGTATCAGATCCCGACGATGCAGAACGGTCCAGATCTAGCAAAGAGGTTCCACAAAGAGCTTACTGATATTCAGGTACGTGCACTAATACTAAAGCTTCGCGCTCAGCTTTTATACTCACAACATGTTACAGCTTCCTTTAAAACATGCGTGCATCATGAGGTCGAAATCATTTTTATTGTCTGTGAATCTGCTGATTATTTTTTCTACCAGTTTTGTGATCGTTTAGTCTGTGAAAATAGAGTGACATCACAGTGTTCAGTTAACCTTTCATATAAAACACAGAAAGTCAGCAAATGTTCACGTTGGAGAAACTGAAACTACAGAATTTTGGCCTTTTTTCACTATTTTTATTTGATAAATGACTGAAACAACTGTCAAGATACTTCCTGATTATTAGCCTGTTGATTATATAGAATAATTTTATCAACAGCAGGTTGTTGCAGCTCTAGCTTGAAATTTATAATTTATTACTGCAGCTGAATTTTTATTTTGCAGCTTTAACTTTTACATTCACAAAGAAACATTTTCTGCTTTTTGATTTATTTCTCTTTCCCTCTCTTTCCTTGTCGCTCTTGCTTCACCCAGTATGGACGCAAAGCAAGCGAATGGGCACCACTCGTTGTTTAAACGGCCATTTTGCACATGCCAGTTGTATCAACGGTTAATCCCATAATTCCAGTTTGGACGACCAGCCCCGTCACCACCACCATCATCCCCCTCTTCCTTTCCTCTCAACCCACTAATACACTCCAGCTTACTCACAACCCGAGCAGACAGGACGCTTCTCTCTGTCTTCTTGGGCAACTTTCTCTACGGACGCTCATAGGAATGCGGTTGGTGGTTTGAATGTGACGGCTTGCTTAGAGAAGCAATATTAACAACAATATGCAACGCTTTGACTCAACACAACCCTTAACCTCGAGGTGTGAACATCAAAAACAGGAAAAACAGCTGTTATTGGAGGAAGAAAAAAAAAAGAAAAAGTGAATGCAAGAAAACAGACGATAAATATTGATCAAAACATAAAGATGAGCTGTATCTGGTGGTCATATCTACTACACTAGTATGAGTGCATTCAGATCTCCTTAGAGTGTCTGTCCTCATATTCACTTGCTCATAGTTAAGAGCACAAACTTTCATCATCATCGACATTGAATTCTTGTCTCAAAAGACGCACAAACTGACATATTTATGCATAGGAAGTGAAGTATTTGCAATACTAAAGCAGCTCTGTATTTGGTGTGTAGGACTTAACATTATACATATTTTCTAAGTAATGTTGCTCACCAACATGTGTATTTCACAATACAAGTGTTTTACTTGTATTAACAATAAACTGTACCGCTCACCACAACCTGTGGGGAGTTTGCTCCGGAGACTTTTAACTGTTTCAGTGGCATTAGCTGAAAATAGAAGGTCAGGTGAATACCTCTAAACGCATCATAGGATGTTTTGTTACTGTCGTGTTCATAACGATCTGTCTGAGAGAGCTGCCGTAGTTCTTCTTGGGGCCATTCCACTTTGAACACCAGAGTTTGCACTGACCTTGGGTTAATGTCAGGTTTGTATCTGAGTGTGACTCAGATTTTTAGCACGGATAAACAAACGTTTTTTTTACGTTTGTTGGTTTTGTTTGTTACGAATACGACTGCACAACAACTAAAGATTGAGATTTTTTTTTTTTTAAAAAAAAAGAAAAAAAGGCAAGGTCAAAGTGAACGTTAGCACACACACACACACTCATAAGTGGTAGGACGACAGAAGGAGGCCTACATGCTGTAGAAAGGAAGGACTGTTAGATGCTGACACTTCCTCCTGCACAAGTTACTGTGTAATCATTATGAAAACAATGTATAGTAACAAATAGAATGTGTTGTTATTTTAGAGGTTTTTAAATTATATTTTTTTCCTCGTATTGATGTGAAATTAGGTCGACTTGTCTTCCAAAGTTCTCGGATGTGTCACCAGTGTTTTTGCTGTATCCTCGGCTTCGTGTGCTTCCCTCGCTGGTTTTCCTCTCTTTTGAATGTAATTTTATTTTTACACACAAACTGTACGACACCTGTCCCTCTCTTCTAAGTGCCTGACCTCAGTCTGTTAGCTTGTTGCTGTCAGCTGCTCTTGTATTTTTCCAGTTTGTGCACTAGGGGATTTAGCTGGATTCTTTAAGTAATGTCAGTTTAGTTCTTGTTTTTTAAATGTGTTGTTATTTTAACTCGGCTGTTATGTTTTTACATTAAACATGATCTGAGTTGAGTGAGTCTCTTTCTTTTTATGTGGCCGTGCTGTGAGCACAATAACTCAAGAGTGATACATAATAGAAACGTCATAGTTAAACCACAGGTACTGGTTCTGTTAGCATTCTTAATATTAGTCCTGTGAGTATATATATCCATGGATAGTACTACTGAACGGGCCTACCAAGTACAAACCCAGGAGCTCAGGAGCTCGGGACTCCTGGGCCAGAGTTTCTGAATGAAGTGACTGCTAATATTTCTGGGTTTAGTTCAGTTAAAGGTCCATATTTTACACTTTTCCAATGTTTTATTTGAAGTGTTGATCCATAAGAAGATATATTTGTGGTTTTAAGAAGCAAAAACCCTCTCAGTGTAGTTTTACATCTCCTCTCTCAGGCTTCTCTCTGGAGCTCTGGTAACAACAGGTCGGTGAGCCAATCAGAGGAGAGACTCTGAGTCTGTCTTATGATTGGCTGACTGTTTTCTGAATGATTAAATAAAAATATAGCAGATTTCAGGTAAACACCCTGAGAAACTAAATCCCACAAGGTTGGATGGAAAGTCCAGGTGGGTGGGGCTAGGGCCATGGCTGAGAGCAGTGACTGCTTTGTTGTGACATCACAAAGTTACAGAAGTCCTGATAGCTTGTTTTAAGGCTCAGTTCCTGAATACAGGCTGTGTGCATTTCTCCACGGACTGAGCACTTCAATACCTTTACAGTAATAGTATAGAACCTAAACCATCAAAAAAGACATGGAAATCTCACTTTCTATACTATGGGACCTTTAAGTTCCTTTCAATGACCACAAACAGATGCAAAACAAACACACAAAGGCACAAAATGCCCCAAAACTAACATGTTTTGTGTCTCCTTCAGTCAGGGCGTCCTTTAAAGAGGAATGGGGGGGGGTCTTTTAGCGCATTCATATTCTTCCGTCAGGCAACATATATGCTCAGGCAGATTTTGCTTTCACTGGGAAAAGGCAGGCTAGCTGCTCCCCCTTTTCTAGCCTTTCTGATAATCTAAGATAACGAGCCTGTGACCTTTTCCTTAACAGACCAATAATCAATCTGCCAATCAAACACTCCACAAGGCAAATAAGTTTTTTTTTTTTTTTTTTTTCACCAACAACAAAAACTTGTTAGTCCTGTGTCATTTCATTTCTTACACCAGTTTAATTACACTGTGCCAAAATGTACATGATGTGTTACATTTTTATTCCATAAAGTTGGAACAGTTACACACAAAAAAGAACATATTACTTGTTGATTAATGGGGTTATTGCATCATTGTAACTACACAGTAAATATAAGCGATTACTTTTAAGTTATATTTTTTAAATAACTACACTGAATTCACCCTCTGACAAGTTCTATAATTCTCAGAATTAATATCACCAGGCGAAGCCTTCTTGAGGCAGTTTTATCGACACCAAAAAACATCCCTAAACAAGAACTTTACTCTGTAATGTACTGACGTCCATCACAAGAGGTATGAAAACAGAAATGGGACTAAAACAGATTGTGTTGACAGGGGTGTATCATTACATCAGGCAAATGGTATCACATTGAACCTGAGACGCTTCTTTTTGGAGGTTCTGCAAACCTACAGTCTACTTCTCCTCTTTGTTTTTGGAGACGCTCTCAAACAGCGCGGAGGTCTGCTGACCCAGCGGGTTGTAGAGGAAGGCTTCGATCTCTCCGCCGCCGTTGCTGCTTTTCTGGAAGTGGATCTCCAGCAGATCCTGCAGGGTCTCGTGCTCCATGACGGGATGGATTCCTGTCAGAAGCACCGTCCGAGGACACACGGACATCTTGGTCTGGAAGGGAAATCGCCGCAGACAAAAGAGGGTGCTGCAACTTTATCTAGACTTATTTAAAAAAAATCTCTGATGGTAGAAAGCCTTGTGCAACCCGGGCTCCTGGCAAATGCTTACCTTTAAGTTTGTAATTTTCCCATTCAGAAAAGGAGTCACTCTCACTTTGTGGATCTTATTTTTTAGCTTCACTTCATGGTACTCTGTTTCTGTCAAACCTCTGGCAACTGATAGAAGAAAGTTTTATTAGTGGGGATCAAGACTGAAAGGGGGTTTAGACAGTGAACTTTACAATTGCAAATACATAAAGCTGTCTATACTGTAGGAAAACTAGAGTTGGCTTTCAGGTGCATAGCCTCCAACTCATGTTTTATAATACTAATCGTGTTTCAAAATATTTAAAAAGAGCTGTAGTCTACAATATTCCCCATTACCTCCAAAAATCCTCTCAATCTATTTCCACTGAATAACATTCATCTATAACTATATTCCAACATAATCTCAGTAGCTCACTGTTTTTCTCCACGAATGTGAGGACCACAGTCCCAGAGTCAGGCAGCATCTCGCACTCTTCCACCTCTCCGCCTCTGTGTTTTCCCTTGGAGAAGTAGATCTCCAGCTTGTTCATCATCACCTCTGTGTCCATTTTGGGCAGGTCGGAGATTAATATACGCTGAGGACAAATTTCAGAGTCGATCTGGAAGGAGACAGAGACGGGCACAGAGCAGTTAAAGGAAGTTAATGCTGCGACTGAAACTTCAGGCTGGGCTCACTCAGTCTCTTTGTTGCACCTCCACCAGCTTGGGCATCATCAGTTGAACCGGCCTGGCCTCCACAGTGATGCTGCACTCTCCTCCCAGATCCACCCGATGCTTCTTCATCTCCAGGACCTTCTTGGCCACTAATGACAGAGGGAATATAGATATTCAGGATTTCAGAATAGCTGCCAAAACCGGTCCAACATAATAAAAAAATGTCAGTATTTCCTGTGACTGAAGTCTTGAGATAAATCAGATGAATGATAATAGGGCCTTAAGGTGCATTTAACACCTAATCCTGTTTTACAGAGAGGCCCATGGTCTAACCTAACACAGATTAGATGCTGCTTTCATCTGTGACCGACAGGTACAGTACTTAGAGATGAAGGGACAGAATCATTTTTGTTTCAGTGCCCCCTGGTGGTCTCATCTGGCCATGCAGGCAAAGCTGCACCCAGACATGTATTACCTGTATCTGCTTATCAAGTAACCTGATGTTTTCAACCTCAGTATGACAAACAAATTTAGCAGTTAGTAATGTTACTTTTAAATAAGTGGACAGACTCAAAGAATCAGACTTCTCTCACAATTACAATTTACAAACAAACAATTTGAGCTGTGTTGTTGAGAGAAGCATTAACACTTAAGTACGTGCAGCAGATGACAATATTAGTGTGTATTAGTACATAGGTTTACAATTTCCTGAAATTTTTATATAGAGTCCCTACTGACTTGGTTTTAAACAAACACTACAAGCGATGGATTCTACGGGAAAACATGAAAATACAATAGAAGTCAACTTAGTTTTTAGTTGATTACTTTCTAAATTTTTCTGATGTTTTATTTTCTAATTCTGCACCAAAAGCCTTTGAATTTGGCAGCCATGTTGACGAGAGGAGATCATGCTTTTACTGCTTCAGCTCCAACACTGTGGAAACCCCCGACCCTTGGTAAGAGATTATCTGTATCCCATCTAAAACACCATGTGTAAAGGTTGGCTTTTTTTTTTAATTCCTTTTTACTCCAGTGGTTTTATGTTTTTTATGTTTAATATTTAGTTTTCCATACTTTTGATCGCTCCCTGAAGTTCTTGTTGTATTTTATGTAAACCTGTGAGGCACCTTTAAAACATGATATAGAAATAAAGATTCACTACCTCTAATAAACACAGATGAATTAATTTAAACAGGTGACATCAGGCAAACTCACCGACTTCATCCTCAAAGGTAATCAGCGCCGTTCCCTCCTCCATCGGATAAACTATACGTGATTTCATTTCAAACGTTTGTGTTTGGGCTGCTTTTACCGTCTGCCCGAGGAAGACGACCTTCTTCTCTGGCACAGCGGTGAACACCTGAAACCAACAGGTACAAGTTTACTGGACACGTCATGGATCAAGCTGCAGAGAGCGGCGTGTGCTGCGAGGTTCACGTACATCAGTCTGCTGTTTCAGATGGTTGTTTGCGTCCTCCTCCTTCTTCAGGGCGGCCTCCACTCTCTCGATCTCCTGCATGAGTTCGAACTCCTCTCCCTTTAGTGAATCCAGCTTCGCCTAGACGACAGAAATTCAGACAGTGATAAGGCAAAGAAAAAGCAACCTATTGTTTTATTAATTAATTAATTTGAAATGATCGTATGTGCAAAAAACATATGAAAAATCCTTTTTTACAGTATTTTATCACATTTTTTCTTTATATTTTCCTCCCTTTGATGATATTCTCTTTTGCCTTTATTGCTATTTTACTTCAAATATTTACTTTTAATGATGCAGCATCTCCCTGAAATCATAAAACAGATCTTCTCGAGTCAGTGTCCAATGAATATAATGTGGTTGTGTTGATTCTTTACATGAGAACGAGTCCAGTGTCATTTTTAAACAAGTGAAACATAATGTGTATTGTCAGAAAGTTAATAAACCTATTTCCCCAAACGTTACACTATTCCTTTAAGCTAAATTTTGTTTTTAGAGTATCATGCATGTTTGTGCATTTTATTTTATTTTATTGTTTTCAGTGTTGTCCTGTCCTTGTCCCAACAACGTGTGTGATACCCTCAGACTACGCCCCAATCAGTGGTGTCACAGTGGGTGTTTCCCCAAAACTGTAAAAGATAAAGCACCTACTGTGTAATGTGGCCGTTGAAGATCTGGAATCGCAAGGATTCAGATCGTCCTCAAATAAAAAGCCATACCTTTTCATTTTCAATCTTCTGCTTGTTGGAGTTTTGTTCCCCGTCCAGATCCTGGCTCAGTTTGAGGGAGCGCTCCTTGAACTTCTGAATCATCTCCTGCTGGTCGTCTCTGGCGACGGCCAGCTCTTTCTGCTCCTCGACCAGCTGATCGTATTTTTTCTATGGATACAGAAGCAAAGCTGCGTCCATGAGGGCTGCAACTAATGTCAGAAATTGATAAAAACTGTCGACTGTCTACCTATACTGTCTATTGACATAGCAGCCAAAAGCATGTATAGAACATGGCATTTAAATAAATTTGATCTCTTCTCATCTGTAATAACTTTTTTGCACGTCTAAAATTACTTTCAATAACTAATTTAAAATCTCTCCTGTATTTATCTAAAACCACATCTGTATGTTCTGTTTACATTCGGGGTTTTAGTATCGTATTCCTCATTTAAATCCCGCTCTGTGAATATAAACCTGTTACTTCTTTGTTATTGCAACCTTCTAATTGTCCCAAAGTGAAGTTTCTGCTTTTTATTTTATGCTAAAAGAGAGACTTTGTCGACAACATGAAAACTTTAAACTCTTTTCTCGACTTCATGGCTTCTGTAGTTACAGCTCTCTGCCTCTGCACGGCAGATTATTGTTCCAGTTTTTTGGATGCCGTCATGAATGTGTTAATTCAATTCCAGGTTTTAGCACTGAGTCATAGTTAAAGGTGTGGTACTAAACATCATTATATCAGAGGTGTTTCTTATATTCTGCCCTTCTCATGTTTCAAAATAGGCAGGATGAAAAAATGCACTGAATTGCAATATACTGTATGGGTGTACCTAATAAATTGGCATTACCAGCCTCACTACACCACTGTCAGATCAATCATGAGTTTCAGTGCACCTTGTAGTTGCTGATTAAAGTCTGGATCCCCTCCAAGGTGTCCTCTAATGGCTGTGGATTCTCCACCACCAGAGAGAAATCCTAAAACACAAGGACACACAATTACCTCTCAAACAGAAAAACAGAGAGGAAAACCACCTCCATCTCCACCACCACCACCATACAATCATCAAAGCACAGGGTTTAAAAAAACAAGGTAGCTGTGATTTAAATAGACAAGTTTATGAGGATAATTCAGTCATTTTATAAGTGAAACTAGTTTTACACTTGTGTAACTAAGACTAAAACCCAACAGGAAAGTTACAGAAGTTTCACAGAAAAAATGGCTGTAACAGAAATATTACTGATGCATTTGATAAATTATTTTTTTGTGTAATATTTATTTTTTAACAACATAAAATTGAACGGAAATGACGTAACAACATGAAGAAAGACGTCTCACCTCATCTGAAGACATAGTGAAAGTGACCTGAAATGATATACAAAATATTGGAGCTTTGACATGCTGTTAAACTAAATCAGTGTTTCATATTGTCTTATTAACACATGTACATACTGTATGTAAAAAAAAAAGTTAAACAGAACTTCTATTAATGTACTGTAGGCCCTGACTTCACATAAACAAATGGACGCCCTAGCAAATCTTTAAATACGTCACAATAACTTCAGTTACATCAAATTACCCAAAACTAATGGCAGCTGAAAACACCCACGTTGTATCTACACCATTGTTCTGTTGTATTTAACTAAACTTAGCGGATTTAATTTATTTCTCATTTTAAAGCAGCTCGGTGTAAACTCACCTCCTTTCGACGATCAATGCTCTGAAGCTAAATAATTCTTTCAGTTTCCATTTCTCGGCAGAAGGAAGCCTTGAACGTCTCACTATTGTCCATCCGGGGGCGCTAATGCGCACCATGTGATGTTTCGTTCAGGTGCTGTTGGAATTATAACCTCTTTACGATGCAACAAACGCGAAGCACAAGAGGACGTAAGTACTCTATGTGGAATAAAGTTTAATAGCTGCACATCTGATTGATTTTATCTGTGAGGATTCGCAGATCAAATTTAAGTGGGAAATTTACTTCTTTTTTTAACTCCATCTTATAGCTATATACACACATATACACAGTGATGAAGAAATATCTAGACCTTTAACTTATAGTACCACCACATTAGAAGTAACCTATTATAAAAGTCCTGCAATCAAACAATAGAAAAAACAAAAGTACTTAGTGTCAAAATACTCCGCGAAAAAGTGGCTAAAGTGACTGTTAGTATACATTACTGATAAATTTGTTCACTGTAAGTGGATTTTACATAGTTGGTTAAGCTGAAGCTATACATTTTTTGGTATATGATTTATTTATAGAATTTTCAACTAGCTGAAGCTATATTGAACTTGTTTAGTTTAGAACAAATATTATTTACATAATCACAATCTGAAAGTAACTGTAGCTGTCAGATAAATGAGTGAAAGTCTAAAGTAGCATAAAATATGAATACAAGTACCTCAATGATGTGTTTAAGTACAGTGTCAGAATTAATGCTTGGTTACTTTCCACTTCTCTTCATCAACAATCCCGTTTAAGCCATTTAAAGATACATGTAGTAGAGTATCCTTACATGAAGTATCCAAGGCAGATTCAAAGCGAGAATTACTTGACCTCGATATACTGGCGTGTAGTTTGCTCCACTCTAAGGTAAAGATGCAACTAAGCTTTAACAGGAGAGTCAGGGAAAAGGCAATACGTTGTTTATTCAATGTGGTATTCCTACATTAATACTAATTTGAGCAGCACATATAATTTGTGCTTTTTCCAACAGTAAAATTACATTGTGTCCTTAAGTCACCATGTAAGGTAGAACCGTTAGGTTTAAGCTTGGAGCCAGTAAAAGGTTTATTAGCAAGTGGTCTGAGGGAGATCCACTGAATGACCAATGTAAGTGTGTAGAGAATCAACTTATTTGGTGAGAAATTATGGATGAGGTGTTTGAATGTTAAACTGTAAATCTGTCCCATTACAATGAAAACCTTTTTCTTGTCAACACATTTTGTGAAAGAAAAAAGGTTGAATTCCCACACTTTCAGTGCCAAGTTAGTCAGACAGCTGCCAACCAGGTGATTTAATAACATTTTGACTTCAATGTCACTACATCCTACCTCACTGAGATTATTAGCATTTGAAAGAGTGTAGAGTTATCAAAATGTAGGAACCAGACCCATGATCCTGCTCAGTCCACAGCATACCACAACCTAACTTTAACAATAATTCTTCTCACACACAAAAATATATAACATTGATGGTTGGCACCACAGTAAATTTGGTTATATTCAAAGCTTTTGTCAATTTCAATTCAGAAAGATAGAAATCAAAAAGAAATCAACAAAGTCCATTTTTAAACATTTATTGTGAAACCAAGTGAATTTAGAATCTGAGCTTCTGGAAGAACCACTTGTTCTTGCCCGTCTTGTACCTGGAAATAAAAAACAAAAAAAGAATTTAGCAAATACAAGAAAATTCTTTAAGCATAGTTCATGAGTGTACATCTTTATACAACAAGGCTGCATCAGGTCTAATCTAAAGCAGCAAACACGCAACTTGACACTGCAGCAGTTTGAACACAACTTGTGTCATTACTGATGGTAACTCCCGCACTGCTACATCACAATTATCCTATTACAAAAAACAATCATGCCACCCAACATGACTGGTGAGGACAATATTTCTGGCTGCTGGTTTGTACTGATATACAGTAGGTATATAGCATGTAGGTAAGTGACAATGTAGACATTTGAATTGCCTTTCAAATACATGTGAAATTATCATTTCGGTTGTCTTTTTAGCCTTCCTTTATTAAAATATGAACACAGATAATAAGTGATGGTGATGGAAAAAGAATCCAACAAATCTACATTTATTCTCATGACCGAGGACTCACCTCTCCTCAAACTTGATCTTGGCCTCCCGCCTGGCTTTGCGCTTGAGAGCAGGATCCCTGAAGACGTCCTTGTTGACAACAGTTTTGTCCAGAGGAATATCCACAGAGTATCTGAAGGAAAAGAAGCACAACAACGAAAATTATGTTCATATCCTCCAGTTATCCTGTGAGGTGATGCTGACCACAGATGTCTCTCTTGTGTTTCATTTAACTTTGTTCAAGTACTCATTCATATCTGGAAGCTTGTTGACACAACTGAGCAGTTTCACTGTAGAAACTCAAAGTGCCTAGCACAAGAACAGCTAGAACAATGAGCTCATGATCCAACTGTGGACATCGAATATAAACCTGCTCATTGAATCTTGTGTTGTCAGTCCACAGCTCATACAGAGAACGCTGCAGCTAACTGAATTAGCAGGCTTTTAACAGGCAACATCTTTACATCAACAGCCATTTCAGGTGTTTACAAGTATCATGGTGTAATGTTCAACACTGCTCCAGAATGACAACTAGTGTCCAAGGAAATTCAGACATTTCCTCACAAAAGCATCACCCAGTTCACTTCAAATCACATCTCATTTCTTATTCAGTCTCATTTCGAGAACCAACTAAACAGCCCAACATCTATCAAACATGACAGTAAAGCTGATTCCTGCATCTGGACTGAAACTAAACTGCTCTTAAGGAATCAAGTGTTTCCTCAACACTGCACAATACCTCCTTCGCTGGAGGAAAGGCACAAAAATCCTGATTTATTCCTTTTTACGCAGCTCCAGGTAAAATGTCCAGAGACAACACAAACATACTGTGGTCTCAGAAGTGTGTGTAAAGAGGCAAACTGCTGATATAAGCCAAATCCAACATCCAGGCTAGTTATTGTAGTATATTGTGTTCACACTGGAAAAGTGACAAATTTAAGTATGTCAAATAAGATAGTATGCACACTATACAGTCAATTTCCGAGTGTGTCATTAATGCACACCATTTTCCCACAATGCAATGCATAAGGAGCTGCTCACTCTGGGGGGAGAAAAAAAAATGTGGATGATGGTTAAAAACATATCCAAAAGATTTTTGTTAGTTTGGTCAGCAAACTTCCCCAGTTTCCCACATGCAGTTTGATGTCACATTAAACAATAACACAACACATAGACAATCAATAAGTCTACAGTATATACTGTATAGAATAAAGCAAGTAGTATAGATTTGTGTGAGTCATCTCACATTTACTACCCATGAGCCTCATTGCTATAGAAAAGCCAATCAGAGGCACAGAGCAGTAGTGACCAAAACATTACTATAATCACAGAATCAACCCTAACTTTGTCCACCCAATGCAACAGTATAACTTACTGATGTGTTTTAAATAGTTTTTGGACCACATTGTATCGCGCTCTGGATACATAAAAATATTTATCAGTAGGATTAATTGTGTTGGTTTTGATCTTTTCATGGGATTTTGATGACAAGGAAAATACAGAATACCACTTGCCTTACACTTTAAGTTCACTGATCGGATGTTTCTTGGTGAAATGCTCTACAAAAATGTACAAAACTGCAGGTACAAGAACCTGATTAACGCAGTTGCAGTTTAAAAAAAAAAAAAAGGATTAAACTAGGAGAATGTCATGTTCATTCATGCACTGGATCTGTAAGTCACCCAATATTATCGATGCACAACATTAAAAAGTGATTTTACTTGATCTCTGGACATCAAACTTTGCAATTCTTTTCAGAACACTGGCATAAAGATCCAACACCTTGTGACTTTCTCAAACTACAAAAATAAAGTATTCACCACCCTGGTGGGATATTTTATCCCTGCTTGGTTCCCGACAAGTTTCGGCATCAGACACTGACCTGGTGGGCATGAGGTGGTTGTAGTTGAACACCTTGACAAAGGCCTTGATCTTGGACCTCTTGGCGATCTTCTTCTTGCCCATGGTTGTAGTCACCTTACGGGGATAGCGGTCGATGCCTGCGACCAAAGCGTGGCTGTAAGGGCGGTCAGTTGTGCCATCATCAATGTTCTGCAAACAGATGTTAACAGGTGACTGTGAGAAACTGCAGCCACAGACCATCCACAGTAAAAAACCAAAAACAAAAACACAGCTGTGCTACTTTGATGCAATGCCTGTTATTTTAAATTAATGCACTCGCTCAATTGTAAGATTTTTTTCCCCCTAGGATTATATTCAAAAAGTGGGGTTCATCTTATGGCCAAGAAGCAGACGTCAGATACTGTTTCTGAATGGAGAGAGTAGTGTTGTCATCAATAGTCGTTTGTAGCCATAATGGTGCTGGTAGGGTTTTCAGTCTGTTAATACTGATTCTTTCAAAACGTACATCAACACCCAGAGTGTTTCTGTCGTGTCTAAAGGCTTATATGACATGTTGCTGCCGTGGAGGAAATAAATTCAAATGAGTTTTGTGAAAATGAGTGCTTAGAATCTCAGCATCTTTACTGCAGAAATTAATTAGGGGGGAATATCTGCTAAACAGCCAAGATAAAAGACAGATTGATAAATATTTGCTGTAATAAAATGATTGTGATGCTTCAATAGTCTGAAAGGAGAGATGGTGAGTCTGCAATCGATAGCCTCTTTAATGTTTCACTTCTACAAAAGCAAAAAGTCTTCGATGATGAGGCATCTCGTCTCCTTGGATTAATCATATCTCAGGGAAACCTCCCCACCAGGACTAGTGTAAAAGTACTTTCTATGATCACAAAGTCTTAGATGTTGGATGACATCCTCTGTTCCTCATTCAGGCCAACATAGCACTTAACATTTCAATCTGGTTAAACAGCTGCTGATTTTGAAGCCAAGATGAACACAGGAGAACCGGCAGTGACTGACAGACATGTAGCATCAGAGCTCTGGCTTACCTTGACGATGACAGCTTTTCGCCCGGCGTAGCGTCCAGCTAGGACCATTACCACCTTCCCAGGCTTCATGAACTTGCCCATGTCTGCCACAAAGAAAGCGAGGTTAAATACGGTGGCACTGAAGTGAGTTCAACACTTCACAGGCAACATTACTGACGAGAACGGGACAAAGATAAACACTTAACATGTGGGGTTTTTCCTATGGAGTTTGACTGACCATTATTGCCTGGCTAAGTTAGCATTAGCCTCGAGTCACTTTCTAGGGCTTTATATTTACTTACAAGTTCACACAGAAACAAAATTACTACCAATGATCATTTACTTAACACGAGACCATAAGGGGCATAATGCGCAGGCGAGATATTTAACAAAAGCCCCTTTCATAGGCAGTTCAGATGCAAACTGAAGCCGCCATGTTGAAATAAACGCAACGAAGTGCTTGCAATAATTATCCCTTTTCTATCAAAGCCGATTAAAATACACGAAAATATCTATCGCATCTCGGATAGAGGAGTGATTGACACAAGCGTGGAGTGATAAAAACTGTAAATATGGCCAGATTTAGAGCGATGGTTGAAGATTGTTTGAAGGGAAGTTTCACTCACTGATGCTGTTCTACGGCCGCCGCTAACAGGAAAGGAAGTCCTGTAGGTTTTAGTCAACTTTGACCCCACCGATCATGTACGTCACTTCCGGAAACATATATATTCTTTATTTTTATGAATCTATTTCTTTAAATTATCGACTGAATCATAATAATAACATTAAAAAGACTATCAGTGATATAGGTTCATCCCTCATCTGCCGTATTGTACATTATCATTGTTTTTTTTAATCCTTAGCATTTATTCAATGATTATTCTGCGACAACACACACAGTATACTACATTTTTTAAAAGTTAATTTTATTTGTGTGAAATATTTAAATCTGATTAATTGATAGGAAAATGTCTGAAATGGAAATAAAATTCTGCTGCAAGACATCCTGCTGTTGGTGATGACCATGTTTAGACATTTGTTCTTGTTTGATACATGACAAAAAGTGGTGTAACATCCTATCAAATGCAAACAATAAACCAAGACTAGTTCTGTTCTTAATTATACTGCTTCAGCTAATGTGTTATTATGATAATAATTATTATTATTACAGAGAAAACAAAGGCGTTCAAAATGTCACTTAACATTTTGTTGATTTAAATTATTGGCTGTATCATATACTTGACTGCTAAGATATTCTTTGAAGGATTCTATTAAAAAATATAGATTTTTAAAAATGGACATAACAAAGACACATAAACATCACAGTGGGTCATTTATGTTTAATGTGTTTACAGCTGTAATTATACATTAAACATGATAAAAAAAATAAAAAAAAATTAGACCACAATTCATATCTCCAAAAGAGATTATTTTTCATTAAAGTGATTAAATAAAAATAACATCAATAGAATTTAACGTAATTTAAATGATCCAGTGTATCTACAGCTACAGTACAGCAGCTACCATAGTGTTCTGATATGTTCCACAAACTTCAGTGTTGAGCTAAAACATGCCATCAAATAAATAATAAATGTCTCTGTACATAAATCACAATGTAACAGTTTAACAAAACACAACAAAAATGGGAAAAGTGAGCAAAATACAGCATTATATGTACTAAACATAGCGCAGAACAGAACACAAAATTTCCATTAACATATAATAATATGAACAAGTTAATAATAAACAAATAAACAAGACAAAATGTGTATGCACATGCACGCAAGTCACAGAGTGCGCCAATATGGAATCAGGTTTTTATCTCAGGAAATACAAATGTAGTGAGCTTTTATCAGCACGCCTGCTCTCAATGGTTTGATACGTACATGTACACGTGGGCCCAGGAACACTGAAGTTTCATTCCCATAAACAGAAGGAAAACATACAGCACGTATAAAGTAACCTCAGTTTAATAGCATCTATGGTTTGTACATTCAGTTTTTAAGGACATGATTCGTGCAACTCAGCTGTTTAAGGAAGATAAAATCTAATTTCTCTGAAAAACAAACTGGACATAAAAGTAAACGTTTTAAATACAGCATTAAATACAGGATGTAAGCCATTACATCATGACATAAATTGTGGTCATATAATATCACTGTCAGTTCATTTTGATTTTAACTCCACCTGGAACAGGAGAAAAGCAGCAGTTCATACAGGGTCTAAATGCTGTTCACACACCTGAAACGCAACATGCAACAACTGATAACAGCTTCAGAGGATTAAAAATTTAAAATGGAGTTGAGAGCAATGTAAGTAAGTTGATAACTGCATATTTGTAGGCAACGTTACACAACACTTTAACTTCACACCCCAATGGAAACTTTAAGATGTTCTTCATTTCAAGTTGACCTGAGTGCTGATGTTTAGCTTCACGATCAACCAGTCTGCTACATGGGATTTACCACCTCAATAATTCAGTCCATGACAGAAGAATGGAGCAGCACAAGCACCAACACCAGGACCAATACATCACAAGCTCTTCTCTGCTCATTCATTTTCTTCCTAGATTGTCTAACTTGCAACCACGTTACAGTTCAGATTACTGTACAAATCCAACCTCTTTCTTTGATGCATAGGCCAGGAAACTATCACGTAAACAGGGGAATGATACTGTATGATGAGCACAGGTCGTAATGGTCAGGAAGGCTTTACTAAAGATGAGGTATCTATCTCAATCTCCCCTCTAAGGCAGGGTTACAGTACAAGTGACATTGTCCTCTCGTCATTTTGGCATCTTAAACGTAGTGGGATATGCCATTTATGGTTGCTCATGGCTGAAGCTCAAACAACATAATCATCCATGCATGTACTGTCGATTTTACTTCAAATGGGTGGCTGCGTAAACAACTTTTAAGAGGTTACCTACTTGAAGCACAAAGACATGCTTTTGGTCCTGAATGCAGGTAAGAGCTGTGTAGTTTAGCTGATAAAAGACTTGATTTTTTTAGACTGGTGTTTCTCTATGTTTCATGGATTTGTTGCCTCCTCAGAAAGCATCCTTAATGTTCTTCAGCTGCCGAACAGCCAGGTCCACTGGGAGGTTGAATTTGAGGTGGCTGATGCGGCCCAGAATGCGCAGGGCTCCTTCGAAGCCGGTCTGGGCCATGTAGCTCCAGGACTGGTAGTGCGGGTGTATCAGAGTCCCTGACTTACACAGCAGATTGAGCCATGACACCAGCCGCTGCTCGTTCAGAGCCATGCACACCAGCGCTTTGAACTCTGTGTCTGGTCCTCGCTTATAGCGTCCATGCTCCTTCAGCACAGTGTGGATGGCCCACAGCAGAGACTGTTTAGGGGTGACGGTCACCGGGCCGCCCCCGACAGGCAGGCTAAAGGACTGTGAAAGCTGGCGGGCTGGTGACTCCACAAAGGCCTTCCCGTTTTTGGAGTGGTAGTATTTGACAAAGAGTTCCCATGGGTGCATGGTCTGTGGGGCTGGTCTGTAAGGCAGCAGGCAGGAGATGGGTGCCAGCACTAGGCTCATGGTCTGAGAGGGCGAGAAGAGGCCGTGAGCCAACAAGTCTTTCAGAGCAATCGCCAGCTCCTTCCTCACAGACGACGTCAGCTCATCTCGGGGGCCCAGGGCCGAGTTGCTGGTGTAGTTGACGACATGTTCGAGGGAGGGCTGTCTGCGTGAGCCCAGCACTCGCACCTTCTCTACAGCTGCCTCCAGACGCTGCAGCAGGGGCCCATAGTCCTGTCCTGCAGACTCCTGAGGCCACATGCTCTGGGGAACATGGCCGGCCGCGCAGCCAAACTGGCTTGCAGCAAAGATCTGCAGCACGGCGAGGGCCTTCTGGATCAGCTGCAGGCCGGTCTCTCGCATCTTCTGGGCCTGTTCTGGATCCACTGCAGTGAGACATCAGAACATATTAACGTTGGACCACATCATCACCTGCTGGTTTTGAACACCATCTCAGGTAAACGGACCTTTTATAAAAGGTTTATTAAGAGCTTGCTAGTAAATAAATCTTTAAAAACTCAAGCTCTTGTCATTGGTATAACACCCTACAGACGAGCAGACACTGTCTGGATTAATACAGATTTTGGCCTTGAACTGGTTGCCCCAGACTAATTTTAGAATCAGGCCGGATTTCTGCCAGATCAGCTGTCATCTGACGTGCGGGTGGAGAGGGTTCACGACAACTGATTAACAGCCTGAATGACCACAGATCTGGCTCTCAGACAATCGGTGGGATTTCTAGCAGGTCAGAAATTTTGTGTGTCTGCAGTTTGAACATGCAGATTTACAGACAAATGAGTATTTCTGCCCTGACATGTGGCTCAGAAATGCATGAACTTATAATCTTTATGCATAATGTTGTAAGCCATCAGAAGAGATCTAGTTTTATTACTATCAACATTACATTGTACTTGCAGTTGGAGTTTGATATGAACTGACTGACCTTTCCTCTTCTCCCCTGGAGTTCTGGCATTGGTCCCTGCTGCTTGTGGCTGCTGGCTGTGTCCAACATCTGACAAAAGAGGATTCCCCACCTCATCTTTTGGAGGAAAAGGCAAACGTTACGTATTAAAATAATTTTAAAAAAAAAGGCAACTTACAGATGCCAACAAATCACTGAAATCATGCTGTATATAGGTTTGTGTACCCTGGATGAAGTTAATGAACATCTCAAGGTCCCTGATTTGGGTTTTGAGCTGCTCCACCAACTGCTCCTTCACTCTGGCTGGGTTCACTATCTGAGCAATGGCAGCGTCGACTCTCTGTCTAAGCTCCTCCGGCGACAAGTTCCCGATGTCCTCGTTCAGGTTCACATCCAGCTTTTCGATCAACTCGTCAATGATGACCTGAGACAGATTAAGGGTTAAAGGTTTTGTAGGATATATCACACATTTAAAGCAAATATGTCAAACTTGTTAGTAAACAGTTTCTTATTTACACATCCAGCAGTTACAGCTCATCATTAATTTGGAGTCATGTTTCCGTCACCTGATGAATATAAGTCCAATATTCACTCTATATTAGCTCTGTTTTTGGTCTCCACTACTTTCTGAGGGAAATATCTGGCTCTTTAGCTGTTAAATGCTCCACTATATTCATCTGCTGGTCTCTAACTGTGTGTATCTGCTGTTTGCTACTGAGCAGGTAGAGTACAGTGGGTTCAGAGTTGTTTATGTCTGTTACGGCAACAACATGATGAGTGAAACAAAACAGTAAATTTATGGACTAGACAGTTAAACAAGCTGAAGTTCTGAAGCTTCATGAAGCCAAGGGGAGCTGCAGATTCAGATGATAATTCACTGAAGGTTCATCACTACGTGTCACTGTCACACTGTCATTGGATGCATTATTTATTATAAACTAACTGATTACAGCTGCTTTACTGTGCTTGTAGGAAGCTACATCTCCCTATACTTAAGAGTTGGGTGCAAACAGCTTTGTATTCAGAAGCTAATTTCTTATTAGCAAAGTTCTCAACGTAGAAGATTTTCCAAACACTTTTCTCACTTTTACAAAGAGAGAGAGAAACACAAGAATATACAAACACTGTAAAGCCTGGAGCATTTTGAGGACAGATGTTTGACTTGTTACACCTGATCTAAAACAAGCAAACACCTCATTATATGTTCAACATAACAGACACTTTGGATCTTACAAAAGCTTTTAGACTACAATCGTTTGGCTCTCTCATCTGGGATGTTGTAATCATTATTTATTCTCAGACACCAAACAGTTACTAAATAAACATCAATACGTCTTCCAATGGCGATTATCATACTTTTGCGATTCCACATTCCCACCTTCTGTCTCTCCATGACAACAGACTGCGGCAGCGAGTCGTAGCTGCCCTCCTGATAGGCGAAGCGCTCCAGATCGTCCAGCTGTGTCTTCAGCTGGAAAATGAGATCCTTCTGTTTTTCCCTCTGAGCCTCCAGGCGCTCCCTCTTCTCCCTCTCAGTCTGACGGCAGAAGAACACACAATGATTTAATTTCTACAGACAGAGAGTGATAAATGGCCACAGTAACACAATAAACAGCGTGTACTAAATGTCAACCAGTGTGGGGTTTTTGCTACCACTACCAATATCAATATTTACGATTGTGAGGGAGCCGATTCTTTGCAAAAACATTTAATTATTAAGATTTACTTTGAAAGCTAGAAGCAGTTTTCAGTTAAGAAGCAGTTTATCATATAGAAAGCTGCACCTTTTATCACGTGCGTCACAACATTTACACAAAAGTACACAAACCAAAATCTCAAAGATGCGTCAGGTGTCATACTCACCAGATCCCCCTGAAAGTCAAGCATGTGACAAGGGAAAAATAAATAAGAAGACCTTTAGGTGGGATATATGATGAGCAATTATGCCATATCACATGCTAACAATGACCGCAAGAGGCCGAGTCTTTACTTCAGTTAAGACTAAATGTAAAGAGGCCGGGAGTAAACAATCGCAGGAACAAAGCAGGCTGCTTCAACATTGCTGTGTACACAGAAGCCTTTATTAAAAAGATAGTGATCTGCCAGAGGCATTTTCATTGAGCCTGTGGCGTTGTGAGTCACACACTTGTGGCAGAAAGCAACATTTTCCACCAGAGATAAGGGATCCCTGGAAACAAAACAGAGGTGGGTGCAGCAGCCTCGAGTGTGACGTAACAAGCACGCTTTAATCAGTTTTACCCTGGTTCCTCACAGCCACTGAGGCGATTCATTTCAGTTAAACTGACCAGGTTTAACACGACACAGACTCAAACGTGTGTGAGGCTATATTTATATCTGTGCATCTATATCTGTGTATTGAACGCTGTTTCTAACTTCAGATTTTTATGTGTGAGTGTTAAACATTTCTGACCAGACCTGCAACTAACCACTACTTTAATTATTGATTAATCTGACAAGTATTTCCTCAAATCACTGATTATTAATGGTTTAGAAATGCAAAAGGCCGTGTTCTGAATCCCTATGTAACACTTACAAATGATCCACCTTACAGTCTAAACCCCAAATATATGCAGTTAGCCTTCACATAATTCAAGGAATAGCAGCAAATCCACAGTTTCAATAACAGACTCACTTTCAAGCTGCTCAGCAAAGACAGACACTTACAGATGATCATGGAAGGAAACACTACACTACAATCCTAAATCTATACAAAGATATGTAATAAGCATGGACAGATTACTGAGTGGGCCCACTGGGCACAGGTGCAGGGGCCAAAGAGGTCAGGGGGGGCCTGGACCACAGCTTTTGGATGAAGTGACTTAATTTTAGACAGCAAAATGACCAAAAAGAGACACAAAAGGGCAAAAAAAATGGCCAAAAACAGGAACAATTCATGTAGTCATTTCTTGTCTCTTTCGGTCTGGGGGTCCTACATAGGAGGGATGTGGAGTCTTGTAGGTTATACCTGTGCCTGTGTCTTCTTTTATTCTGTCCATGGTAAAAATCTATATATACATATTAAACCAGGAATAACTAAATCAAAGATATTCCATAATGTCAAGTTGATTTAGACACCTGTCATCTTTCGCTGGTATGTACACTGAGTGTTGGGGAAATGTGTGGAGGTTATGTTTTGAGATAGTCTCACCGAGTTCTCCAGCTGCTTTGCGTCCTGAGCTCTGCAGCCCACTACATGCGGACAGCCTCTGAAGGCGAACTCCTCCAGCTCGGCCAGCATCCTCTCCTTCTCCTCGCTCTGGGCGTGAACTATCTGCTTTAGTCGGAACTGAACCTGAGCAAAGTGGGAGGTGAGGGCGAGCAGAGAGGAGTTCAGCAGGTCCTGCTCCTCTTCCAGCTTCTTCATTTTGGTGGCCATTTCCTCCTCCGGTACAGAGGACGAGCCTCTCTGCCTCGGCTGGCCAGCGCTCCTGTTGCCGCTCTCATCCTCGGGACTGGCCACAGCGCCCACCGGTGCCCATCGCTCCCCTGCGCCGGCCAGGACAGCCTCGCTGTCCGAGGCTGACAGCTCCTCTGTGGACATTTTGGACGAAGGAGTTCACTCCAGCTGTTTGACTATGCCGCCAGTTTATTAGGAGAAGTTTTATTTTCGTTTGTTGCGCAGACAACAAGAAGGATCACCGCTGGAGAGACAGGTGTAACGCCATCTTGGGAAGAATGATTCATACGTCAAAGCGGAGACAGGAAAACACCGGAAGTATAGCACGCGTGTCTTCAAAATAAAAGCATCTCCATTACATAAAAAGTCTCACCTAGGCTGAATTACCAATCGAGGAATAGGCCCCCAAATCCTCAGGGGCCCCAGAAGCCCCATATCATATGGGTATAAATAATTTGATTAACTGCAAAGTTGTTTTTAATTTAAATCTAAATAATTTCTTTTAGTTTATAAAACAACAATAACAAATAATAATAATAATGAAAAGTACATTAGAAATAAAGAAAGAAATTTGCACCACTTGAAGTACAATGTCAGGTCCCCCAACTTGTGGTTCTGGTCTTGTAAAGGCACTATAAGAAATCTAGGCATTCACAGTTTTAGTTCATATAATGCTCATTTGTTGTAAAGTTGTGTTTTATTGAATTGCTTACATGTTTTTCAGGGAAAAAACAGAAGACCAGGGATGATGGTGTATCTAGTTTTAGCTTCTCTACTCTGGCTTCAGTATGTTTTAGAATTGATTTTAAGATCTTAGTGAAGGCTCTTTATGGCCTTTCTTCCTGTTACATTTATGATCTTTTAGTACCAGATGAGCCAGTAAGTAGTTCAAGAGCCTCAGACAGATCTCTTTTATCTGACCCCGAGGCAGTCTTATAAATCCTGCTCCTAAGAAGATCTTTTATCTGCAAACTTCCTGGCCTCTGGACCCGAGCTTAAGAGAGACACGCTTCACCCTCCACATGGGGATGAGAGGGAGATTTAATTATATATACAGTATATACTGTGTATATACCTAGCTTTTTAATTTCTTAATTCATTTCTTTAATTTAATTTTTTTTTTAATTCTGTTTTGTCACCTCTTAGCCTATCTCTTGTGCTGCTGTAACATGTTAATGTCCCTCTTGGGGGTCAATAAAGTCTTTGCTGAACGGATATTTTTTATATTATATATTTCAATTAACAGTCAAATAGAAAGGGTGGGCGGCTTGATCCCCAAAGTATCCTGACTATTCAATCAATACTAAGTCTTGTTTTAAACATATTCTAGCATCAATAGATACGATGCCAAAAGAAAAAAAAGGATCCGTCACATCTTAGATCACATGATCTAATGACACAGGACAGTTGGGTGCTTTAAACAATAGAAAATGTCAATATCAGAATCGATATTGGCTGACTGGTTTCAAATCGAAACCAAATTTTGCGGTAGGCTATTGCCAGCCACGAGAATCTAATTTAGGCTTTTATTTTGAATGGCGTGACCGGAAGTTTTAATTTTTACTTCTACTGTGCTTTACACTGTTCACAAAGGGGAGGCTCCGGGTAAACCCATATGATAAACTACAGTGTGACGTAAAAAAAAAAGTTCAAACAGTATAACGTCAGCCTGAAAAGAAGGAAGCCATATCGGCAGAAAAGCTTCATGGATAATGAAAAACAGGCAGCTAACATCATTTTGTCATCATATACATACATATTCATATTCTAGTGCACCTGTTTTATTTCTTTTAACAGGCATGGCACCCAGAGACCAACAGTCCACAAAAGAGAAACAAATGAGCTCATTAAACTGAAACAGTCAAGGTCTTAAAACTAGATTTGGAGTCACTAGTTTTGTGTCTCCTTTTTGTCATTTTGTGTCTTTTTTGGTCTTTGTTTCTTTTTACAACTTTGTTTGACAAAGGACTAGACACATTGATATTCATACAAAAGAAGAAAATATAATAATGAAGATTATTAGGAGGAAAAATTGAAGGATTCTAAACTATTGTTTAATGAAGACAGTTCTTTTGACAGAAACCTTATTATAATACTCCCAAGAATGATTTGACAAGTTGTAATGTTGTAACATCATATCTTGTTTATTTGTTTTATGGAAAATATAGACACCTCTCTGACTCCTCAAGAGGTTTTAAGCTGTGCAAAGCAATTATATCTCCATGTCTGCATCATGGTGTGTGCTGAAACTCATATTACCACAGAATGCACAAAATTAAAACACTTTTCACAAAGTGATTGAACACCCAGATAAACCAAGTGTCGCACATTTATGAATGTGTGAAAATGTCAGACTGAGCAGGAAAAAACACAACTGCAACTTCCCTCATCACAAGGTGAAACCACACAGCAGTTCATATCTGTACCTTTCAAGATCATAAAAGGCGCTTCATTAAATTATGCCCAAAACTGATTATTGATGAAGGAGTGCATTTTGCCACAAAAAGCAGCTTAGCGCAGAACGTACAGTAACAGAATAGATGAGTGTGATCAGTGAACAAAATCATATTTCCTTTGGAGTGTTTCAGTTGATTCTTTTTTACAGCTGAGTACAGTTTCAAATAGCAAACTGTGAGCTTGGAATAACAAGGATCTATCTTGTTTTTAAAATGAGCTGTGAACCTGTGAACAGTATATGTCAGACATGATACGGATGCTCGTAGACACAAACTCGCAACTCCAAGATCACAGAACCTCATAACCCGAAGTCCAATTCAATTTCCCCCTCACCATTTACCCACTGTCTTCAAAAAACAACACATTTAAAAATGATAATAAATCCCTTTACATTATTTTCCATTAGTGCAAGGCATGCAGAATCGAATGACAGTGCAGGGGTGATGTGTGTCAGACAATCAGAGCTCTCTTTTTGTTGGCGAGGAACTCGTGCCAGTTGTACCAGTGAAGCCTGGTGTTCTGGATGCAGGCGCCAGCTTCAGTGCAGGTGTAGCCGGTGGGACAGCAGTGCATCATGTCGCTGCAGCACACCGCCTGCGGAGAGAACAGAGGGAGGGAGGTATGCAACAACTGTCAGCTGCTGGTGGAGGAAGTAATCAAGGGCTTCAGTTGAGTATAAGTTGCAATATGATGATATAAAAATACTCTACTACAAGTAAAAAACTGCCTTTTATTTTTCTTAAGCAGTACTATAAGCACTAAGATGTATTTAAAGTATCAAAAGTACTCATTATGGCTCCTCTCAGAGTGTTAAATCATAGCGTTACACTACTGGACTATTAAATGATGCATTAACATGTAAGCAGCATTTTATTGTTGTAGTTGGTCTACGTGGAGCTAAAAACCTAAATATCACAAAATTTGTGATTCGGTACCTCAATATTAAAGTTCCTACAGTATGTATAGGATTTGAACATATGAACAGCTTAATCAATTTCTCTGCTATTCATTTCCATTGAAGACTGATCATATTATTATATTACTGGTGCCTTAACATAAAAGCAGCATACTAATGATGCAGCTGGTTGAGGCGTTGTTGGGTAGTTCTATAAAACTCTAGAGAAATATATTATTTTAGACGATTTGTATGTAAAAATTCTATCTGCAAAATAAAGTTAGATTTTATCTTGCCTTAGTTTGTATTTATCTTTGTTTTATTAGAGATGTCATGATTCTTTGCTTTTATGAAAAGCACTTTGTGTTTACGGCTGAAACTAACGATCATTTTCATTGCAGATGAATCTGTAGATTATTTTCTTACTTAAGCAACTAATCACATGATCTATAAAACATAAGAAAACTACAAAAAAATGCCCATTGATATGTCCTAGAGAACAAAGTGACATTGTTAAATGTCTTGTTTTGTCTGAACAAAAGTCAAAAATCAAAAATATTAAATGTGATACAAAGCAAGACGAACCAAAAATGTTTGCAATTTCTGCTTTAAAAAGTGACTTATATTGCTTCCTTAAGACTGTCCTCAATAGTATCAGCTCTGCCTGATTGTTTAAGTGCAGCAGGATGGAAGTTATTACTGTAACTCATACATTAGGAGAAGGACAGCAGCCCCATGTAGTGGCGAATGTCTTGCAGCAGGTCTCTCCATCCTTGCAGCTGGTCTGCTCATCACACTTGACGTTGCTGTGCTTTAAGGGCCTGGGCTGGGGCCGGTGCTCAGGCAGATACACCGGTGTAAGTGGGATGGTCTCCAACTGCAGCATGATGACCTTCTGACAGGAGTTAGAGGCGATGTTACAGGTGTAGCCCTCTGGGCAGCAGTGCTCCATATCTGGGCAGCACACAGCCTGCAGACACAGCATGCAGAAGGTGAGCGTAAATTACATCCATTATTTTACATAAGCAAAACCTGACAATGCTAATGTATACTGATAGTGCCTTTTATATTTTCATGTCAAAGTAGCTGCCCTTCTTCCACTAATCTCTCTCTCCACACACACACACACACACACACACACACACACACACACACACACACACACACAGACACACACACTGAGTGCTCACATTTTGCAGTGGGCAGCAGCCCCACTCTCCCGTGAAGAGCCGGCAGCAGGTGGTGTGCTCTGGACACTGAGTCAGACCGTCGCACTTCACAGCGCTGGGATCAGCCTGAACGTTGGTGGTGGCTGGAAGCTTGGTGTACCACGGGATCACCACTTCTCCTTTGACGCAGGAGGTCTGGTGCTCATTGCACTTGTAGTGGGTGGGGCAACAATGGTTCCCATCAGCGCAGCACACCGCCTTGAGAGAAGTGAGAGAGGAAGTGCTACTTTCACATCATAGACCTTGATTTTCAGTTCTTCTTTCATCTGCAGTGAAATGAATAAACTTAAGACATGAGCAACACAATTGCTGCAATAACACATCTCCTCAAGTAAAACTGTAACATTTAGTTAGAGTTTCACTGTCAAACCTTTTATTTACTTTCAGCTTTTTGACTGATGTTAGAAGTTGACTGTTTGTTCTTTAGACTCAACTGTCTATGGTTAGTGCTTATTTGGTGATATTTCTTCATGTCGGAGACAATGAACTCCTGTCTTCATCCTGTAGAAAGGTTGATGGACTGTGATAAAACCAGGGACAACGATGGACATGAGTTCAGGACTTTATCGTTCTATCTTTGACAAAATCTGATACGTTGTATTTTAAAACATAATGGGGTGATGTCAATAAAAGTGAAACAGTAACTGAAAGGTCAGATGATTCCACCGCAGAAAAGGAAGCACATTATCATGCAAAATAAGGATAACATTGATGGCACATGCCATTCTGGTATTTCTAGTAACATCCCCTCCTGCTGAACATTCGAAAGTGTGAGCAGGTTTGTGGTGTGGGAAGGGAACCATTAAAAAGAGCACAGACCTCTTTCAAGGCCAATGTAGGGGTGGGCGATATGGCAAAAATATCACATCACGATTTTTTAAAAATAAAATCACGATTTCGATTTTATCACGATCTTAAATTGGAAAAAGAAAAACAGACAATTTAGACCAAAGAACCTTTCTTAACAGATTTTATTTCAAATAGTCGCAGTTTTGCCTGCATGTGCAAACAACGTAAAGTTTAAGGTAAATAACAACAACATTCTGGTTCGTCGTGTTACCACCCGACGTGCGAACGGTTTCTGTGCAAACTTTGCAAATTACATTTGCTTGCGCTTGATCAGTTGCGGAAAATCCAAACCAATTCCATATAATGGAGGTGGAATTTTTTTTAGCGCTTTAGCTTTTTCGCTCTCCATGTGCTACCGCTACACACACAAACAAGGAGGCGGATAGGAAGGTGCGTCACTGCCCGTAATTCGCTATGATTGGTCGGTCAGGTTGACGACGTCAATACGTCTGGTGCGTCGGTGCATCAGCATAGAACTGCAATTTATAGAATGTGCCCTAGACGATCCCACGATCTCTGCAGTTTGAAAGATCGTCTTCACGTTGTAATCCTTCACGATCTAATATCGTCATATCACCCACCCCTAGGCCAATGTCAAACCACACTTCAAAGAAAAAAATTCAAATTCATAGTAAATGATCCAGATCTGCCTCCAGGGTAATGGGTTCTTCCCTGGCTCATGCCCCATCCCTCCACCAAGTTTGGTGCAAATCAGTTCAGTGCATTTCACGTAATTCTGCTGACAAACAAACAAACTAACAAAGAAACGGACACAGGTGAAAACATAACTTCGTTGGGAGAGGTAATAAATCACATTGGGTTTTTTAGCTGTTGTTTAGACAAAATATGCAGCTGGAAGATGACACCTTTATCTCAGTCACTGCTGATGTGAAAATACTTGGCTCACCTCTGGCAGCGGGCAACAGCCCCACTTTTGAGACGAGACCATGAAGCAGCAGGTGGTGTACTGAGGGCAGCTGGTGTGGGCGTCGCACTGAATCGCGCCCATATTCTCCTCCTCTGTCTTCGGTGCTTGAGTCGCCTCGACCTCCTCAGGCTCCTCCTCAGCCTCCTCCTCCTCCGTTTGCATTGTGGTTGATACCTGACTTTCGGTTGTAGTGGCCACTGTGGTGGGAGCCGGCGTGGTGAATGCAGGAGTCTTCTGTTTCATGGGTGTTGAGCCTGATGGGCTCAGACAGCTGGAGGAGGTCGTGTCACAGGTGGTGCCGTTAGGACAGCAGCTTTCATGGTTGTCACAGCAGACTGCCTTTTATACACAATGACAACACTTTAAGACAACACACTAAGTGACAGTTGGATGTATGAATTTGGAAGAGAAATGCAGACAAAATCAGAGCTAAAGAGAAGGACAATGCTCGGGTGAAAGGTTGTACAGAATAGAAAAGAGGTCAAATATATCATATAACTTATATATAACTTATTTTCATGTGCTACATTATTGTTGTTGTTCTAAATACACAGAGTCTGGAGCAGTGGTTCTCAAACACTGGCCCCTTTCAGAAGTTCACACTCAATCAACTTAGATTCACTCCATATTTTCCCCTGGTTGAGAGCCAGTGGTCTAGTAGGTGTTTCAAGGAGACAATCATTAGAAAAAGTTTTTCACATTTCCAACAGCTGAATAAAGAGCAGAACTGCGCATTTATTTAAATGGAGATTGGCAAGTTATTTTGGGAAATGCACTCTAAAAACTGATGCATTAAAAAGTGGTTACAAATCATAGGTGTGCATGTGTGTTTACCTCAGGTAGAGGACAGCAGGCCCAGAGACCTGCTTTGTTTTTACAGCATGTGTTGCCATCTGGACAGCTGGCGGTGGGGTCACATGCAACATTCCCCACCTGTACGCCTTGTTTTGGGATTGCAGGAACTTTATCAACCCACGGCATGGAGCTTGTGTCATCATCACACGTCTGGGCAGCCAGGTTGCACGTCTTACCTTTTGGGCAGCAGTGTATAAAATCCTCACAGCAGACAGCCTAGGAAGAAGATCAAAGATACAGAAAATCATTAATGCATCCGTAATACCTCTTAGAACAAAGTTTTATACATTTCAGGAGGGAGTTTAAAGAAAAATGACAGATATAATTGCACCTCTGGTAGAGGACAGCAGGCCCAGCCCCCCTCTTCGGTTTTACAGCATGTGGTTCCATCTTCACAGCTGGTGGTGGAGTCACATGGAACATCCTTCGACTGTACGCCCTGTTTGGGGATCGCAGGGACCTTCTCAACCCACGGCATGGAGCTTGTGTCGCCATCACACGTCTGGGCAGCCAGGTTGCACGTCTTACCTTTTGGGCAGCAGTGTATAAAATCCTCACAACAGACAGCCTGGGGATGATATGATCAAACAGACAGAAAACCGTTGATGCAATGATAACATCTCACACATCAAATTTTTATACATTTCAGGAGGGACTTTTTAAGAAAAATGACAGAAGTAATTGCACCTCTGGTAGAGGACAGCAGGCCCAGCCCCCCTCTTCGGTTTTACAGCATGTGGTTCCATCTTCACAGCTGGTGGTGGAGTCACATGGAACATCCCCCACCTGTGCGCCCTGTTTGGGGATGGTGGGCATCTTCTTGACCCAGGGCATGGAGCATGTGTCATCCTCACAGGTCTGGGCAGCCTGGTTACATTTCTTACCTTTTGGGCAGCAGTGTACAAGATCGTCACAACAAACAGCCTGGGGATGAAACCATCAGACAGAGGGAAAATCATGAATGCATCTGTAACACCTTTCACATCAAAGTTTTATACATTTAAATAGGGACTTTTGTTGTACCTCTGGTAGGGGACAGCAAGCCCAGCCACCGTCTTTGGTTTTACAGCATGTGGTTTCATCCAGACAGCCTGCTGTGTCATTGCAGGGGATAACATTACCTGAAAAAAAAAATCCAAACCTGTTTCCTGCTTATCTGTAATTTGCCCTCATGTTCACTCAAAGAAAATGAACAACAAAAGCCTCAGTTGGCTGAAGCTAGCAAGAAATGCAGCAAAAAGTAGCTAGCAAATGTGCATGTAAACAAAGCAGTATTAAAAGGATGAGACTGGTGATTTTCTACATTTTTCTTATTGTCAACAATTCTCATGAAGAGACCAAAACAACAAGGAATGTATCCTCCTAACAAGTGTTGTCTTTGTATGCAAAACCTGAACAGTAGTTCATCTATAAACAGCTCCAAAGACTAACTCTTACAGTCAAGTGTAGTTCCTGTGACGCAGAGCTCACTGCACAGATACTGTGAAGGTGGTCGTCGTTATAAGTCTGCATTTTTTAATTTTTTTTTATGAAGAGACATGTCACCCATTGCAACAGAGTGGCTCACAGGAAAACAATGGAGATATGTGAAACAGTGTAATAAGCTAAATCAGGTTTTGGATACACGGACAATACTTGTCTAGGAAACATTTGTTGTTTTGAGGTTTTCATGTTTTTTTTTTTGACAATAATCAAAATAATAAATAAATCGCCAGAAGCTTTATCCTTTAAAATATTATAAAAACTCGACTTTGTAAACACAATACTTTGTGGGGAAGAAAATGCACTCAATGCACCTCTCAGAACTTAAGGACACACACAATGTGTTCTAGTGGGAAAAACTAAATACAATCTTACATAATAATAATAATAATAATAATAATAATAATAATAATAATAATAATAATCTTACATTAAATGTTAAAACTAAGTCTGTCAGCATTGTAGCATGTTGATAGGAAGAAACGCAATCTGGACAAACTTTTAAAAAGTTGTTTTTGGAAAAGCTCTTGCGTCAGATTATCAAAATATGATACATTACTGAGACAAATACTGAGACTGATGCTAAGCAGTCAGTGGTAATGGTACAATATTACTATCATACAAACTGAATGCTGTAAGAACTGAACTTAATTTTAGCCTTGATAGATCTTCTGCACAATTTTGTCTTTTCAAAGCAGGAAATGCTGTAACTTATAACATTAACATTTAGCTGTGCCAGTAAGCCATGCACTCACTGACACACCTGCATCCCGCCAGTATTAATGTCATTAAACCAAAATATCTGTTGGTGAATTTGTACTTTTGAGGTGGATGAAAACATACGCATCTGGCCTCATTATGTACATTTTTTGATACATCCGTGAAGCTCCTCTACTTTTTGTAAAAGGAGCTGGATAATTTGATGCCTGAAACCTCACCTCCAGCTCCCTTAGTGACAGATGACACAGTTACTTCAGGCTCTGTTGGAGGAACTGTATTCGCTGTGGTGACTTCTGGGGCTTTTTCTGTTACACCATCATTAACTGTCTCTGCAGTCACTGGTTCAGCTTCTGAAAGTGGAAACACGCACAGATGAAGCTGCGTGAACACGCACACACAGATTTAGACAATGAGTAATTAGAATGAGGAAGTAAGTTGGGTTTTTTTTTTTTCACAAACTAATCTGACCTTTCTTGTTCTCCCACTCTGCTCTTATCCTGGCAGGCAGTTTGGCCCACATTGGCATCTCTTTCTTTGTGGATAAGGAAATGCATTTGGAGTGCTCCACATCACATGTGCTCTCTTCAGGGCAGCAGTGCAACTTGTCCTCGCAGCACACGGCCTGTTCAGACAATTAAGACACACATGGAGTATCACCTTCGAACCTTCGATAAGACACCATAAAGTCACGATAACTGGTCATGGCAGCACATGCAAATCCATCATTTGACTTTTTACTCATTCATGATCTCACTCATGCTATGGAGGAACAATAGTATTTTAAAGCTGTCACAATGTGAATGCCCATAAAGGAAAGATTATTTCGCACCTTTGGTATGGGGCAGCATCCCCAATTGCCTTCTGGGTTTTCACAGCAGGTGGTTTGATCTGGACACTCTGACACTCCATCACTGCACAGAACCGTAGTCACAAGCTCTGCAGCAACATAACAGGAACATCCAAAACTTTTAAAATAGTGTACAATAACTTTAGGGACCTGGAGATGAAAGTAACCCCCTTAGAAACACATGGAAACATAAAAAATATGTTGTGCAGAAAGGCTGCTTTAGTTGTGACTCTGGAAACAGTAAGCAGACCTGTCCTAGGACACTGGATGTTTCATAACAGTAATGTGGTGGATACTCTGGTGAAGCACTAGACACAAACACAGAAATGAAAACACAGACATTGACTGACTGGAGATTAATTAAAAAAAAAAGACTATTATAATATTGCTTTCACGGTATTTTGAAATCAGTTCTCAGGAAGCCAGTGCAGCATTTTGAGAACTGAACTGATGTTATCCACTTTTTGGTCTTTCTGGTCTTAGCGAGGACTCTCACATGCTTTATGGCTGTTTTTGTCTAACTTTTGACAATTGTTTCCTGAACTGTGTGTGAGTACAATGAGGGCAACAAAAAACAAGACTCAAATTCAAACCCTGAGCTTCAGCTGTATACGTATATGTTTTAGAGAGAACTGCGAAGACCCCCATCACAGTAGTCGAGCAACTGAAATGGGCAACTTTTTCTAAACCCTGCTCAGATGTCAGTCCTTTTATTCTTGATATATATAGAAGGGTTTCTGAGCCAGCTTCAGCTTCATCACTGATACGTGTACACAGACCGGAGGCAGAAAACGGCCCAAATTGACAGAGAGCTTATGAGAAGATCAACGTGAAAAGTTGAACAAATTGCAAAAGTAAGAGGAGTACCTCAAGAAGGAAACCTGCCTGTTAGCTCAGAGATTAGAATTAGCTATTAGCATCAGTGATCTGGTCAGGGCTCTGGATTTTATGACGGCTGTGGATGGTTTTACACTGAAACTGAAGTAATAGACTCCAGTTTGAAGGTCAGGAAGCTCACACTGTGACTGTGTGTTTATGGCTAGTTAATATATATTGCTGAGGCTCTGTGTTTGACATGGGTTTATAGCTTCAGTTTGGGAATCTGTGACAGCTGATAGAGGAACTTTGGATGGAAAATGTGTCACGTTACTATGCTTATAATTTTTCAACAAGTATTCAGAGTCCGTTTTCACGAACCTGTGTGGCTGATCAGTAATACTGATTAAATCTCGCATCGACAGTTTGTCACAAGTGAAGCTCGCAGTCATCTCTAATATGAGTTTTTGTATTAATATAGCAAATCTGGCATTTGTCCAGTGTCTTCTACATGATGAGGAAAGAGCAGTGTTTTCCTCCATGCTAATGTTACGAATACGTATAATAACAGCAACAAACAGCATGACAACATTAGTTTTGAAAGCCAACATTTTGCTTTTAACTTTAACTCCTGCTGTCGGTTGATTTCTTTCTACCTGTGGATATAACTTGGAGTTATCGTGTAGTATTATCACTGCTAGTAGCTGCTGTTTCTCACAGGACTATGTATCATGTTAGCAGAGCTGACAGGTGTCTGTTAAATGTGGTGTGCGATTAAAAAATGCAAGGATATGACTCACATACAGTTCACCCTATGACAGAAAGTCTCAGACCGCTTTCCAGTCTGTCGAGTAATATGTTGTGGTTGTAAGTAGAAGAGATTCACCTTGTCTGATGCAGGACCGGCTGTCTGCACTGCACTGATGGCTCTCTGGACAGCAGTGTTTGCCATCAGAGCAGGGGACTCCCTGTCAGTGGTCAGGAAATCAAGAACACTTCACTTCACAAATACAATACAAACTGAATAGAATGACTTTTGCACTCCCTCCTGAAATCTGTTTTACTCTATGATTCATTAATGAATAGTTTTAGGACCAGGGAATTTAGAATCAGGGTTTCAACTCCAAAATTGGCAATTAGAAATGTGAAATCTTCCTTAACCTGTCTCTGCGTTGCATTGTTTATTGCTGTTGTAAATCAATCAAGCAGATAACTTTACAACCAAAAGCAGGAAACTGCTGCCTGTTCTTTCAGTGCAAACAGAGCTACAGCTTCTCTGTTAAATTTCACACAATGACAGAAATCATTTCCAACATATGTATTGTCTTCCGTAAAGTAAAACATCTTAGCTAGTAAATCAAAGAGCTTAAGATCGTCTTTGTGACAGGAAGGAACTGCGTTTTTGAAAGGCAAACAATTTTTCATAACATACAGTAAGCACTAATACCACTAATACCACAACCAGTATCACTCTACCCGTGGAGTCCATCATAGACTTGGTTTTGATCTATATTTTCTGTTTTTTCATCTATTTTTTTACTAAACGTTTCTTTTCTGTTTCTCCAGTTTGTCACTTGAAAGACCTTTAGAAATTATTTTGAAAGAACCCCCCCACCCAAATAAAAATTTAATTTATCAACACAACCTTTGCAGTTATTGTCGATTTTTCCCCCAATACTTCTGCTGAAGTATCAACATTATTTCAAAATGTCATACTGATAATTGAACATGCTACAGGTTGCATGTTTTCTGTTGGACAACGTTTGAGTACCTGAGCTAGGGGACAGCAGCCAAACTTTGTCAAGGCCTTCAGACAGGAAAACTCAGGTGGGCACCGTGATTGATCAGGACAGATGTTGTCATCATCCTCCCCCATGTACGCCTTGATCATCCTGAAGGACTGCAGTGGCAGGGTGGGGAAGAGGGACAGCCTTACTGAGGGTATTCACTTTAAATATGTCAAATTGTGACCTAGTGTTTCATCTGTCTGTTATTCTTACTTTGGAGAGTCTAGGTTGAGCAGCAGAAGCTCTTTCCGCCCAGGGGATGGACACAGTAGCGTTCACACAGCTGGATTTGGCTGCATCGCAGATTGTGCCAGCAGGACAGCAATGGGTGTGATCCGAACAGCACTCAGCCTATGGAGACAGCAGTAGTAGAAACACTTTGACTACCAAAGTTCTAAAATTGCTATCGGCTTTTATCTGGCTCATAAAGTAGTAAAACACCCCTGAGGATGAATAGTACCAGTGTACAGCCTTAATTCTTTTAATTTTAGAGTATATAGGAATGGTTATCTCATGTATACATTTAACTATATGATGTACAAAAGGGTCAAAGTATATTACTGAAGCCGAAGTGCTTTGACTATGCTATCTCTTTACAAGGTTAGCTCAACTGTGAGAAAACCAGGGTTTAAAGTTTTCAGGCTGGTGGCTTTAACTGGATTTGGTGCTGTTGCTTTAGCTTTGTAGCTGCCCGTTTGATTTTTAGTTGTGTTTTGTTGTTAATGCATATTTAATATGCTATTTCCTTTGAAATTATACATTTCTATGGCTTTAAAAAAAGTATATATGGCTAAATAAAGGTCAAGAAGTCAAATTGCTGGCCTCAACTAAATTTTGGTTAAATATTGTTACTACATTTTGGCTTTGTAGGACAGTGTCAGTGTAACTTTTTAACTTAGATACTAAATATGGATTAGGTTAAAGAGAACTGTGCAAAAAAATTATGCACAAAGTACACTCATCACTAAAACACATGGCATCTTCACTTGGGAATATTTCTGCTAAATGATTAACAACATAAATGTATTCACGCAATCCAAAAAGTAGTGTTTCTACAAAAGAGGAACTGTTGTGTCTACTCAAATTCAGTGCTTGGCAGAAGTGTCCTGCTCAAATGATATCAGGTGATACAACAATCTCTACCTGATCAAATGGGCAGCACTCATAGCCCTCTGCCGGGTCGTTGCAGCAGGTTTGACCTTCTTCACATCTCCCTCCATCCGGACACTCTTCAGCAGCAACCAGGGCCAGGAGAGCCCAACTGACCACAACCCACTTCTGCATCTGCACACAGGGGGAAACACACACACACACACACACACACACACACACACATACACACACAGTGCATCAATAAAAGGAAAGAGGAAAGTGAAAAATGCGCATGTGGAATCCCCCTCTTCACTCAACATCAGAAATAATGTTTTTGCATTAAATGCTGCAGACACTGGTGTCACAGAGAGTATAATAAGCACGCTCACATCATTGTACATGCCCATATGTCCGTAAAAACCTAATATTGCCTATCTGATGATTAAAACCTCTTTTTTTTATAATTTACTGGAACTGAAACACACTAAAAGAGAATTTCGTTTATTTCCTGAACTCTGTAAGACATTAGAGGTTTGTTCCTTTTTCTTTAATTCGCAATGATTAAGCAAGTCAGACAAGATAGAGGTAGGCTATGGATGAAATGAATCAACTCACTTTCAGTTTCGTTACCTTGTTTACAAGAAACGCGTTTGATTGAAAAAATGAATAAACTGGACATTTTACAAAAGAGGATGACAGTCTACAACGCATTTAAAGATTAAAAAAATTGATCTAAGCAATCTAAAGCGTAAAGTAGTTGTTTAAATGTGAATCACTTTCTTCGCAATTCACTCAAAGAAAGTATAATATCAGATTCTCCAGGCCAAAAGAAGTGTTTTATTTTGCCCTTACCTTGTTAAAAGATTGGAGCGCTGTTGTGCACAGTCAGGTGTTTCACAAGTGTCTCACCACAAAGTAACACAAATGATATAGACATGCACTGTCTTGAACACGCCCCCAAAGAGAGAGAGAAAGAGAGAGAGAAAAGGGAGGTGGTCCACAATTTCCCTAAACACTTCGCAGCGCCTCTCCTGGTCTCATCTACTTAATCCGATATTTTTTTTAAAATATATAAGACTGATAAGGTTTAGTTAAACTTATCCTGTTTGTTCGTAAACTTCGTTGTAAAGGCTGCAGTTCACCGACGGACAAACATGTTTACATGCAACAGCTGCAGTGCACCACAGTGTTGCTGACGCTGAAGTTAGATTCCGATTCGACGTTAAGGGGAAAGTTAAGGGCCACTTAAGCAATTGCATTGCTGTTAAACGGTATTAGGGGTCCTGGTTAAAGCATTCACGCTGTTTAGAATCTACATGTGTACTTATCAACCTGGACTTGATTAACAAGGCGACTCCGGTAACTTTTGACAACAGGGTTTCATATTTGTGAAAACCTGTGAAAATATGAGGGCAGGTTCAGTGCTTTCTCACATCCAGACCACATCAGACCAGGTCTATGTCAAAAACCACTATACTTCTGAAAATCTGGACTAGATTAACAGGAAGAGTGTAAAGACAGTTTAAAACTCAATTTCAAATTTGTGAAACTTATTCTATTTGTGCAACAAAAAAAAAAGTCAGTTTCAGTATTTTTCTTCCTTTCTAGAGCACATCACATCAGGTCTAGATCAAGACCTGATCGCAAAGAAGTCAAAGACTGTTTTTCATTTTTATGAAACCTTTATTCTATACGTGAAAACATGTTTGACCGCATCAGACCAGGTCAAAAACACCCCTCTGGGACCTGTCAGATCTGGAATATATTAACAGTGAGGATGTAAAGACAGTTAAAAACAAAACAAAACAATGTTTCAGGTTTGTGAAACTTATTCTCTCAGCAAAAACACAAAAAGAGAGATTTCACTGTTTTTCTGTTTTCCACTCATACCACATCACACCAGGTCTGTATGAAAAAACCCTAAACTAGGCTACTAGGCTTGTCAATTATGGACTAGATTAATAGAGAGGGTGTCATGACAGTTTAATAGTTTCAGATGTGAAACTTGTAAAAACGTTTATTTTATTTGTAAAAACACACAATTTCCCTTTTTTCCCCCTTCCATCCAGACCACATCAAACCAGTCCTGGTAGGCTTCACAGATCTTCACTTACTGGAGTCTATCAAGGACTGATCCGACAAGTGTAAATATGCTTTGTTGCTTTTTATACCAGACCTGGTTTGATGATGTTATCTGGACAGAGAAAATACAGTAAAAACCGCCATTTTTTATTTTTTATTTTTTTTTATTTCATCAATCAAATAAAAGTTTCACAGATCTGAAAGTTGGTTTTGTCTTAAACTATGATGTCAAACACATTTTCACAATAATGCATGGATGAAAAAAGAATAAGTGGTTCATCATTATTTTCCCATGTCCTTAACTGTCGAATCGGAAACCAACGTCATGGATGCTGACGTTGTACCACTGATCTTCAAAACATACGCACCGGGCTCTCTCGGCCAGTCAGACACGACCATCGCTGGATGTAGTGTTGTACAGATCTATGAAGTCTGTGTGCAGCCTGGGCACATATTGTGACTTGTACCTATAAACAACCCTGACCAGCTCGGTCCAAAAACATGTTTACGGCTTATCTACCCACTATGGAGGAACCGAGCGAGCTGCGTCGCGGCAGAGAGGCTTAACGTTAGCTCCTAAATGTAGCAACGTAATGCTAATTTAGCTGAAATGGGTGAAGACGCCTGCATTTCACGACACTGGCAGCTAAAGTAAAGGTGAGTAACGTTAGTGAGTTCGTGATCTTAAAAAACGCAGTGCCTGAAAAGCTAAGCTAGCTACCCATCTAACTGCACTCATTCTGACAGTTACATGAAAATATGTCTCGACACGTTTGACTCAGTGTAGCTGATAAATGAATTGAATACAACCTTTACTGCTCTTCTCGAGTGTGGGCTAAGATATATTAATTTTGTCTGTCAAACGAAGTTAGCTAGCTAATGGTTGGTTCAGAGTACATGATGTGACAACACTGAATTTCACACAGTGTCCTTTAGGTTGTGGCAGGGCATCTACGGGTATTGAAAACCCTTAAAAAGGGTCTTAGAAGATATATGTCGTTTGTGAAATTCTTGAGTATGTTTTCTTCTGTTCCTTATGAAAAATCAATGTGTAGGCATGTAATTGATTAATCCATATTTTTTGTGCTTCTCATCCAGTTCGTGTGAAATGACTAGAAGTTATTAGAAATTACATACTTCTGGGAAGTGTTTACAAAATATATATATATAAAATAAAAATAGATAACTTTATGCACGTGGTAAGTAGTATTACTCACTAAGTGCATGATGATATTTTTCATACTTTAATGAATCAAGTATTACATTGCATTCAGTTTTTCATAAGTGTTGAGTTTAACTTGGTGAACCCTGTTTTTGAGTTGCAGGATTCAGTGAAACGTTAATCTCATGTAATTTCAAGTTAGTTAATGTGTCCCTTATTTTTTCTCATTAACTTGTGTCCTGTCAGTGTAATGTGGGTGTAAAATATACAGCATGAGATTACATGATGAACCTGCTTACACTGTTGAGTAATTTAGGTGAAGGTGACAGAAAGAGTCCCAAACATCAAACTCTCATTTTAGGACTCTCATTTAACTTGAAAACGTGATTGTTTTGGGCTCTCCTGTAGTAAGTTAGAAGGGCACTTATTTGGCAAAGCAGCTTGTTGGCCAGATCAACCTTGAGGGCCAAGTGCCTATAACTGTCACACTAAAGTGTCATTAACTCTTGAAATAGGATGAGCCAGGAGAAAACTACAGGCAACCACGCAGGTAGGGAAACAGGAAACTTTGAGATGGTTCAAATGCCAAAAATCCTCCACAAAGAACATTTCCTTTAATAATATCCAGCCAAACCATATTGGCTGGCAATGATAGATTTGTTGTTGTTATTGATCTTCCCTGAGGGAATGTCTTGATTTACCATCATTAGTTATTGTTCCATGTCACTACTGGCTGATTAAATCTTTATTTATCTGCTACTACCCACTTTCTCATTCAGGAATGGGTCAGGAGGCGAGACTCTCACTGGCTGTCTGGTGAGATTAGAGACATGCACATCATAGATAAGCTATCATAATGTTTCAACGACCCCATTATAACAACTCCACCTACACTCACCCAGCTCACTTAAATGAGCAACGTCTGCTCTGACTTTTAGGGCTGCAGCTAAATATTATTTTCATTATTTATTAATCTGCATATTATTATCTCCATTCATCTAAACCTATAAAATGGCAAAAATGAATGAATGGCCATCACATTTCCCAGAGCTCCGGGTCACACTTTACATGTCTTGCTGTGTCTGAAAAACAGACCCCAAAGATATGCAGTTTAAAGTGATATATACAAAGAGAAAAACAAAGTCCTAGTACCTTGCTTGAGAATTGACTCAAATGATTAGTTAAGTAATCATAATGGTTGCAGAGTCGTTTTCAGTCTAATTGAGTAATAGTTTAATAATATTTACAGTAATGATCAGTCTGCTCTTTCAGTGTTTTAGCCTTTTTCCTTCTAGTTTGTGTTGTCATGACACTGAGGTGGAAGCAGGTGTCACACACTCAGGGTTCTGACATAACAGGACACTGACCCAGCCACAAACTTTTGGTGTAAGGTTGCCAATCCCGTGGGACACGAACAATCCGTCTTTAGTTGTTTTACATAACAGGGAGACATAGACACCTGGCTGCAGCAAACAGGGCTGACCTGCAGTGTTTAACAGGGTCAGAAAACACCCCAGTGAAGTTTAGTTACAGTACATAGTGTTCTCAGTCTGACGTGGTGTGGTGTTTCTCTTGGTGGGACAGGTGGGCAGGATGGGGGAGCGGGCCGTCAGTGGCCCCGTGGCTACGATCTCTCCAGTGCAGCAGATGCTGGCCTCTGGCACCGGAGCCCTCCTCACATCTATATTTGGTGAGATATGGAAACAAAGTCTTGCTATTTACACTAGCTAATGATTATTTTCTTTTTTCAGTGGATTGATAGTTTATAAAATGCCAGAAAATAATTAGCAATGTCCGTCTCGGCCCACAGTGACATCTTCAAATGTCTCTTTTTGTTTGACCAACAGACCAAACCCCAAAGATATTCAACTTAATCTCATTTAAAAAAGAAAAATGCTTCAAATTAAAAAAAAAAAAAAAATCTTCAAATTTGAGAAGCTGAAACTGCTGTTTTTTTCTATTAAGTTACTTTATTGATTTGAGTGTTTATCAAAATAGTTGCAGATATTTTCAGTTGGTTCACTAATTAATTAATCAACTTATTGTAACAGCTCTAATTTTTACCCACTTCACTTTATTGTTACCAAAGTCTTACGTCATAAACATGTTTGAATCAGTCAGTTTATTTGTTTGCAGTCACACCGTTGGACGTTGTGAAGATCAGGCTGCAGGCTCAGCAAACGCCGTTCCACCAAGGTAGGACGAGGTCTTCAACTGTTGTTGAACATTAGCATTGATACTGAAACACTGACTTTCGTTTTACCAGCTGCTTGTGGATGCCATTTTTATCCTGATGCTTTTCTAACCTCACTACACCTGTCCTTTGTGCTTTTTGTGCTGCCCTCATCTCTGGATTATTGTGCTCTGTCTCTTTCTTTTATCTGTCCTGCCTTTTGGTTTGTTTCACAGCTTTAGCTTGTGAGTCTGCTCCGTGGGGCGGCGTCATCCGCCCTTCCAAGTGTGAGTATCTGACCTGCCGTCGCTGCATGCTAAAACTTAAAAACACACTGTTGTTCAGCACAGCTTCGTGTGCATGGCCACGTGCTCGACTAACAAACATTTCTTGCCAATAAAAACAAACAAACAAACAAAAAAAAGCTTGTTGCCTTTACGTCCACGTAATTGATGAAAGTTGAAATGTGCATGTTTTTGTTTCACTGCTTGGTACTGTGTCTTATTCATTAGTTGATGTGTGGCCTAAAAGCTACAAAAGTAATTACAAAAACTAAACCAAAGCCAATTCATTAATTTTTTAATTAAACTAAAATGAAAAGTCCATATTTTAGAATCAACTACAACAAAAGTCAGTACGACCTTCATTAGTGAGATGTTAATGTTAAAATTTTAATGTTTTGTATGTCCACCTTTATGTCCACTTCATACCAAATTTATTTAGCTTTCATCTGAACAAACAATGTGCTGCCAGCGTTCATCAGGTCTCTTTTTCTTCTTCAGGTTCTTTTGCAAAGTGTAATCTTGCAGTTTTATGAGCAGTGGTTTTCTTCTTGAACACAGTCCATAGAGGTGGAGGTGTAATATCCTTCACACGTATTAATGATGTTGCACAGGGTTGTACTCAGGTTTGTTGTAAACTTTGTATCCTGCTGCTCAAAAATCAACCTTTCTAGAAGATCTTGCTCACCCGTGACACCCTTGCATGATGGATATTATATTTTTGTTTGCTGTGATATTTCCATGGGTTAAAATCTGTAGTAGGAGTTGGTTGTGAAATTATGCTTTTTTTTTTTAGAGTTTCTTTGAAAGTTTTGTCAATAGTCTATATTTAAACCAGCCCTAAATAAACAGGCAGAGTAAGCAGTGACAAGGACAGCCTTGATCTTATCTGAGTGGCTCTGCTGTCATTGCCTCCACGTGTGTCATTAGTCACTCTCGTCTGTTCAGGATTGTTTAGCTCAGTTTAGAAAACATGAAAACCCAATAGGTTCACACTAATCTCACTAATGTGAGATACCTGTTTCATTAATGGGTTTGTTTTTAGATTCTGGACTTTGCTGGGGTCAGGCAGTTGCTGTCTGCTTTTGTTGATGTTTTTAACTCTCCTGGCTGCTCTGTCTCTCACAGGGAAGTGTTTCCTGTATTGTAATGGACTGATGGATCACATCTACGTCTGTCAGAATGGAACCAGCTGCACCAGCTGGTACAAAGCACCAACACATTTCAGCGGCACGCTTGTGAGTTTTAGTGCAGTGGCTGGAACCACTGGCAGCTTTACTTTACATTTTTGTCCCCTTTAAAGTTTATAAGAAGTATTATAAGAAATATTTCTTTGTTTGCTTGTTTGTTTGTTTGTTTGTGCCACAGGATGCTTTTGTGAAAATCAGTCGACATGAAGGACTGAGGTCTTTGTGGAGTGGGCTCCCACCGACACTGTGAGCCTCTAAACTCTGATCAAGAAAATGTTTAAAATACTTGAATTGAATATCAGGTTGTGGTTTTAAAGATAATGTATCTTCAATCCATAACAAACTGATGTGATTGGCCAACTAGGGTTTACTTCTCATATTTATTATTTTAGCAGTTTTTACTTGCTGTGTGATAATCACTAGGATCAATCATCAGCTCTGTAAATATTTTTTGAATGTAAACTTTAGACACATTCATTTTTTAGCGTTAGATGACCCACCACACATTACCCACATTATAGATTAATTAATTATCAATTAATTTGGCAACTATTTTTTCCATTCATCTTTTAGCCTGTGAAAAATGTAAAAAAGAAAATGTGAAGAAATGCCCCTCAGACTTGTGTTATCATGTGCTAGGGAGCAGTTGTTTTTTATGCCATGGAAATGACTCATCAATTAACAAAATGTCTTTAACAAATGATTACAGATAATGTCCCAATAATTTAATGTTACTCATAGACAGAGTGTTGTTAGGCAGCTGCAGTTATGCAAACCTTCATCTTAGCAGTAAACAACACTGAATATCAAGTGGTGAGTTATTTCATGAAAGGCAGTGTATCTAACCGACCTGCAAACTTCTCAGTCTCAGTCTCTAGTGACACATTTACATGTTTTTTGTTTTTATATGAAAATGTTCCACTGATATGGCATACAGTGTTTGAAATGTGTGTGTGTGTGGTGTGTGTGGTGTGTTTGGTGTGTGTGGTGTGTGTGTGTGTGTGTGTGCGCGTGCGCTCAGTGTTATGGCGGTACCTGCCACTGTCATCTACTTCACCTGCTACGACCAGCTGCGAGACTTCCTGAGATACGGTCTGGGTTTTCAGGGCAGCCACGTCCCTCTTGTTGCTGGGGGTCTGGCGAGATGTAAGAGCATGGAAACACAAACATCTACAGTGTAACATGTTAACAGTGTTCAGGCTACCTGCAGTGTTCACTGAAGTACATTTAAGACTTTATTAATGCTGCTTAGAATGTAATTCAATACCTTTTTCATGGTCATACAAACGGTAGAAAACAAACGATAACAATATATATATATTTATATATATATATATATATATATATATATATATTTTTTTTTTTATAACAATAAATAACAACAATTGACGTAATGTAATTAATTAATTAATGTGACCTGGACCCATCTGTGGTTTACAGACCCCCTGACTCCCTTGGGCCCCCCTGTGCCAGAGCCTCAGTATGAAATGAGAGAGCTCAGTTAAAAGACTACAATGACAAAGAGTTGCAAAAAGACTACAAAGACACACAAAATGTTTTTCATTTTCTGTCTTTCAGTCTGGGGGTTCTACAGAAAGGCTGGGGGTCTTTTTACTTGTCGATGCCTCATAAGTCTTTGCTAAAATCAACAATAACTTAGCTTCCTGACCACTGTCTCCTGTCAGCCAAAGATAATAACTAATGTTACTGTCTACAGCAGGAGAGAAAAATATTCAAGACCTTTTGTTGATGAAATTTAAGACTTTTTAAAGCTTCTCAGTCCCTTTTCTTAAAGGAAGTTGAATTCAATGCTTTTTAAGACTTTTCAGGCTGTCTTTTCTTGACTTGAAGCGTGTGTGTTTGTGTGTTGTAGTGGGGGCTGTGACAGTGATCAGTCCTCTGGAGCTGGTCAGGACTAAGATGCAGTCCCGTCGGCTGCCTTACAGCGAGCTGCGAGAATGTATCCGCTCTGCTGTGGCCCAGGACGGCCTGCTCTCTCTGTGGAGGGGCTGGGCACCCACTGTTCTCAGAGACGTTCCCTTCTCTGGTAAGAGCAGCACCACAGAATATAGTACAATATAATATAACGTGGGAATCCTACAGAGCATTGAGTTGAAATATGGGCGTATAAAAATCTCATCTGTGGGTTTATCTTGACTTCATGTTGGTTCCAGTGAAGGTGGAAAAAATGTTTCCAATCCTCCATAGAAACTTGTCAAACCACTCCTGCAGCATATTTCATTGTTTCATCAGAACATGGCTGTAACAGATTTTCAGGATGCAGACAGCACAACATGGAAACAGAGGAGGAATCTTTTTGTCACAGTGCTCGTTACTTGAAAAGTCTAAGATGACTGACTGTAAGCAAAGCAACAAAATGGTAAATGAACCCTCGCTGTTTATGTGTCCTTGCAGCTTTGTACTGGTTCAACTATGAGCTGGTGAAGGCCCAGTTATGTGAACAGTCCCGAGTGCCTCAGGCCAATTTCTCCATCAGCTTTACTGCAGGAGCTGTGTCTGGAGCTGTGAGTACTCAGCATTTATGTTAACACACACCTGCCCTCTGCTGTAATAATTAAACATGTTTTAATTATTGTTTGGTAACACTGACTGTAGCACTGACATGACCAGTAGAAGGTGGGACGTTATAATTGTTAGTCTAGCATCCTGATACGATCATATCAATGACTGGATGTAATCAAAGCGATTTTCTGCTTCAAATCTAGTAAAATAAAATGAAGCCTTGAGAGACGTCGACGCTTTATTTGACACACTGACTACTGTTACCTGTACTTGTGTAAATATATCCGAATCACTTCACGACATTCAAATATTTGATAACACGGACTGACAATAAGTGCATTGTCAGAGGTACGTTCAGAGAGTCAGGCCAGTGTTTGACCCACATTTCAAATTGCCCTGTTTCTTGAGCAATAATTAAGCAAACTCCCTTCCTGATATGAGTGGTTATTCTTCACACATTGACAATATCTAAGATCTTGACGTGTAACCACTGGCTGAACCTGTCCAGGATGTGACTGTTGGTGTTTTTCATGGTGTTTAGATTGCTGCAATCCTGACGCTGCCTTTTGACGTGGTGAAGACTCGGAGACAGATCCAGCTGGGAGAGATGGATACTCTGGGAGGTCTGTGCTTATCCATGGTGATGTGGGCAGCGTGTCAATGTATTTACTTACTTCTTATACAATATGGAATATTCTAACTAGTATCTTATGCCAATTCCTCCTAGTTTCCTTTAAGAGAACCACATCTACATGGCACATAATGAAGGAAATATGGGCTGAGCTGGGCTACAAGGGCCTTTTTGCAGGTAAACACTTATGCCGTCTTAGGTGAAATAAAAATAGTGTGTAAGATTTACTCAGAAGTGAAAACATGTGAATTTTCCCCAGGTTTCATGCCGAGGGTGATCAAAGTGGCTCCAGCTTGTGCTGTTATGATAAGCACATATGAGTTTGGAAAGGCCTTCTTCCAGAAGATGAACCTTGATCGAGAGTGACTGGCATCCTGAGGGCTGTTTGTGTGGCGCTGGGTGTTTCTCAGAAGCACATGCAGACATTATCATCAGGAGACTTTGTCCCAAATGCCTGTTTTCAGCTTGAGGAACAGGCGGGTTTGGATTTGGTTTTGAATGAACAAAAAAAGATGAGGATTCCTGCACATTTCAGGGATGTCACTCCCTGAAAATCTGTTCTCTTGAAATGTTCACAGACTGATAAGACTGAAATATATCTACTATAAGGAGCTTTGACAACAAGCCTGGATAGTGAAGGATACACTGGGGCCACAGACTTCATGCGTTGATGATTCGAGTAATCTTTTTGCATTGTGCAGGAAAGTTGTAAAAGGTTTAATGCTTAATGGGAAAATTCCAACCCTCTTAAAGACTTTAACTGCATCAACACTGTAGTGTGAGGAAAATGTTCTCATACCAATACGTTGCATTGCCTGACAAACTGCATGGTGTGTACATCCCCATTCAATACAGACGCTAGATAATAAGCTGCATTGGCGTTACTGCATCATCCTGCATTCCCGTAGCAGTAAAGCATGACATTTTTGACATTTATCTGCCGAGTAGATGACTGACAAATCTGTTTTGTATGCTGGATAGATTTGACCATTTGTAGCACTTTACATTTGCAACACAACTGTGAAATGAAACCATAAAAAATAATTACAGGTAGGTTTTATGTTGAATGTACTCCTCTTTTCTGTTGTCATAACTGGAGGAAAGCCATAGTATAAGAGACACAGAAAGTCTAATGGCTAGATTGGTGCATGATTTAATTTTTTTCGTTACAAGAGTTAACTACAGGGGCACTCAGAGGACACAGACCTCTGCCATGGCCAATGTCAAACGACATACACCAGAGTTCAGAGAAAATAATTCAAATTCATGGTAAATGATCTGGAATTTAATAGTTTCTTCCCTTCAGTGGAAATCGGTTCAGTACTTTTTGCATAATCCTGCTGACAAATAAACAGACACGGGTGAAAACGTGACCTCCTTGATAGAGTTAATGACTATTTGACTTTTCATCATATGTGAAAACCACTGCAGCCAGCTTCCCAAAAATCCTACAGGTGTCCTTACGTTTTGCCAAGTCTTATTACTTCTACCTGCTGGCTTTGTCATTATGAAATACTTGTTAAGTCCTCATTAGACATAACATCAAAACTTGTTACAACACTGGGACATAAAACAAAATATTGCTGCCTTAACCTAAAAGGTGTAAATGTATGTACTTGTCTTTTCTTTCTCTTTTTTTTTAAAGAATGAAGTGGTAATAAATGTTATGACAACTTGATTTGATGCTATGTGTGATTTATTTTTGAAGGAGTTCTTTGATGGACCACCATTATTTAAAAGAAAAAAACTATACTTTGGAATGGGTATTTATTATAGGACATTAACAATAATGAAAAATAAGAAAAATACACTACAAAAAAATTGACATTTAGTTGCATACATTCATTTAAAGACAATCTTCTGTTTGAGTGGAAAATAAAATCGTACTCTATTTTAAATTGAAACTGAACTGTGACATTGGAAGAACTAAAATGCATATTATTTCCATTAGTCACAAATATAACTAAACTGTACAGTCATCTTTTCACTGCTGCTGTATTAAAAGACATACAATAGATAAGATTTACAGTACCTGAATTATATAGATATTTGGCCATAGACTGTTTGTTTTAAATCAAAGGTAAACACTGAAAAAAGGTTTTAATAACTGTAACTCATTATTACGCTGTAATGTTTTAATTGTAAACAGCGGCATCTAGTGGCTGCTGTGTTTAATACATGTGCAGGGTGAAATTCCGGGGGCGGGTCCTATCTGAGGATAGTCCCGCGATATTTGCTTGGGTATAAATTGGTGGTTTGCCCCTCAGTAGGCCTCTTTGAAATCGGACTGGCGACAAAATGGTGAGTGAACAAATCGAGCAGCAGAAACTCCAGACTTCAATCAGTGTGTTATCTAAGCAATCAGTTACATTTCACTGACGTCAGACACTACGATTGCTTTTATAGACATTTTTTACTTAAGTGTAATGTTTATTTGTATGATATTCAGTCTGAAGCGCAACCTTTAGTGCCACTGACAGACCAAAATGGCTGCTTGATGTTGATTGCTTCTTACACGCTATTTTAAGTTAATTGTCTTGTTAACACCTGTTTTTACAAATGTGGTATATGAGTAAACGTGCTGACTACTTAAAGTCAAAAGTTAAAGCTGAGGGTTTGCGTCGTTAGCTTCAACCTCGACATGCGTGACCATACACGCTGGAGGCGGCTAACCACGCTAACATCGTGGTGAACTCGAGGCCTGCTTGCAGTCTGAATTAACTATAATTCACAAAGAATTGCATTAACTCTTCAAAGAAAAGTCTTATTTTACTCTGCATAAGCATGGTCCAGCTGACAGTGTCTTCCTTCCACAGTCCCACCGTAAGTTTTCGGCTCCGCGCCACGGATCCCTGGGCTTCCTGCCCCGCAAGAGGAGCCGTCGTCACCGCGGTAAGGCCAAGAGCTTCCCCAAGGATGACCCCAGCAAGCCCGTGCACCTGACTGCCTTCCTGGGCTACAAGGCCGGCATGACCCACATCGTCCGCGAGGTCGACAGACCCGGCTCAAGTGAGTAAAGTCAGACTTGAACATTTTAGTTTGAATGATTATAAAATGTAGACATGTTGTGAGCATGAGTGAGAAGACTCCTTTTTCACAGCAGATGTTTTGGTTTGTCAGAAGAACGTGTTTCCATTTCGATTGAGTAAAATGTCTGCTGTGAAAGGTCATCTTTTCAGTATGGTGTTCTGCCTGTGATGAGACACTCGACGGGCGGACAGAATGGGTTTAAACCCCTTGCTGAATGTCGAGCACTGAGCGCAGTCTATACCATAAAATGGTCACTGAGTGCATTAAGCTAGAGTTGAGATTATAGGTGTTAAACTTAATTTCTTTCTTTCCCCCTTCAGAGGTGAACAAGAAGGAAGTGGTTGAGGCCGTGACCATTGTGGAGACACCTCCCATGATTGTTGTTGGAGTTGTGGGCTACGTCAACACTCCCCGCGGCCTGCGTTCCTTCAAGACCATCTTCGCCGAGCACGTCAGTGACGAGTGCAAGCGTCGGTTCTACAAGAACTGGTGAGCATTACACAAAACGATAGACTAAACCATAGTGTATCGAGTATTTGAAGCAGATGTTAGTTGCCCAGTGGAAATAAAATGAGTCCTATGTTTTCACTGAGTGAGTCTAACATTACGGTGGCCCCCTGTGGCAGCTCCGCTCAGGTGCCATGTGCCCTGATGAGCTCCGGGCTCCTCTGGCCAGTGGAAAGTGCTTCTTAGAAACTGCGCCATGAGCCGAAATCTTCATTAGCTGATAGAGCCCACCCACATGGAGGGAAGGGCGAGCAGCTATGCACTGTGTTCTTCCGCTGGCCCTCCGGGGTTATGAAGGACCTGTGCCAACCTATGTGTCCTCTCTCCTGCTGCCACGCTGCATGCGCTCAGGTACAAGTCCAAGAAGAAGGCTTTCACCAAATACTGCAAGAAATGGCAGGATGAGGAGGGCAAGAAGCAGCTGGAGAAGGACTTTGCCGCCATGAAGAAGTACTGCCAGGTCGTCCGCATCATTGCCCACACACAGGTTAGTATGTTTGATTTACGGTGAGGTCTTGATTTAGTTTCTTATTTGCTTGTCTGTCGGTGATGAGACCACGGAACTTGCGTCAGGCATGGCGCCCGACACGTATGAGGATATCTTCCATGCTGCCTTCCTTCTGAGACTACACAGCTATCATTATTCCACGTTTTAAAGTCTTTATATGTTTTGTATTGACTTATTTTCTGTTTCTGTGCAGATGCGTCTGCTGCCCGTGAGGCAGAAGAAGTCTCACCTCATGGAGGTGCAGCTGAACGGAGGCACCATCTCCGATAAGGTGGACTGGGCCCGTGAGAAGCTGGAGCAGGCCGTTCCCGTCAACACCGTCTTCACTCAGGACGAGATGATCGATGTCATTGGTGTAACCAAGGGTCACGGATACAAGGGTAAGAGCAGTTGCAGTTTAGGCCTGTTGGAATTCAATCTTACTACATTTAAGCCATTTTTTTTTTTTTTTTTTTTTTTTTTTAAATGGCGTATTAGGAGTTAATTACCTGGAGCCTTTCCTCAAAGCAGCACACGTTATATGTATAAATCAGAACTTTATCTTGACTCTTACCAATGTGTTGTCTCCTAGGTGTCACCAGCCGTTGGCACACAAAGAAGCTTCCTCGCAAGACCCATCGTGGTCTGCGTAAGGTGGCCTGTATCGGTGCCTGGCATCCTGCCCGTGTGGCCTTCTCTGTGGCCCGTGCCGGTCAGAAGGGCTACCACCATCGTACAGAGATCAACAAGAAGATCTACAAAATCGGCCAGGGCTACCACACCAAGGATGGAAAGGTGGTGAAGAACAACGCCTCCACTGAGTACGATCTGTCCAACAAGAGCATCAACCCCCTGGTAAGTGATGTTCATGCGCCCTGTAAATGAGTCTATTGGATGCCCTCCTGTCTTGACACAGATGTAACTCAATGATTTTTTTATTTTTATTTTTTTTTTCTTAAAAGGGTGGATTTGTCCACTACGGAGAGGTGACCAATGACTTCGTCATGGTGAAGGGCTGTGTTGTGGGAACCAAGAAGAGGGTGCTGACTCTGCGCAAGGTGAGGGCGAAGTTCAACGCCTTTTGTTATGTTAGTTTTTGAATTTGTAGGAATTGCTCTGTCAAACTGATCTAGTACAGCATGGGATAATGTCAGTGTAGGTGTTAACCATATCTGAAGAACCGGCTGGGAATATTCTACATTTTTCCAGGAAGATCATATTATTTTACACACGTAGACTTGAATATCTAATCGTTCTCACTTAAATGTTTACTTTGTGTTCCTTCAGTCTCTGCTGGTGCAGACCAGCCGTCGTGCCTTGGAGAAGATTGACCTCAAGTTCATCGACACCACTTCCAAGTTTGGGCATGGCCGCTTCCAGACTGTGGAGGAGAAGAAGGCGTTTATGGTAAGACTTTGTACTAATAGTTTTGTATCTGATCTGAAAATTGGAATGCAACTTGTACATCGGTTAAAGTCACAGAAACTTTGTCGCTTACTAACGGTTACTGTTGCCCCGCACTGTTCGTAACCTGGTTCAGTCTTCAGTGTGAATTTGGGTTCCATTCCAGTGCCATAGTGAACTCCAGTGAGGCAGGGGAGCAGTGCCTGTTTGTGCTGGCTCCCTGTTCACTCTCTGGGAACACTGGCTGCCCTGAGCCAACACAGACTGCAGGTCGCAGCCTGTTAAGTATTGACATAACTGACTTGTCTTATTTCTGTTTTCCACAGGGACCACTCAAGAAGGACCGCATTGCCAAGGAAGAGACCGCCTAAAGTCCCTGTCGACAAACGCTGTCTCTGCTGCATTTACTGTCACCATCACTATTGTTCTGCAGTTATTTAATAAAAAAAAAATAAAACAAATGTGTTTGTGCTGAGAATTTTGGCTGTTAATGCAGAGATGGGAGGAAAGCTGGTTAGTTGCTGTTAAACCTGTAGTTTGACTTGAGTCGGCATTGTTGAAGATGCAGATGACGGCTTGGTCAATAGTTTATTCAGCACAGGTTAGTAATTGGTAAATTACAGAAGGCATTTGAGGCACATTTCAAATGTCATGAAATGCACAAGATACTTTATTGTGCTACCTACTGTGCTTATGTTATAAACAAAAGCCACAATACTAGTGAGGTTTTTAATATACAGGTGGGGTAGAAGCCAGATCCTTTTAAAAACAATGTAAAAGTTCTGCATGATACAGTTCAAAGTACCAAGTTCTCAATGCAGCAAAAAGACCTCTGAATCTGAGGCTAAAATTAAGATATAACAGATCAGTTTAAGAAAATATTCCTGACTAAGGGCATAAGTGTGGCCTTCAGTTTTTTAGTTTTTTGGCTCAACAGCTGTCAGTTGAGTTTATTGACAAGAACAAGCAGGTGCCTGAGCCATGATATTTTTTTTGCATGAAGAGACATTACAATTTTTTCTTTTATTTAACCAAGAAAAATCAGTTTTACTTTTCAAGAGGATGGCACTCATTATTGCAACAAATTGAGTAGAGATTGCTGTCACACACTATAAAGGGTGAGCACACTTCAGCAGAAATGTGAGGATGAAATGAGAGTAAAGGCAAAATCCTGTTATGGAGCAGAAACGGACAGTTATCAAAACAGTCTGAAATAAAGTATAAATGCATTTGCAAGCTCAAATCAGTAA